CACGAAAAAGAAATACACAGAAATTGGCTACGACCCCATTGGATGCAAATCAATATCTGATCCCATATACTATTAGCGGAGTTTTTGCGTGGCTTTTCTATCACAATGCCGAAACCCCTCATGGTGAATTACAAGTTATTACATCGTGCAGTTTCGCCAAGGTGCCTGGAGATAAGAATATATTGCAATCCCAAGCCCTTTCTTGTTAGCGGCAGGATATGCCAAAGGCAGAAATATTTTACACGGTCCTTGGCAGAGCCTCACGGTAACGGCTCCGCCCTCTCATCTATCCTATTCGTATATGCTGGCGTAGCGCTGGCGTGGATGGAGAGGACTTTTGATAGCTGCCTAAAGAGGCAAGAGAAGACAACACACTCATCGTCTAGGCTTACCTACTCGCAGCTTGGCTCTCATCAATGCGCTCATCAATGCGACTTGGACCCAGATTAGAGCTACCGATTCCGATTGGCCCACATGTCTGTCGATGTTTGTTATAACTACCTACCTACATACATGGTTCGATGTCGTTGAAAAAGGCCTCCCTAGAGCCTCAATCCCCACTAGTTTCCTGGTAGGTGGTGATTTCATCGTACTAGAAGGGCAAGTCGAGAGGGAAAACCGGACCCCGAACCCGGAAAATCCGGATAATCGGCCGGCTTGAGATCTAAACAGGATAGACTTCCCTTCTTTCAATACGACATCTACCAACATGTGATTTAAGTTACCGACAGATCGCCAAGTCTCAACTTTTAAGATCGACCTGAGATTCCCATCGATCTATTGTAGATGCTATCGTGAGGAACCAGAACAACTTCTATCTTTCGGATCACGCGGTCTGAAAAGATAATTGACCTCTCCGTATGATGCAAATGGTATCTGATAGTAGCTAGATCCGTATTTTGTCTCTCCACATAGCCAAGGCCCGTGAAAGCACATGAGTTTGAACAATGATGTACTTGAACTACATTGCTGCGTTGGTAGATCTGATAAGGCCAGTACTGACCAATAGGGAACATTCCATATCATATCTTGTAAGTTTGGTGATCATTGCAAATCTATCCATTCAATTGGGATCTGTCCGTTAAAAATATGGCGATACTATAACACCCGAAGGATACTTCTCGCGTATGACAACCCATCTGTATACAATGCCTGGCGAATAGAATCGCTTCTATTACCGGAGAAACGTACAGTACTTGACGGAAGTATAAATTCCACGATCTAAGTACGTGTAACCCGTGGAAAGCCCCTGTAACATGTTGCGATCTGGTTGCCATTATGAGAGCTCGCGAACTAACTAGTGTTGTGTCACCAACAACCTGGTGCCGATATAGGTAAGGCAACTCGAATGCTTACTATGGCATGAAATGACTAATGGCTCGTTTATAGCGAGCGAACCATGGTCTTGGAAATTGTCTGAGTAGACATCGAGCCTCTTGATGATACTGCTGAGATCAGCCACTGGATTGTCAACGTCACTAGTACAGGGGCGTGTCCCCTTATAGAAACCACTAACAGTCACTTGACGACCATCTCACTACATCCGTCTATGGCAAGGCTGGATATTATAGTTTAGTAGAATATTACAAATGCGTCTAAGATTTAGTTCTACTATTTACAGTCGTGAAGTTTGGCGCCGGTGTTGTTACTATCCCTTATCGACTCCTGACAATTGCTTACTCGGTTTGCCACTACTTTAGCATGTCGATTGTAAGGGTTCTATGCAGAATTGTAGGAATAGTGTACAAAAAGCCACAATACAACTCCCCAGTTCATTTATGCTGTGAAAATATGTCACTAAGAGTCATGTGAGGCAGACAGGCAGATAGGCTTCGTTGTGTTACCCCTAGTTACATCGCTTCTCAGGGAATTCCCGGGCTTCAAAACAAAGATCAACAGCAGGAAGCTTCGTTCAAGAGTCTTACTCAACAATCAATATACAATTGTGCATCTATCGGTGCACGGGGTTGCTTCGCAGTCGTCCATGCGTTACCTGTTCGCGATGTATAGACTCCTTTCGTGAATTCTCAACATTGTAGAGACGATTAGGAATTGATTTCGGAGTCACGGAACGGGATACGGGATCGAAGGTTAAATGAAATTTACAAAAGAAACGTCGAGTTGCGCTCTATGCTGATAGTAAGCCACGAATGCCTTTTGCCGCCACAGCGTAGGTTACGAGTGGTTGAGTATACCCCGACGTTTACTCTAGGGTGACCACGATAATGGGTACTTGGATCACCGTACGGGGGCTAGACCACTAGCCCGCTCTTCGGGCACCATACTGACATATTCATAAGGCGTGTGAAAGCACTAGGGTGCGGATGTTACCGCGCCTCCCTTCGAGATAACCTAGCATGTGGAAACACGCTGGCAAGCAACCGTAGAGAGGCCAAGAGTTTCAGGCATTCATTGTGATATATTGACTCTAAACACGTCAGGGCAGCCCAATAAGAGCGGCAACCAGGGCAAGAGATGTTTGTGTTTATCTACCAAGGGATGGGGAAGATGGCGTATGGCATTTGCCGACAGATTGGCTTCCTCGATCATACCCCACGCCGTAGCCGCGGGAAGATTTCCGAAGGTAAATCCTCATTAAAGTTATCACCTGTGAGAGCTAATCTAAGCTCGCACACTAAGCCTCGTCGCTAGGTAGCCTGTCAATCTTCCCCAGAGTCCATCCCTTCGCTTAGGCGAGTATGTAGCTGAATAGTGTTGAGAATCGTCGTACTACCCCTTTTTACAAAGAGCAACATCATAACACACGTGCTGGACGAAGATCCACAAACTCCCATTTGAGCCTAAATTACGTTTAGAAATTCGAGTCACGCTCGCGAAACAAGTGTTGTTACCGACGAATAGATGTCGATGCTTGGCTTATGCTAAGACCCCTCAACAAGACCGCGCGAGGTCTAGAACACCCACTCAGTCATGATAATAGGAGACTTGAGAGACGTTCTCCAGTAAATAGAGGTGTAACATGATTAGGTAGATCTACGTAGTATAAGCTTTGGATACCCGTTCTTACTCGTCTAGAGAGAGACTATAAGCCGGTAGGGCCAAGCAAGACACGCTTTGAGATGCTAACTCCCGACGGAAGGTGTGATTTCGTCCGCAATATCCGCACAGATACCTCCATAACGTGCGCCTATTCGTATCGACATGATGTCGGATTGCAAACCCCCAGAATGGGTAGCACTCTGGGGAAATTAGCGTCCGGTATTGTAACAGCTCGAGTCACGATTGACTCTTACACAACCTGATATACGATATATTCAACTCTCATGTACGTTTACACTAAGCACATCTACAGTAGGATACTCCGCATATGAAAGCTTGATTCATTGACCATTTCGTCGCTCCAAGTTGCCCAAGGTCGGGACAGTATTTACAATAGGGGGGCAACAATGCAACACGGCAAATGGTATAGCAATTCTGTGTCTCTGAAAACATCAAATATCATTTTGATCTATTGAAATTCCAAATATGAGTGGAAGCAATATACATTGATCGTCTTTATTTCTCCAAATATTCTTTTATTATGCTAGTAAGAAACCTAGTTGCACGAATGTGACTTGGTATTCAGCCCCTATTATCCATGTCATTGGTAACCTAATCGCCCCCATCATGACGATTTGCGCACCAACCCAAACTATCCGCAGCCCCAAGATGCAAGGAATATCGCAAACCAGTACTTAAGTGAGCGTAAGCGAGCTGTGACTGTCGGGTCGCGATACATCGCATCAGTACATCACATTAGATCTTCCCTCATTCCACTCAACACATGGCCTTCAAGGAAAGGGCTTACTAGAACAAGAGCCATGATACTTCAAAACAGGAAATTAATAAGTTGCAACTACTCGACAGGTGTCATACTGACGCGGAATTGTGTGTTTTTGACGCCCTTCCGGGAGTACACAACATCTAGGGATAACGTTCTTACACTAGACTCGTCGCGGAGGCTAAAAATCCCTGCATAATAAGGTACTTTACGATATATACATCGAGAACATGTTGATACAAGTGAGAAGTACCGCAGACTTAGATACAAATAACTCTATGAATAGGTGATCAAGAAGCTATACCCTAGGCCTCGCACGCGGGTGCGGGTGCGGTGGCGGCTATCCCGCACTCCGGGGCATGACAAGCGTTGCTCTAAAGTAGTGCCAGTAGTGCTGTAGCTTATATTGAAGGCTGCCCCTATTAATAATACACCTTCCGAGGCAAGGACGGCGCCGGCCTCCGTTAATCAAGTTTCCGTGAATGCCTCGATGACTCGTTATAAAGGTTTAATATTCCTCCTAGCATTATACAACGGAGGTGGGTCCCTTGAACGTCCTCGGCATCTATTTTCGGCATCGGGTAGATCATAGGCCAAGCGAACGGCGCAAGCTCGGGCGGCGATCATCAAGGACGGTCGGCAACCTAGTCGTAGAGCCGCTTGCTTCCATCCCCACGCTAGATGCCCTAGGGCTGATGATTCCGGGGTAAGGATACCGGAGGCATCGAGGCTATGGCGCCCGATTCAATGTGCCGAGAGACTGCCCGGACTGTCGTCACCCTATTGAAACTGTATCTTTGTTCCTGTGGAACTTACCTCGGGAGGTATAGAAGATTTCGTGGGTCTCTATAGCTTCTGCCTAGGTCCGGGATTCTGGGTTCTTTCGACCAATCATGTTTATAATCGTAGCTCAACTTCTGACTACGCGTATATGTAATCCGGATATCGCTTTGAAATCAACAGCTGACGTACCATCAAGACGCTGTTAAATATCTAAAGCGGGGAAAATATGTAGGACTTCGTTGTGCTACATGGAATAGAAAGATAGAAAGCCGGGGAAGCTAGCGTAGAAATCGGGATATTGCCGAATGGAGTAATATACCTAGCCAAGCTCGCCTAGGTGTGCAGAAAAGCAAGTCAGCTCAAGCTCATCGAGCCAATGGAGCTTGCTCATCGTCAGCATCTAAATTCACCAACTTCCTCTTTCGCAACACCTATCTGCAACCTCATCTTCGATCGAGTTAGCCCTCTGCGTAGCCTCCCTGTCGACTATCACACCACATTGCCTCATGGCTCGATCGAGGAACAATATACGAGGAATATGCAGAAGCTACAGATAGGGCTTACGCAGCCTCTTTAGCTACAATTGGGTAAGAGCCGGTTTGGTAGCATCTATCGGAGTTCATTCTAGGCAGACAAATAAAAAATTAATGACGCGATGTTGGAGTTAGCAATTGATACAGCCCTATCCCGATCGAAACCACCACGTCTGCGACACTCCTTACTATTACCCCTCTCGAGATAGAATCACATTCTGTATCTATTGTAGCCCAATGCGCTCGCGTGTTTATTAATAAATCAATTGATCGTTACTTGGCCTCTTTTGCGGTAAGACACGCGCGATCGTTTCGAGTTGTACCAAAAACGGCCTTGGCGATAGTTTCAGTCGTCCCGCCAAGAGCGTTTCAACTAATTGAAACCATGCCCTATTCCGGTAACATGAGGTCGAGAGGCGACGATTCGGAATCAGATGGCGAAGACTATGCCGATCAGCTATCGCCCTTGGATGGATATTTTGCCTCCTCATCTTCGTCGTCCCATGAAGTGCCAAACGTGCCGAACATCTTTGTCACTGACCCCACACTTGAACGACAAACGTCAAAGTCAGACGTTGAATCGAAAGCTCACCCTAAGAAGACAAACGGGGAAAGATTCCGATCGAATACTCATAGGTCCAGAGAATACTGCTTTCACCCTCCCACGGAACTAGGCAACACCCAAGAGCTCGGTCTATCAGAGCAGCGCGCTGGTACTCCGACTGCATCACGCCAACGACAAGACAATCCCACATTCGCGCATACGTATTCACCTTTGTCAGCATCCCACACACACATCCGATCATATCCAACAGGAAGCCGGACTCCTTCCATATATTCAGAGGCACCACCGGCGTATTCGCCCGAGCCATCCCCCGTTACACCTATCAACCAACAAATACCGTCCAGGGCCTATAATACATTCACCTCCACCATGGGTATATCAGATGTTGAAAATGAGAGGTTACTGGAGAGAGGTCCCGAGAGCATGGGCCAGCCCCAAGACCTCGAAAGTGGTTACTCATCACATTGGATGAAAAGAGCCAGAAGACGTTTACCGCCGTGGCTCAGTTGTAGAATCTTGACTCTCGGTCTGATCGTACTGATTGTTTCTGTTGGACTTTTGGCTGGTTCTCTAAGAATATTTAAAGTAGAAGACGATCATGTAAGAACTCACCTTCCTTCACCTTTCCTACCAGCAATCGGAATACATCGCTAATATGCCCGTCCAGAGGAAGACTATTGGGGCACAGCCCATAAAGCAAACCCCACCCGAATCGGTCCAAGAACCCGTAACTGAGCCCGGAACTGATATGCCTGTGGTCGCGGCACCTTTCCTACCAACGTACTGCGAAAATGCGCAGTATCGCTTCGAGGATCAAGTCTTAGCTCTTAACTTTGATAATAACCACCAGATCACATTTATAGAAGAGCAACATGCGCATTCTGGATCGAGCCAAGTGCACGTAGCCGGCCAAGTCAATGTGCGACAACTAGATAGTGGTGGCAGCCCGCGCCTAGTCCTGGAGATTGCCACCAACGATAAGAGTATCCTACTTGACGTCTACGTCGACGAAGAAGGCCAAGGCTTGAAGGTGAGCGTGCCGAAGAAGTACGATGCTTCTGACCGGAGATACCCGCCCTGCGTCGAGATCCGAACGACTATCTGGGTGCCCAAGGACGCAAATCTAGGAACACTTGGTGTGAGTACGGTCCACCTCGATATTCTACTCCTAGACGACCTATCTCTTCACATCTCCGACTACGCCACCCTACGCTCCACAGTCGGAAACATCGACTCTGGTGCAGTTAGGCCCCTTACATACAACGGCTCCCGCACCATGTCGATGGCCCCAGACTTCACATTCGTGCCCGCCAAAGACTCCTACGTCTTCGACGCGCGCGTCATCGAAAGCATAACGACATCCGGCAGGATCGACGGGAACTGGCCCTTATACGACATGCTAGGTCTGCACACGACCTCGGGCAACATCGGGGTCTCAATCACGCCGCACGAAGAGAACGCAGAGGACCCTAGATCGGCAGTCCTATCGCTGAGCTCAGTATCCGGCTCTGTCCGCGCCGCGGAGCCGGTGCACACACCCGAGAATTTCCCGCTCCGCGACTACCTCGTGGACGTGAAGTCGACGTCGGGAGGCATCCACGGGGCCTTTGCGTTCGGCGCTGGCATCGAGATTAAGAGTACGGCCAGCGACATCGGTCTCAACCTGCTCCCCGTCATGCACGAGAACCGCGTGTCCCCCACGCTGCCCGCGCAGCTGGAGACCGCGACGACGAGCGGTATTACCGCTGTCCGTGTGCTCGAGCCGCTTTGGTTCGGCGATAATGGGACGGCTGTTGCGAGTCGACCGTTTAACTGCCTCAAGGCGCTTCACAAGTCCACTAGTGGAGACATCGGACTGATGTATCCTGGGGCGTGGGAGGGTAACTTGTATGCCGAGACGACGGCTGGGAGGTTGAATGTTTCGGGTAAGGATGTGAGGATCATTAGATCCAGTCGGGGCTGGCCGGGATCGAAGCTGGAAGCTCAGAAGGGCCCTGGTGGTCCCGGGTCATCGATAGAAGTTGATGCGATTATGGGGAACATGGATGCCACCATCGGTACGAATTAATGGGTGAACTTGAGTTTTTGGTATAGTGGAAATACCCGGAGGACAGAAATCGGTATGGTGGATAGTCGGAGATTACGTGAATTATGAGAATACCCGCGCATTCGTTGGCAGATGAGATTATGGCGTTATGGATTTGCTGGCATAGTTTCGGTATTGGAGTATTTCCTTGGATATCACTAAATACCTAATGGAATACAAATATTAACATAACCTGGAGACTTCCTAACATTTGAAGTAATAACCTTTCTGGTGTGACAGGAACAGGGATAGATGATGTCATTGAAGTTTCTTTTTTAATTGGCTCGAAACAAGAAGGTAAGAACAACCTCTGAGCAGCCTTTATTATAACAATAAATATCTAACATAACATCAGCTTTCAATTTTGCTCAATCATTCTACACGTTCTTATCTATTTTTCGGTAACCCGACTCTATTCATAAATATGTATCAAACACAAAGGCACATCCGGATCTGCGCTTCTTGCTGCAGTATCTTGACAGAATACGAGATAATTGGATATTGTCTTCCGCTAAAACTGATAAAAGAGTACCTGGAGATCCTGAACCACGATGGGAGGATGTATTCTCCATCTATAGCTCTCATCTCACCAAAAAACAAGCATCAATGCTTTTGCTGTAGCTCAGGATGTTGTCGTGGGGAGGAATAGAACATCATCACCCTCGAGGAGCTGTATCACTGCATAGATCGGGCAGCGAAACGGTCTAACAACTCAGACAAAAGAAAATTACAGCACGACGCCAGCCGGCCGTCAGCGAGCGCCCAGTTTCAGGACGAGGGGGCGGGGTCCTCGCAACAAGCCAAATCGCCCCAGAGTTCTGCGCCTCTCGAAACTACGACACGGCGTCAACCCAGTGTCGCCGATGCGCGTCGAATATATAGACTGGCGTATTTGATCAAGAAGAGCAAGGATTCAATGCCTCCCGGAATTGAAAAGAAACATCACAGTAACACCTCTATGCAACTTTACGTAGAGATCGCTCTCTCCATACTTCGCGTCAATAGCACCGGTCACGACATCATCCACATGATAGCAAAAGACACCTACGATTCTCGGGTCAGTGCGCCAGCCGCTGTCGCTAGAAAAACGACACGGCTGTTCGCGTGGCGGGATTAGACTTGAAATCTTTGTCAACCGACTAGGAAGGGTGTAGAGCCTTGGAGAAATTCTTCGAGGTTCACTCGTATCTGAAGAGAAGAATGACGAGAAAGAATCCCGGATACGAAAATGACGAGGCATTCTTGCAGCTTTTCTCATCGAAGCTGAAAAGAGAGCGTCTTTTTCTGTTGTGCGATTAATGAAAGTGGCTTCGTCCTGTATGAGGCGTTTCCGAAGCGTTTAGCTATAGTTACTCCGTAGGAGCCCCCAAAACTAGAAGCCACACTAGGTACCTATGAATTTTCAGTTGACATCAAGATGTGATGCAAATGCCTAAGATATCAGATGAAATATCTCTTGAAAAGAAATTAGTCTATGAGGATCGGTCCCACTCGTATTCTATGGTAAGCTACCTACACTGTGCTTCATAGCAGAGCAAACATGCTACAAGCATGAGATGGCAGTCTTAATGCTATGGATGGCAATATGTTATAAGTCCTGTAGTTTGCTTGTCAATGGGATGTCAGATGGATTAGTACCAAACGAAGCCATGTGGTGTTGAACATGATAGCCTTGTACCCGACCTTTAAATGCTACGCCTCGGGTGTTCCACAGGCACAGGGCACCAAATTGCCCCTATTCATAGGTATCAATCCATTTCGCCCCTTCACTACATATTGCTGTGGTACAAAAACATAATGTGGTTAATTTTATTTTATCCCATCTTAATATTCTAGCTGTGATCTCAGTTTGGCCAGAGAACTCTCCAAACTTCGTTTGCTGGAAAGTGTGAATAATGGGGGTGCATTACTGATAATGATCGTGACGATGTTAGCAGCAACTGACTCTAGTTACTTGCCTTCTAAATTCAGTATACTTAAAACTTGACGCCAATTTCACCCTTTCGTCTCTTTTTCTTTCAAGAAGCTAGGGTTTTCTGGACTGGTATTCTTCGACACTGGATGTCAAAGACGCGTCAAGTTGGATTTCCATCAATTCGCCCGTGCCATTCTATCAATTTCGTCAACCAAATAAACCAACCCTCGCTTGATTTTCTTTTGTTGAGATCGCTGATTACATCGTCGCATCTGTACGATAAGTTCAGCAATCATTTGTCGTACTACTTCATTACATCTTTCCCGCACTTGCGTTACATTTCAAAACCATGTGTGTCGAGGTCTGGAACACCTTCCAGAGTTGCAACCATCGTGTCTACCAGAGCAAGTTCCCCTGCAGCGTCGCCAGACAATGCGCACCTGGGGATGACCTCACCCTGAAGCGAACCAAGTTCCTCCCGGACAAGATACCTAAGCTACCCCCTGGAGATCAGGTGTGCAAGACCAAGGTAGCCACGAGGCCCCTGAGCTCAAGATGTCCGATGTGTGCTAAGGAGGCAAGAATGGCAAAGATTACGGCCACTGCCACCAACACCACAACTACCACCGCTTCTACCTCCACCACTTCCAGCCCTCCCGTGGAGTTGACCTCGTCTACGTCTTCAGGTAAGAGTTCCTCATACTGGGCACGTAGCTGGTTGACTTCCCACTCACGCAAGAAATAGTCCAACCTGGCACCAGCCCATCTCCGGGCGGAGAAGGAATCAAGCGCTTGCGCGATTCTTTGGTCATGCTGGATCGATTTCGAAAATCATCGATCTAAGGTACCTAGTACTCTCAGGGCCGGAAACTTGAAGGAGATTTGCTAAAGGTTCCGACATCGGGAATATGGATGGAATAGTTATTTGACTCGGAACAAGTGGAAAAGCAATGGCGTTTGATCTTTAGGGATGGATATCTGGTGGAAACGGTGGGAAACTTCTGATTATCGAACAAACTTGATTTTTCCTGTACAAAATTCTTTCGTGGCTGAATAAAGGCACCAGTGCAAATATTTGATTTTATGGATTTCTTTTCTGGCGTGAAACCGACTTGCTGAGTTCGTACATCGGAAAACTTGACAGCTTATCCCGTTATTCCAGACTTGTTTAGATGTCAGTGGCCTATATCAAAGAGGAGGACCGGATGGCAAACTAGTAAGCAACAATCAAATTGTTTGAAACCATCTTTGCGACGACCAAACTTATTCCAGCGAAAACAGGCCTCTTCCAGTCCCTACTACGACAACCTCGGATTTTCAAAGGTTTCTAATCTTTGATTCAGTACACGTATGTGGCGTCGTCCACATCCGCTTATTCCGCGCCATAATGGAAGTACAGAGACCCGAAAGTCCGACATGGACAAATTCTAGGAAGTCCAATGCTTTCGAAGCGCTTCGAGCTTGTGAGAACACGCAAACTGGACTAAAAATGTTGTTTGAAGATGAAGATTTACAGTTTGTTTTTAATGCGACCTGTAATATTTTAGTAGGTGGTATTGATAGCGTAATAGCATTCTAATAAGGCGGTTATGTTGATATCGAATGGAGCAGGAACCAAGCCCGTGGGATCGGGATAGCTCGGGATCTCGCTAAACAGTGTCCCTCTTTCCATCTAAGGGGTATTATAACAGTACATGCATTATCCTGACTTTCCCCACGTTTTCTATGTAGCTTCCCACATGGAGCTCTACAGCGTACCTGCCTACCTACATCTTACCCAGACCGAGATCAATCCTTTCCTGTCCGTCCCCTAATTGATTGCTGTTGCGCCCTTCTTAAATTCTAAGGTAGCATTTTACCGAGACAATCTCAATCTTTCCTACACGCACATGACTATTTCGCGATCTTACTATGGCCAAAAAGGCACGTCAAAGGATAAGCTATGGTTCGTCGTTTCTATTTTCTATTAATATCATGTTTTACTTAATCTAGTTCCCTATCTAGCCCCAAAAGTCCCCTTAATTCCATCGATCTTCGCCCGCCCCCCGCCTAGTTGACAGATTGGTTGGTTACCAACCTACCTATTCACCAAGAAATCATCGTAAAATCACTGGCTGCGTCGGGGCGATGAGGGTGATATCATTCAACTAAATATGATGCGACGTATGTCTTGACACCATCCTAATAATCTGGTTACCTTTCAGTTCTTGAATTAGATCACTCGTCATCTGGCGGCCATAGACTCGGTGTAAATGGCCTTGCCGTCGACCGAGACAATGCTATTCTGTAAGTTCCCGTCGGCTATAATATGGATCCCTCCCGTCCTCAATTTACGCGCTGACGTTGTCGCACAGCTATTCCGGAGGTAGAGATGGAGTCATTTGTGCCTGGGACCTGAATCTCGATTTGAATAGTCACGATCCCGACCGTGTGGCTAGCCGAGGCGCAAAACCCCGACCGACCACCAAGTTCCGTGCATCGACACAAGCCCACACCCACTGGGTCAACGATATCGTACTCGCCGCAAATAACACCGCCCTTGTTTCTGCTTCCTCTGACTTGACTGTGAAAGTATGGCGACCCGAACTTGGGGATACCGAACCCCATACCATTGGTCAGCATGCCGACTATGTAAAATGCGTCGCGACACCGAGTTCCGCAGACTGGGTCGCTTCAGGTGGACTAGATCGGAAGATATACCTGTGGGACCTCAATGGCAAGGGTAAATCTCTAGAGATCGATGTTCGAGGTGAGGATGTTAGCGAGAAAGCTTCCGTATATGCTATGAGTGTCGGCCGAAATATTTTGGCAAGTGGAGGACCAGAGTCAATTGTACGATTGTGGGACCCGAAGTCTGGCAAGAGGATTACCAAGCTAGTCGGTCATACTGACAATATCCGTGCGATAATGATGAACGAGGCCGGCGACACTGTCATGACGGCTAGTTCTGACCAGACTGTCAAAGTGTGGAGCGTTACTGCTGGAAGATGCATGTATACGCTCACCATGCACAACGATAGTGTTTGGTCGCTCTTCTCCGAAGATCCTGAGTTGGCAGTCTTTTATAGCAGCGATCGGTCTGGCTTAATCGTCAAGACAGACACTAGGGGAACATTGGAAATGGACGAAGGATTGTCTGTTGCCGTAGCTCAGGAACATGACGGCGTTAACAAAGTAGTAGCTTGTGGTGATTATATATGGACTGCCACGTCAAGCTCTTCCATCAACAGGTGGACGAACGTCGAGACTGGCTCCGAGGCTCAACTCCCGGAGGCCTTCCGACATTTGCGTGCGAGTAGTCCGGTCTCGAGGTCAAGAAAGACATCTACAGCTTCTGCTGATGGATTGGCGAAAAATGAAATCCCGACAAAATCCATTTTGAGGATATCAAACACCGCCGCCTTCCCACCAGAACTTAATGGCTCTTCCGAATCTAATTTAACTCCCGGCGTGCTGTCTAGGAAAGGTTCAGAACTTATGATCGATCCAATAGTTCCTGTCATCGAGCCCATACACCATTTACCGGAAGAAACTATCGAAGGCCAGAATGGATTGGTGAAGCATAAACTTCTGAACGATCGGCGTCGTGTTCTAACTCTAGATACTGCGGGTGATGTGTTGTTGTGGGATCTTATAAGAGTATGTGTTACCCTGTGCCATGTTTATGCATGAGAACATGACTGACTCGACGTAGTGCAAAGTTATCAACAGGTTTGGGAAGAAACACCTTGAAGATGTTGAGCCAGAAGTCAATACTTTGGAAGCTGTTGCTCCTTGGTGTTCAATTGACACAAGTTCTGGAAACCTGACTGTTGTGTTGGAACCTTTTAATTGTTTCGATGCTGAAATGTACGCCGACGAGTTGATCTTGGCGGAACCCGTCGATTTTCGGGAAGATCAGAGAAGTACGACCTATCAAATGATTGAAATAAGAAATAATTCTAATTTTAAAATAGTAAACCTTGGTAGATGGATTCTTCGATATTTGTTTGCGAAGTTAATCGACGAAGAAATTAAACGGGATGAAATTCAAAGACTGAAACTTAATGAGGTCGTGGAGAAACGCCATGCTGCTACCCGACTCAACCCGCCAACATCGATAATGATACCTTCCTCCGATGCTCAAGGATATGAATCTAGCGATTCACCGGTAGCAACACCGAGAGCCAATGGAGCCAATTTCCCCATGACTCCGGGACTGGTAATAGGCATAGCTACTCCAGCTCCAAATTTACCAGGCGTTCCCGGGAGTGCTACCACCAACTCTTCTAGCCCACTAGAGAAGCGGCCTTCGCAACAGCTGCCTCGTTCATCTGGAGATGATTATTTCTCTGGTGGCATTAGTTCGGCAGACGCGCCTGCAAAATCGGCTACGACTCCAGTGGGGGCAGAGCAGACGACCGCCAAAGAAGAAACACCAAAATCTCCAGTGGAAACGAAAGAAAAAGAAAAGGACACTGCTAAATCACCGAGTACACCTTTTGGGAAGAAATTCCGAATGGGCATGTCTTTCGGTACCAAGAAGCTTGGAAGGTCAGCCTCCACTAGTATCGAGAAACACACTGCCGCGGAGGAAAAGCCCGAGGAAAACAAGTCGGAGTCATCGTCAAACCACGACAAGGAGATCGATGATAACTTCCGCGGCGTTATACAAAAGATACAAAACGACTACGAGAAGCAATTACTCGAAAATCCTGACAACTTTGTTGAGACTAAGATTACGCCTGCTCTGCCTATTGATGCCCCGGTGTTGAAACTCCCTCCCGGTACGAAGGTTATTATCCAGGAAGAGACATCCGGTGGTAGCGCCAACTTGTACCGGGGTACAGTGATGAGTGTCGGTGTTGATGCGGATATCATCGAGGAGAAAGCTCCTATGTGGTTGGGCGAGGTTTTACTCACCGTATATCTTCCATCCCCTAACTATAGAGAGATAAAGGCTAACTTTGATAGAATACGATTCCACAAAAAGACCCCGTCAAGGTCTCTTTTGTGCTGCATCCTTGGAAAGACTCATTACCTAGCATTGCGACTGCCGACGGAAATAATCGCCTCAACGCGAACCGTATGCTACGAGTTAAGAAAATCTTAGCTTACGTAGCCGAAAGAATTGAGCCACAGACCGAAGAGCCCGAGCCTGGAGCGCTTAAACCTGAAGAGTATTTAGAGCTATATTGTAATGAACAGGTGTGTACTACCACGAACAAAAAAAATCTTTGTGCTAATCCTCGAACTCAGCTACTACCAAACACCATGAGTCTTGCAACTCTACGAGCCCACATTTGGAAAGGGGGCAGCGACGTTGTTTTGTGTTATAAGGCGAATGGTCGGAAGGAAATTCCAAAAGAACTCCCGCAACCGACACTTGACGATCCCGTAGTTTCAGATCCTGGAGCACAGACAGCGATACCGCCAATAGCGACTGTAACTTGAATAGCTTTAATAGGAATAGGAATTGGAATTGTATGACCAGGAGGAAGGGTATCATCCATTAACTGTCTATGTCTGATAATTCTAAAAGTCGGGGTATTCTATCATCTGTTGTACATACTCTCCACCTCCCTCCCAAGCGCCGTGTTGAATTATGGCTCTGAGGTATACCCCGGGATATACAAAAACGAGGACCACTTCTTAGCCCTGATGTGTTTGTACCTAGTCGTCTCGATCTTCACTTCGTCAGTCGTGAGCGCGTCATATGACGTTCCCTTGCAAGGCGTTAACAGCCCACTGATAACTCCCGAGGAAAATGGCTCCCCCGGCACTAATCCACATAACCCTAGGCCCTATCCCTGCGAAGAACGGTCGTATACCATGACTCCTCAACAGATCCGTCAACACAGTAAACACCTTCTCCCGCTCCTTCGACAGCATAACCCTCGTCTTCAACACATCCAGCGGCGTCGTAACCCCCGCCGCAATAGCCCCGGATACACTCCCATACAGCGCGCTCTCCCCCGCACTTACCTCCACACTCCCACTCGCCACCTTGCGCCGCCGTCCCCAGCTCTTCAACGCCTCCCACAGCGGGAACTGGATCACCGTAAACGGCACCTCCCGCATCACCGTGATCCCCCACCCGCGGTACAACTCCCGCCACACCCCCGCAAACCCCACCGTCGAAAACTGCGATAATATCGCCCCGAGCGCCGCGGCACTCGATCCCCCGTGTAACCCCGCTTGCGCGCGCTGCTTCACGACCTCGGTCGGCACGCGCACCGCGCACGCCGCTACCTCGCCCAGCGACGCCGCGAGCATGTGTTCGAGCGGCGCTTCCCAGGTCCCCCCTGCTTCGGCGCCGGTGCTGTGTACCGGGTCCAGCTCACCCCGGGCTAATCGGCGTGCTGATAAGGCGCCTTTGACCCCCTCGTACGTGCAGAAGAAGAAGGCGGCGCCGGGGGCGGAACCTACGACTGCGGACCCGACGCCTCGGTATATACCGCGGAAACCGCCGGACGGGAAGAAACCTGCGTGCGATTGGAGCCGGGTTTTGAGGGTGTCGAGGGGGAAGAGGGAGAGGTCGACTGTGGTGCCTGCTATGCCGCCGGCGAGAAGGGCTGTTGCGAAGGGGGGTTGGGGGGGTTGGGGGGACATTGTGAGGGTTGTTGTTTTGCGGTTGCGGTTTCGGAAGGGTTGGTTCGAGATAGAGCTGTTTGGATGGAGGGGTATAGTTTGTGGAATTTCGACCCGGGTTGTTCAATTGTGCGGTACGAGGTTGAGAGATCTCAGCTGGAAGGCTGTAGCCGGGAGCGGACTCGAGAGGTTAGGTCCATCGGCCTAGATCGTGTCGGGGAGGAGGAGCTATATACTTGCTTGCTAAGGATGTTATTTCCTTGGAAATAATTATTTTGGCGGCGTAGATAGCGTTTGTAGTTAGCTAAGACCGGTGCTAGAGCGGCATAGGAACCCCCCTCCATCCCGATCCTACCCTGCCTGCGAAACTTTGCGATTATCGATAGCTTTATCGATAAGAACCCTGTTGGTAACTTTTCTCGCACTTAGGGTCGTATCATTTTTATAGTTTGTTATATTTCTGTTAAGAGCCCAGCAAATTTCGTCCTGGTAGCTGGGAATTATCTGTAGTGACATGAAATGGAATGGGAACGCTCCACCATGTTCTACATACCGGTGCCAGGCCGATTGGCCTGCCCGAATTCGTGGATGCCGTGCGCGCCACTTGTCCCCGTCGTTTCACACAAAAGGGGACGATGCGGCATAGGCGGGTTGGTGAGTATTCTTATCTGAATATTGGGTCGGCGGTTCTAATGTGATGAATAGCTCTAGCTGTGAGCGGAGGGGTGGATTCCATGGCCCTCGCCTTTCTCTGTTCGTCGTTACGTAAATCCACGGCTGCATTTGAGGTCTCCGACAATCCAGTGAACGGATTCCGCGCCATGGTTATCGACCACGGGCTTCGAGAGGGGTCTTACGAGGAGGCCCTCGCCGTGTGCGAGGCTCTCAAAGACATGAGTTTGTCGGCAGACGTGATGCCACTTAATTGGAGTAAAATTTTTGACGATAATACCAACCCCAGGGATTTACCTAATTTCGAGAGTGTCGCGCGCAAGTTGCGTTATGAGAGGCTTGGTCATGAGTGCGCTGCTCGTAAGCTCGCTAGTCTCTTCCTTGCGCACCACGAAGATGATCAATATGAGACTATTCTCATGCGCCTATTGCAGGGACACGGCAGTCGCGGTTTACGCGGCATGAAGAAAGCTCACGATATTCCCGAATGTGAGAATATCCATGGTGCCCATCAAAGTGGTTGGGTGGATGATCAGATGAGCTACCGACCATTCTACAAGCCCTTGACTAGGACCCGTAAACATTTACACCGAGCCCTCCAAGCTAACATTCATCACCTTATGGACGAAAACGACCCTGTGCATGAAAGTGAGATTGAATTGGAGGATTTCCATACTAAATTACACACCAAATCAATCGAACCCAACCAAATTCCCATTGAAGATGGCGGAGTTATGGTATACCGACCCTTGTTAGAATTTAGCAAGGATCGCCTCATCGCGACTTGTTTGGAGAACAATGTTCCTTGGTGGGAAGATTCTACTAACCACGACCCTACTCTTACAATAAGAAACGCTATTAGAAAGCTATACAAGGGATACGCCCTCCCTAAGGCCCTTCAGAAACCAGCCATCCTCGCTCTTGCGAAAAGGTGCGAACAGAAACACCAAGCGCAGGACGCCGAGGCCAATAGACTCTTGCGCCAAGTTATCATCCACGATTTCGAACCAAACGCCGGGACCGTGATTGTCCAGTTTCCGAAATTCGAATCCGTAATAACGAAACGGGACTCTCAATCTCCACAGCGCCGGCAAGCGCGTCTCGCTCGCCAAAGAGAAATCGCCTCGATCGTTATGCGCAAGGTCCTCATGCTCGTCAGCCCAGAAAAGCAAGCGCCGTCGGTCACAGCCCTCGAGAATCACGTCTGGCGGCTGTTCCCGTCTATTGCCGAACCGGGGAACGCTGCACAAACAGACGACCCGAAAACCTTTAGCGTATACAGCGTCCTCCTTACCCCTATCACGCCCGACTCTCCCCACCGGAAGTCCGTCCCCGCGAGCTCTAGCAAGCCGCACATGCAGCAACTATCCTGGCATCTCTCGCGCGCCCCTTACCCAGCCCACCTGCCTATCCCGCGCGTGCGCATGACATATTGGAGTATGAAAGGCCCCGTGCCGACCTACACCATGTCCACACGGAATGAGTGGATGCTCTGGGACGGCCGATACTGGTTCCACGCCGAGCACCAACTCCCGCACCGCATCATAGTCCAGCCCTTCCTCCTCGAGCACTCCAAGCCCTTCCGCGAGCTCCTCCAGCGCTCCGCCCGCGCCCGCCTCGACGCCCGTCTGAAGCGGTACGCACCGGGGAAAACCCGGTACACGTTACCTGGCCTCTACCTCGAAGAAGACGTCGACTTGAACCGGCCGATGCGCCAAATCACTCCGCGTGGCGGGTACCCCAACCCGATCGCCTGGGAGTACAGAGACGGGATCGGAGACGGTCGCGGCGCGGACAGGGGCGTGGGACAGGCTGGCGAGAGGAGGGACCAGTCTATGCATCCCAAAGTCCCTGATACCTCGAAGATGAAGCTCATCGCGCTGCCTACCTTAGACATCCAGATCCCCGGGTTGAGCGACTGGATCGATTACGAGATCAGGTATCGCAAGGTAGATCGGAAGACGTTGAGGATAGCGGGGACGTGGAGTAGGGGGTCGTTTGGCCCGCTTACGGATGATGCGGTGATGAGGTATATTGAGTCTGGGAGGGCGCGCGGGGGGAGGGGTGTGGATCGGTTGAGGAAGGAGAGGACTGAGGGGAGGTTGTCGAGGATGAGGGTGTGTGTTTGATCTTGTATGTAAGATGGGTATATACCGTAAGGATGGAAGTGAAGTTACTTCGAAATCTATTATATAGCTCCCCTCCATGACATTCATCCACAACTACTTGGATACTTTGGTGGAAAAGTAGATATCGGTCAACGGCAATAACTTATTACGTGTCTAAATACCCTACCTACCCTACCTCTCTAAACCCTCTATACTACGATTAGTCCTCGTGAATAACTACAGACATTACTTCTCTTAACATAAGTCACCAATTCATTCCTTAAAAGTCACGTTAGCAATAGAAAAAACTTGAGTATAAATCGAAATCTCGTCGATTTGCCAGGTATCATGCGGGGGATGGGGGTGTGTGTAGGGGTATGGGGGCAAGCCTCTTAAGCAACGAGGCGTATAATGCAAGTGATGTGATGTGATGTGATGATTCCACCCATAGGCGGAAAATGGGGGCAGGGGATGGGGGGGTATTCCGTACACGGCCACAAGGCCAAGACTGGTGGTACAAGAGCAGGCCGTCGCGAGACGACCGCTGGACCGAACCAAATGCGGCAAAGATGGAAGACTGCCAATGCCAGAACTCCGTGCTTCCTGTGCCTGTTGCCAGACACCTCTGTACTTATGCCACCGATGCAATGCTAGTAGAACTCCGACTGCCTTTCTCTGCGAAGAGTGCATGCCACCGCACTCATCACATCCAAAGGGATCAGTCATACGACCCTCATGGTCAACAATTTACACCTCCACGTAATAACTCCTTTGGTACAACTCTTCCTCTCTCATCAAGACTCTTCGGGTCCTTGATATAGTAATAGGCGGGCACTCCCGCTTTTTCCTCCAGACCTCCCTCTCTTTACGTCATGGGTAAGGTAAACGTGTACCTTAAAAGGCACCACCCGTGCCCTCTCCCGCAAACTTCTTCACCATATTCTCGCTCAGCTCGAGTCGGAGATCGAGAACCTTACTCTCGCGCTCATACTTGTCCCAAAGGGCCAAGCTCTTGCGAAGCTTTTCCTCTTTGACGTACTTCTCTGCACGAAGTCTCTCCTCTTCCTCCTTGAGACTTAGCATATGCGGCACGAGCTCGGGAAGTGCACCTAGGTTCATTGCGAGGTGCTGAGTGTCCATCTTGCCGCCCGGTATGACAGGTGAGACCGTCGATAGAAGTTGCTGTGCAAGACTGGGTCGGTTGTTCTCAGCAGCCGGACCCTTAGGAGGATTGAAAGGCTTCGATTGGCTGACTGGAGTAGAAGGGACAGATTGCGACACTGAACCCGCGCGTGGGCCTGTGGGAATAGTGTTCGAGCTTGATGTTGCCGATGCTGAGGAAGGACCTGCAACAGGTGGCAAATTACGGCTCTGGATCGTGCTACCCCAGCTAGATCCTCCTCGACCGCCACGACCATAGCCTCCTCCGCGAGATGGGACATATCCTCGAGGACCTGCGGGTGGCGCACCAGGACTAATATCAGGTCGGCCGGATGCCGAGGGGACGATTGAAGACGGTCTGGGAGGTGGTCCTATCACCCCACCAGATTGGCTTCCGAACGCACGATTATCTCTTGGGCCTGTCGGAGGTGCTCGAAGCGCGGCGGGGCCACGGGGCGGAGATCGGGCGGGGGCTTGTTGGTCCTTCGGAGTTCCCTGAGGGCTTCTATCTCTGGTTGGACCTCCCTGAGAAGATCGAGACAAAGGTCGGGATGGCAGAGGAGACTCTGGGTGGGAGCGATCGTCGCGGCGAGGGGGGGGAGGGTGAGGAGATGATCGGCGGGATGTATCTCGAGATGGAATCGCCGAGGAAATGGCTGACTCGCGAGGTATCGAAGGACGTCTACTATAGGAACCAAAACGATCGTCTCGACGGTCGGTGCTACGAGAGCGAGCTCGGTACGTGCTAGCTCGTTGGATGGGAGGAGGGGATCGTCGGGGGGATCTGTCTCGACCGCGGTCTCTCTCATATGGAGATCTAGTTCTGCGTCTGTACGGAAAATTGGTTAGGGGAATATAATTAGGATTGATGGGGTTGGCGGAGTCGATGAAGTTGAAGTTGAAGGGGTTAATAGGGTTGACAAGCTGAAATGGTTGGGTGAACCTTGCGCCATAATCCCTTCGGGGAGATCGCATTCGATCTCTGTCATCCCGTCTCGGTGAAAATCTGCGTGGACTACTACGTCGAGGGGGGCTGCGTCGAGGGGACGAACGTCGGGGAGGGCTTCTACGAAGACTACGGCTTCTATCGCGTCGTCTCCAGCTGTCACCTCCCATGTCTCTAGCATCTCGAACGTCTCGAACATCTCTAACGTCTCTAACATCTCGTCTGTCTCGGGAAGGATCTCGGCGGTAACGGTCTGCACTACGTGAACGGCGTCGAGGAGATCGGCCAGGGACATAGCGGTCGCTATCTAGGATCGGAGGACTGCGTCCACGGGGAGGGCTTCTAGCTCGGCGTGGAGAGCGATTTGAGTTGAAGGGCCGATACGACTCACCGGCGCCATATCTAGTGACTTCGCCGTCATCGTACCTATAAAAACATTAAGTTAACTTCTGTTTATATTTATATAGTAAACGGGATTCAATAGGCTCAGTAAAAGACCAAGAGGGATGAATTGGCGCCAAAAGGACCAAACATGCCTTCGTAGTCATTATAGAAGTGCTGAGATAGTATAAAAAATAAATATTTACCTTCTGCTTCGCGCATCGCGATCCATATCGTAATCACTGTAACCAATGTCCAAGATGTCCTCTTGGAAGTAAGAAATGTGCAATGGATGAGTTTGCACTTCGAGTGCGGCTTGATCTTCGTAATCTGTTTCAATGGAGTAGTAAAGAGACTTTGGGGTGTCTAGATATTCACTTGATTCTGATGCTGATTCTAGAATTTGCTCTGGGTTGAATGTATTTTCTAGAGCATCAAAGAGAGGAATGCCTTGTACATCAGAGGAAGGCGAATCCTCAAGGTTCGCGTTAATCTCCAAAGAGCCTAGAGACTTGGCTTCGAGGTTTACTTCTGTTGGAAATTGACTAGCACCAGAAGTGGGTTGAGAAGCTTGAGAAGCTTCAGGGGAAGGGGATTGAGTAAGTCGAGGAGATGGAGATTGAGAAAGTTCAAGGCGAGGATGCAACTTCCTGTAGTTCGCTACATACTCTGGAATCGCAGGCTGGTTGCGATAACCATTGCTCCGGTTTAAAAACATCTTGGCCAGTGAGATAAGCGCGATAACGGAAGTATAATGCGCCTATCACCGCTCCCAGAGTCCCAGTATGCCTTAGCGCTAGCGCTATGCTTAGCGTGTTCTTAGCGGGAACTTAGCGTGTCTGTTAGCTTGTTCAGGGTCTATCTAGCCCCCTAAAAATAGGGATGTAAATTCCCAGGCGAGTGAAAGAGTTAACGAAGGATGTGTGATAGAAAAAGTGCAAGAAATGCAAAATTTCAGAGCGATGCAAGAAGGAAAGTGATGGGTAAATGTGTGTTTACATTTCTTGTAAAAGGAAAATAAAAGAAAAGGACATAAAATCAATAACGTAGAGTGAGAAACATATCCATAACCACCTGGCTCGTAGCAATAAATAGAGAGACGGTTTTATGAAGATCGTATTCAAACTCGATATGATCAAGTGCAAAATAGAAAAGAGCTCTGCGTAATTATCGCCCGGTTCTTCGGTACACCAATACGTTGATGCGTCGAGAAGCCAAGGCATAGAGGCATCGAAGTACACACTTCCCTTCCCAGAGGCAGATAGGCCTCTTACGCTTCTGGTATATACAGCTGTTCCTGTTTCTTCAAGTTTCCTAGGAAATTTCAATTCCCTCTAGCTCACTTCTCCTCCTCGGTGGTATTACCGCTATTCCCTTGCTCAACTCTCCCGTCGATGAATTGGTATACCTCCTTCGCGTGAGCCTCCATCATACGGTTTAGTCCAACTTGAGGGCTTCTTTGCACGCCTCCGAAGCGTTTCTTGACTACTTTCTTCGCTAGGTCTGCGTCCCCCCAGCAAGCATGATCATTAGTCACGTATACGAGAGAGTTTTGCTTATACCAGCTCGATAGCTCCGTATCTGTCTCTGATTTAACAGGTCGTAGGTTTCCCGTTACAAAATTAACAACGCCTGCAATTCGTCCCTTGCAATCTATAACATTATTAGTATGGAACTCGCGTTACAGGCTATGGGGTATACACACCTCGATTCGTCAGAAGGACCTTAACCCCCAAGTATGCATTGCCCACGCCTACTAGGAACAAATCATCCACGTCGTAGAGCTGAAGATAGTTGTCCCATATATAACACACTAACTCCTGAATCTGCCGCTGTAACGTTTTCTCATCGGCCCGAGGAGTATGTGCATCTAAATCTTCTGTGTGCGTAATGTAATGCGGTATGTTGACATCAAGGATACCAAAGTCGTTCTTGTGTGCCCAGTCAATATAGGACAAGACGCCATCCATCTACCATTGGTCAGTCATTGTCTCCAAAAATTAGTCTGTATGTACTCACGATGAAGCCGTTATGAGGATCAACTGTATTATCAACAAGATCAGGCATCACTTTTAGTTCGGGACTGATTGATTCGTTAGTAGAAAAACGATGGGAGTCCCTTAGGTTATGCTTACGGATCGTGAATGATGAACATAATCTTTCTCTTCGCTTGCAATCCAGGTGTGATGAGAACTTGGTTCTCAAATGATTTGTAGAGAACCTCTCTTTGGATGAAGAGAGGAATCATGGAATATTTCTCAGATAATAGTTGTCGTTGGTAACCCCGGATGACATCGTGCAGGCGTGAAGTCTTGTCGCCCAATTCTCTGACATCAATTATACCGGGCCTCATACATTCCCAGTAGGGGGCTTGAGATGCTTGGACCTTAACCAAGAGCTTCGCAGCCTCCTTATTAATGGGAGGTATCTCCATTTTAGGTGGCGGCTCTCCCATAAGTGTGCGACCGACGGCTAGGGCTGAATGGGAGATTGCTTTCAAGTTATAGCCTCCCTCAAGGCAGACAGCAACCTTTCCACCTGCGAGGGACATCAACATATGTGTCATATGAGCGTAGCAAGGGGGCGTAACGAAACATCCACCCAACTCATCACCATCGGCTGCATCGAAACCAGCAGAGATGATAACCATGTCCGGGTTAAACTCGTGAGCAATTGGCATAACAATCTTCTGAAAAGCAGCCAGATACTCGCCATCTCCCATCCCCTGAGATGGCCAGGCAATGTTTACGTTCTTGCCTCGGCCGGGACCCTCGCCAACTTTGTCTATGTCTCCATCTGGAATCATAGGATTGTCTGGCTTTCCCGGGTAGAAGTCGCCGTTGGCGTATACGTGAAGAGATATATAGAGGATGTTTGGATCCTCGTAGAACATGTTTTGTACGCCGTTTCCGTGATGAACATCCCAATCCAGGATAAGAATCTTGCGACACGTATCCGGGTACTCGTTCTGACAAACTTTAGCAGCGATGGGGACATTGTTAAATAGACAGAATCCCATAGGCGTGTCGTACTCTGCGTGGTGTCCGGGTGGTCGAATGATAGCAAAGGCATTTTTTACCTTGCCGGCGGCTACGTTTTTGCATGTTTCCACAGCACCGCCTGCCGCAAGCAATGCAGCCTCATACGACATACCGCCTACATAGAGAGAAGCTCTGCCTTGATCCAAACTATGACTTAGGACCCGTAGATCTCTGGTTGACATCTCGGAGAGATTCTGGACCCAATCGTAATGTCTCGGGGTATGTACTGTGCATATCTCCTGTTTTGTTGCCGGGCGAGCTGGGATCCTCCACATATACTTCGTAGGGTTGTCTTGAAGGATCTCATTAAGGTTTGAGTCATAGCCTGTATAAACAAGGCCGCCCTTCCTAAAGATTTCCATAATCTCTTCAATCCGTCTGGGATCTTCTGGATGGTGAGGCGAGGGACCAAAGTCTGCGTTCGCGTGAAGTTTCATCCTGTCATCGTAACAGCAGCCCGTAGGTAATAATCCTCGCCGCCGCATTGTCCTCATTAGACCATCCTCATCACATTCATCGCTATCATCCGTGTCGACATGCATACCATTATTGGCTGATGTATCACCAGTATCTCGACCAGTGACAGGGACAACGTGAGACTCGTCGATGCCATTAGGCGCATCTGTCATAGCTTGGTCTTCGCCCTCCATGGTATTCAGATGGCGGTCGAATCTGAGGCCCCTCTCCCCCAAGATGAATGGGTATTAAGTGCAAGATATCGAATAAAGAAAATCGAAAACACCTTGATTTTGAACTAGCTGATCGATCGTTGGATTTCCACCTCGGGGACCTATAGAACTAGACCGCGTTGGTCTACGAAAAGCGTCTTCACCAATCAATGTAGCCTAATCCAGATCCAATGAGCACGTGGCGATCTAGATACCTTGGGAGTGTTGTTGATTCGCATTCCCGCATGTGCTTGTGAAATATCGCCAAAGAGATCCTAAGATCTAGGGTGATGAGGCGTTGGTATTAGAATGATCTAGTAAATCGTTAGCCAGCCAAGAAGCAAATTACTTATAAGGTAATAAATAGGTGAGGGACAAAGTTAATTTGAGACACAGTTATGAAATGCATCCATGAGCTTATGGCGTTAGCCAGATGCTCTCATTCTAAGATTCATATAAAGCAACGATCTAGTCTGATAACTTCAACAACAGCGGTTTCCATACGTTCTAGGAGCAGCTTGTCAATTTACCTAGTGTCCTCAGATCCAAATGTATAAATATGTTGCTGTTTTTAGATTACATCGAGTTGCTGTAGAGTGAAAAAAAGTAAAAGCAAAAAAAAATAAAAAAGCCTGGAAATCAATACGGCAGACCGTTATACTTACAGGTGGTAACTTGCTTGGTGGCTCAACGATCACGCGAACCCAGCCTCCCAGTTCGATGAGAAGACAGCCAGTTCGTCAAGTGAGATGATAAATACAACTAATACCTAGAATTACTGTTAAAGAATCGTAGATAATATCCGATAATCTTTCGGAAGACGAAGGCGCACTCGGTGCGGCGTGTAATAATTAAAGAGCGTTCTTGTTGTAGTTACGGGTGGATGGATGTTATGTAAACTTGCCCAGGTCAGTAATTAATCTTTTTAGCGAGTTTAAGTTGAAGCTGGGGGCGCGGCGTATCGGACCCGGATAACCCCGTCCTATCAAAACAGACCTTTCTAGGGGCTACCTACGTGTACCTACCTCAGGAATTTAGGTAGGAACTACGCTACAATAGGCGCCTATAGGAAAGTGCAGGTTCGACCCTTACTGAAATTTAATTATCCTTAAATACTTGTATACCTAACTACTAAATACCTAATATATATATAAACTAAATTCTAAGAATTTATATGTTTATATTTTATAGTAATGAGCTGCTCTCGTCTACGAATAGTAGCACCTGCGTATGTAAGTGGCAGTCGCGCTTTATAGGGGAGCATTTAGAAGTGGTGGCTAAATCTCCTGATAAAAATACCAATAACAAATATCACGAGTATGCACCATAAAATTATTCGCATTATCAAGGAAATAGAAATGGAAATTGAAATTGACTATCAGCGACGAGAAACGTATCTGTATACCTAGCCTCAAACACACACCAAGTGGTGTGCCGAGAAATGCCATGGTATAGAATGAAATGAACTGCAAATTGTGACGGTTGGTTCCCTAGAAGATGTTTGGGAGTAAACTTGAGAAGGTTATACGCAACGCGGATGCCGTTGTCGTCTAATCAAGCAAATACCTCCCAAAGGCCGATTGTCTCTTCATAGATCACCACACCAATCTCGACCGATGAATGAAAAGCGAAGTAGGCGAAAAAAACCCTGCATGAATCCTGATGAAAGCATAACAATATACCGAGGGTTAATGACACTAGCATGGATGTGATCGTTCTCCATACTATGACTAGAACCCCTCCCCCGGTATATACCTCAAAGGTTTTGCAACTCTGGTTCCATGACTCAAAATCTTCAGGAAAAGATCTTGAACTGAGAAAAGTAAGCATCAATATCTTGTGCCCCTGGTGATACACCGTGAGAGTTCCGAACGAGGGAAATGTAGGGCTGTACGATTGACCATGTGAATATGTCGATGAATTCGTATCCCGTTATGGTGCTACTTCGAACCTATTCGTTGAAGAGTTCGAGAGATGACGTTTGATTGCGGCTTAGAGGTAAGAACCCGCACGACGCATTCGATAAGGAAGACGTACACCATGCGGTATCATGGTATCCCCGTTACACTTACGGCAACGACTAGACAGCAGCCCGCGACACTAGTACGGACAGCACGCGTCTGTGCCATCATCTCCGCGAACGACCAGTGCAGACTGGTCCTGTGGGAGACGGTCAATCTGAGCTCGAGTTAAGGGCACCTTTCCGTCCGGCCAGGCGTCATTCATCCAACGAGAGGCATGCTGGGAATCCATTTCAGAACCATCTAGAATTCCAAAACGCGGTACGTCTCGTGGGTCGTCGATTCTGCTCAAGGCGACGCGTTCTTCTATAACCTTCCGGATAGATACGGACAAGGTCTCGGTGTCACGAGAGAAGTCACGCGAACCCTGAGATATTTCGCGCGCGGTTTCAACCCTCTTCCAGTTCGAAAAGTAGATCAGATAATACTTGAGCTGCTCGGGGGACAGCTTCGAGTACGTGTCGACAATCTTCTGGTGTCGATATTCGCGTTGTCCCCAAGGAACGAGGTCTACTCCTTCGTTACCCTACGAATTAATTAGCGCATGTGTTAAAGCTTTATTCGATCTTAGGAAGGAGACATACCTTGCACACACAAACACGTTCGGGGGATGAGCAGAGATCCGCGCTCACTGCTAATTTCACCACACCCCACAGATCATTCAGCTCATAGATCTCATTGGTAGACATGGTTCGAATCTGCTGAAGTCTTGTATCGTCTGACCATCTCTTGGGCTGCTGGTAGTTGCGATAGTTGTAAGTGAATCCATGGTGGTAGTGAGCATACAGCCACCAATGTGCGACTGCCTTTCTGACTCGAAGCTCCTCGCTGCCTCGCAAGCAACGGCGGTTCAGGTGAGCGTCTCTCCAGCAGACGCGAGGGAATAACTCAACCCACCAGTCAATCACGGTTGCCATGTTCCACAATGCCATAAGATCCCATGGCTTGAGGGTATACTTCGGAACTTCGGCTGGCGTGAGGCAGCGACCCTGGGTCACCGAGCAGGGAACGATAGTCGAATTCGGAGCAACATCTCCGTGCATCAAGTTTACCGTGAAGAGGCCGGTATTGAAATCGATGATACGAGGGCGGAGCATACGGGCAGGATGCAGTTCATCCTTGTGAGCCGTAAGGAGATAAAGCATGGTGTCGAACTCGGGTAACCCTTGGAGAACATTGATCATGACGGTGTGCTTGTATTGCTCGAAGATTACAAACACTGACTTGCATGACAAAACAAAGTTCGAAAGATTTGTAGGTGTCAATTGCTCCATCACCTTGAGTAGGACCTCCGGAGGCACGTCGAGGATATAGGATTCGCCCACGCCGACGAGGGCAGATGATTCATCAGTCGAAGACATGTTGAATCTAAGTACAATGTGTACTTATTATTCACATGAAGAATATACTTGTCCGCGTACGACTGACAGTCGGCTTGGAGGGTATTGTGCAGAGAATGGGATTGAATCACGACAGGATCGAAATCCGGGCAAGTCAATGATCCTTTATGGAAAACGAGGTGGGCGGTAGGTTACTGTTGATGAATGCAACAACTTATCTTGAGCAAACCTGACAAAGTGTCTCCCAATGTAGATGGCCCGCTTCAAGGAACTAGCAGGCCAAATGAAGTATTTGCTGGCTGGGAATTGAGTTTGAAGAAATTTGCAGGGAGCAAAATGGTTGAGCTTCGGGGTTGATTTTCGCAGGCGAAGCAGAGAAAATGGCAAGATTGTGGTGTTGGGGGGGAGGATGGAATGGATGAGGATGGAGAAGTTTTGAGAAAAGGGTAAAGGGGAAAGGAAAGTAGTGCGTATGAAGGGAATTTCGATCTAGAAAACTACCTAGGTAGGTAGGTAAGTAGGTAGGTAGGTATGAATGAGTGCTATATGGATTGGGGGAGGACGATAAGTCGCAATATCTGAATACAAAATCGACGACACCTTCACCGGCTTCGAAGGAAGCCCAAGTCTCCCAAGAAACTCACGATTCCGAGTCTGGTCGACAGTCTCAAAGAGATGACTGTTTACTATAGGGGATAGATACCCAGCCAACTCACATAGATCGAATTGTGGTATGGACAGTTTGTCTTTGGCCTAACCAACTACCTAAGGTAAGAAACCAAAGTGGATGTTCACGGCCTTTGGTCATATATTAGACAAAGTTCAGAGTGATATAGACTATGAGCATACCTCAGCTTGAACCAGATAAGTCGTTGAAAATGTGTTGCTTTGAGTGGTAGTCGCTAGAAAAGATATCCCTTGTTGAATGATGACTACCAGCACAAACAATACGTCTGTTGATCTCTGAAGCCTTGCTGGCTGAACAAAACTACCAAAGTAGTTCACGTGTATATTACAGCACACGTCTCAAGTGGATCTCCCCAATTATGCTGTTCCTTTTTGCACCAAGAGGTTGAGCTCATATAATGCCTCAGCCAACCTAATGCTAGAATGTCGACAGGACTATCTGTGTCTGCCACAGCCTAGCACCCCTTGGTAGACCCAGGGGCAGAGAGATAATGGACTCAATCTGCGGCGACCCCTCCTTTGGGGCTATACTGGAGAAGAGATATCTTCAGCTGCAATAAATGCTGCTGGAATATGTCCGCCATAGAGGCGGACATGTCGTATAGTTGTGTCATGATGTCGCTTGATGAAAAAGAAAAGAGATATGTTACGAGGCGCGACGACTCAAGCCAGTCTTGTATGATCCGTGCCCCCCTACCATTTCAGGGGACCTAGGACGTTAATTTCGGATTAATATCCCACCTAGCGCTAACGCTATTTAGATCATCCACATAACTACAAGTATGTATCTTCGTACCTATGTATCTTCGTACTTAAAGATACATCTAAAATGTACCCTTAGGACTACATCCATGTATGTATCTATTCTCACAGTATTCAAATCCATATTTACACGCTTCCAGTATATGCATAATAACCATACGTACTACTTCGTACGATTCTATTTAAAAGGGTAGGATTGTCGATTTTAGATCAATTTTAAAGAGTACTTGGTAACTTAGTGTATGAGTATTGCATCTAATAGAGAATTGTTACAGATCCCAGGGTGTTATCGCAAACGCCAGAACGCCAATCTAGGTAGCAGAATATACCACTCAAGCGAATAGCTCTTTGGTGTCAAGCGCATCCACTGGCGCCGGTCTTCCGCCATTCGTCCGCAAGCCCAGATCACCAGTTTTCGCGAGCCTCTCCGTGAATTGCTCAGCACGGGCATTATGTTTCGTAGCCGTTCTCCTCCGTAAATCAGCTCTGACCTGGTTCGGTGAGACGAACTCCTTATTCTCGTAAATGATCGGCCCTCCAAAAGATCCTTCTTGTATAACGATAGGTGTTAGGACGAACCGCGGTCCGATCTCAACCAAGCTGACGTCGAGTTCCTTGTTGCGACTCTTAGACTTCGATTGAACTTCTGCCTCATCGCCCTCGCCTTTCGCTTTAGAAGGTTCCGACTCATTGATCTGATAATTTCGTACCCATATCTTCCCATCCGCAAAAGTGAACCCCATGACGTGATCTATAAAGGGCTTGGATTTTCTTGCGCCTTGAGGTACGCCGAAGGAATGAAGGAAAAGCTCCTTGATGACTTGCAAGTAAGGCTCCTTGTCGAAAGCGGCATCGAAGGATAGAATAGGTCTCGATCCTTTTAGGCAATTGCCCGTGAAGTGTAATTCTAGAAGAAAGAATGAGTAATCGCCTAACTACAGTCGCTCCAACCCAACTAGAATGAGAGAAGTATAGACCAACTTACCTTCCATCGTATGCAAGTTCTGTAGGTGCATCTTGACTGTCGGCCCATTGGGAACTTTGCCTAGCCAGACGTATAAATCTTGACCCTTGCGCGCCTCGAAGAAAAGGACATTGTTGCAGTTGTACAGCTCAGCGAGTTCGTTAAGTTGGAAAAGCTTTGATTTCGAGTCGAACTTCGCGTCCTTGCGGCCGTGCGGGAGCATAGCCGCAAGATCATTTAGTAAATGTCTATGCCTATAAGTAATAATTGTTAGATGCTATGCGCAGGTCTTCTGGATCCATGAATTCAACAATACCTATAAGTCACGCCTCTAGACGACAATATCAAGACCCTTTGCTTATTTTTTCGGACGCCATTGGCAGGTGCCTCGGCCTTTTGGCCGTTGGTGCCCTTTGATAAGGACTTATACACGGCAGCCATTGTTTGTCGATGATGCCAAGGTCGGAAAAATGAATTGAAGTAGTTCAAGTTTGCGATTGAGGTCGCAAAGTGAACTTTTTTCTTTGGCAAGCTTATCGATAATAGATATCGTCGATGGTGGGGCTGAGGTAAAAGTTTAAACAAATAACTGGGTACCTTAAGTATCTTAATCCCTGTATCCAATATTTATTATGCGATTTATGTAGGTACAATGCACAGATGTACTTTGTGAATCGTGGTATCTATGTCGGTATCCGCCAAGCTGCCAACCGATCGCCTAGAAGGATCTGATGTAAGACATGATAAATCCGCTTCGAGCAAACGGTCACTCACCATATACTTACTTGCCTAGTAGGCGAAAAGAATATAGATGATGGCCTGCTTATGGCTTTTTTCTAAGCACGTGTGATCGATTTTAGACCCATTGCGTCGGTAAGACGAGCCACGTTGATTATTACCAAATCTAGAGATCACAGTGACCTCAGTGACTTCAGTGACTTCAGTGACTTCAGTGACATATACAGGCAAAAAAAAGATAGCATTCAGTAACTACGTCGGGTGTGTTGTTAGATTAGATATGTTTAGTAGCCTCCAGCTGTCAAATTTCAGAGTACGGCCACAAACATCAATGAAACGCAGAGAGAAAAAAAGGAAGAGAGCCATGCCCCGTACAAGGTCAATATTCCGTACCCCATGACACATCCACTCTTCCGCAGAGTGTGTTCGTTCCGGACAATATGTGACGCCATATACGTAACATCATACCAGCCGTATAACCGTCTCATCATCCCACAACGTATGCATTGGACTAGCAGCACTTTCCACCCTGCTTTGCGGCATCGTCGGGGGACTTGCTCAACGAAATGTTGGTGCCTGCCATTGGGGCTTGGGAACCTTCGCCGCTATCTAGGGCCTTGCTCGAAACGATGCGGTAGATTTCTAATTAAGAACGTGGGGTCAGAATTCGGCTGCCTTGAGTAGCGCTCCAGTAAGCTTAGTATTGAGAAAAGGACACATACCAGTAAGGATATTCTGGAACGCAAGCTCGACGTTGCTGGCGTCAAGAGCTGAAGTTTCTATGAAAGAGAGGTGATTTTCGCCTACAAGATCCTTTGTTAGCAATCTAGATGTTATCTTCATAGATCGTACAGAGCACGTACTCGCAAAGGACTTGGCTTCCTCTGTGGGGACAGCTCGCAGATGCCGTAAATCGCTCTTGTTTCCGACCAACATGATGACGATGTTTGCATCGGCGTGGTCCCGGAGCTCCTTAAGCCATCTTGTGACGTTCTCGTAGGTCTGGTGCTTGCTGATGTCGTAGACGAGTAGCGCACCAACAGCTCCTCGGTAGTACGCTGAGGTGATGGCGCGATATCTTTCCTGACCCGCAGTATCCCAAATTTGCGCTTTGATGGTCTTGGAATCGACCTGGATGGACCTGGTCGCGAATTCGACACCAATCGTCGACTTAGAATCTAGGTTGAATTCGTTCCGAGTGAATCGACTGAGAAGGTTGGACTTTCCGACGCCCGAATCTCCAATCAGCACCACTGTGATCCCATATCGTCAGTAATTGCATTTCGGAGTTTAGGTAGTTGGCAAGTGGCGGAAGTACCTTTGAAGAGAAACTATGATAAGTGATAGTTAGTTAAATGCACTAGATAGAGACAATTCTATAGTCCGAGAGATAGAGCTCACATCGTATTCGTCGTTAGCCATGTTGGGCGATGAGCTTCGTAGTTATGAGATGTAGTCTCGGAAAATTGGTAAAGGAGTGGCAGAAAGATAAAACGATAAAACGGTGTTAGATGGTAGGAGGCGTAACCCTGGAAGAAGGTTTGTATGCAAGGCAACCACAAAGGTTGAAGAGCGGCGCTGTTGTCACAATGACTGAAGGTCGGCGGAATTTCAACGGGATCCTCTCAGGGCTTCCTCGTTGTCACGGTTTCGGTTGTCAGGAAAGGTTTTAGAATTGTCTTGTAGATGCAGAGATGCAGGCGATCGAATATACCTAAGTGGTGGAGTTGTGAATGGGGGGAATTAGGTACCGTGCCTACCTCTGTACTTTAAAGCAAGCGGTCGGGCTTGGTGCTATGATAACCTTGAAACTACAACGGCAGGTACCTAGTTACATACATCCACACAGCACAGGTAGTAGCTACCATTGCTGCCCCGACCGCAACAACTTCTAGCGCATTATTAGTGAATCAGGCTAGCGCAGGGAGGTCCAAGTGACACGCGGGGCGGTGCAAATTACTATCACGTGATATTACATCCCCTCTCTGTCATATTACCTAAGCTTAATTTTCTACGCGCGCCCTCATACCTTAAAGGAGCAGGGCACATCATACCCCTTTCATGACATGATGTAATTTGTTTCAATGCTAGATACACTCAAACTCGAAGAGGTCATTTCGATATCAAGAATCCGGTTCGAATATATCACAACATCTTAGACTTACATACTTAATACCTTGAATATATCCAAAATCCGCCACAAGTCATATCTACAAATCAGTTTGGGTATATTATTTCATGCCCAAGAATATTTATCGTGACCACAGTATCCGAAAAGAAACATGGCATCAATTCGATTCTTCTACAGCTTCAAGGGTACTCAGAAAAGAAGAAATAATTAAACAACCCTCCTTACTCTCATTCCATCTTAATAACAGCCCTAAACCTCGGTTTGCCACTCATCATCGCATCTACCAAGAGTCAGCACAACGCCCAACATCACCATTCACCAGAACTTCAAATTTCGGGATACATACCATAAGCCTCCTGCACCTGTCCCAACCCCCACGTCTCAACCATACACTCCACGCCATGGCTCGCCGCAAACCTGACCGCGTCCTCAGAATCCCTATTCGTGCCGACCGGCCAAGCCTGAACCGAGACGCCACGCTGCACCATATCCGTATGACTTAGCGTCATCTCCCCAGGCAAGCTCAGCACAACCAGTTTTCCCAAGATCTTCAACCCACGGATCACTGGCGCGAACGCCTCGACAGATAGGGCAGTTGTGAACGCAACCTGCGCCCCTCCTAGGGCCTTGAGAGCCGCTCCCGCGTCGCCCGCTTCCGAGTCGATGTACTCGTGCGCGCCAAGCTCACGGGCGGCAGCTTCTTTTTCAATGCCGCGCGAGATGGCGATCACGCGGTACCCCATCCGGTTCGCGTATTGAATGGCGAGATGTCCGAGACCGCCGAGCCCTTGTATCGCGACAGCATCGCCGGGCTTAAGGTCCGCATGGCGTAGCGCGTTGAAGACGGTTGAGCCCGCGCATAGGAGAGGTGCGACTTTAACTGCGTCGATGTCTGCGGGGACGCGGACGGCGGCTTCGGCGCGGATGGTGCAGTATTCGGCGACTATGAGTTTAGTCAGCCCTCTTACGCCTCTTGTACTTTTTCACGATCGAAGTGTAGTGCAGAGAAGAGTGAAATTACTTACATCCGCCGTTCCGATTTATGCCGTTCGCGATGGGGTTATCGCACATCTGCGGCCAGTTCTGCAGACATTGATCGCATGTGCCGTCTTGACCACCGTGGTAACCTGCGCCGATACGGTCACCAACATTCCACCCCGTCACCTCTTCGCCGATGGCAGCTACTTTTCCGACGATTTCATGACCTGGAACGATGGGAAACCCACCGCCGAGGTAGTTGAATTGGGCGCACACGTCTGTGTGACAAACCCCGCACGCCTCAACCTTCACCAAAATCTCGCCAGCTCCAGGCATGTTCAGCGGCACATCTTCGAGGACTAAATTCTCTCCGATGGCTTTAAAAGAGGCTTGTCTGTATGATTTTGGCAGTGCCATGGTTGATTGTCGATTTTAAAGCGGACTCAGGGGCAAGCGTCTAACGAAGTACTGGGATTGAATTCTCCAACAGGTAAGATATTTACGTTCATCTCCATATCGAAAAATGTGCTTTACGATATATTTTCTTTATATACAAATCGCCCTCACATGAACGACTCTATTGCAACTTGTTTACGAACAAGTAGAACTTGATACAAGATTTTTATCCCGGCCGGATTTAAGTCTTAAACTCGCAAAGTTCGTCAATAGTCAAAATTTGGCTGATAGTGTTGCAAGTCTTGTGACTCAGAGTCCTAAGTCGAGCAACTATTTCATGGCAGTAGTCTGTATAGAATGACCGTGCCGTTTTCCTACATGGCATGCGTATACTTGTTGCTTGCCTGGAGCAGGGTTGAGGCGCAGTAATAGGTAAGAGTGTAAGAAGCCACCATTGGTTTCACGATAGCAGAACCGGAGTTTCCGCAGATAACTCCGAACGTCATATTTTAACTTGAATAATTATTTAATATCACGATCCAGCTTTCTCAACAGTGTATCCTTTGAACTACCTATTTAATAGAGGTGTATGCATATTTACCTAGTTATTCATTGAACCCCTTTCCGTCAATGACGAAACCCATTAACCGGAGGCTTGGTTTGAACCAGCATATTTACTGGCGTGTCTTCCCACATCCTAAGAGTTTATAATCAAAGGAGGCGGAATACTGGTTTTGAAGAGATATATAAGTTGGAAGACTATGGCAAGAGGGGTAGTAAGTTGACAAAAGGGGTAAGCCAAGCAGTTTAATGATTTGCGTTCCCTTTAAGGTTAAATCAACAACGGCGCTGCCCATCGGCACGATAAAAATTGCTCTGAACTTGCTCCTCATTACGTTTCGCTATGTCTATGTTGCGCTCTATAAAAATGATTTATCTAAACTCTAAAAAAAATTATGAAATTGAGAATAATACAAATCGTGAGTCTCATTCTATAGGTATAAATAAGAGGAGAAAAAACCTATTCCGCGACTTCCGGGGAGTGCCTAATCAGATATACTTCTTAACCTGCTCATCGGACCAATCCCAAAATTCTCTCCCAAATCCGGCGCCACCTTCCGACTTGTTTTTGGAAGCAGCAACCATTGCATTCGGAGTAGTCATGAGCCTTCCCCAGGGAGCGACTAGTTCACAGTTAGCTTGATCGGTGCGAGGGCAATAGCTGTGCGAAACTCACTGTGACTTCCAGATTTCTCAAGGGAGACTTGGGGCGAAAACCCGGAGAATAAACACGTGTACGCTCCATAAATCGAGGGATATAAAAGCATCGTTTTCAAGAACCATGTCGTGATCGGGCCTTGGGTACGCCATAAGTCGGAGTCGAGGTTACCAGGGTTCAATGAGGTGGATACGATGCCGTCCTTCTTGTGTCTGCCAGCGAACTCGGTGGACTGTAGGAAATTCCCTAGCTTGCTAGTAGAGTACTGATCAAACAAGCTCCCCTTGTGGTTGTTGTATACCTGATTCATGAACCCCTTGGCGTTTGCGGCCTGGGCAGCAGATGACGACACCCAGACTACACGGACAGAGTTGGGTTGCGATGTCTTCGCCGTTGAAACGAGAGTGGGTGTCAGGAGCTTCGTCAAGGCGAAGACACCGATACAATTTACTCCGAGTTGGAGTTCATATCCTTGCTTCGTCCTGGATCCCTTCTCTGGAAACGCAACGCCTGCATTGTTGAATAGGACGTCGAGTTTCTGTTCCTTGGCTAGGAACTTTTCCACTGATGGCTTGATGGTCTCGAGATCCGCAAGATCAAGGTGAATGTATGTGAGGTCACCGGCTGACTGCGGAACTGCCTTTTTGATGCTTTGGATGGCATTCTTCATTCTCTCCTCAGAACGTCCCATCATGTAAACCCTGGCATTCTTTGAATATAGAACCTGAGCTATTTCCTTGCCAACACCTGTGTTTGATCCGGTAACAATCATAACCTGACGATATGGTAAGTCGATATTCAAGTAAATCTATGATTGTTTTCGAGTCAGAGTCACAATACATACCTTATTCGTTAAATCCGGGACATCCTTTTCCGTGAAAGCCGGCTTTGCTGGGAAGGCCTGTCGAACAATACCGATGAGATTGGTGAAATACGACATTGCGTCTGAAGGATCTGGAAGTATGGTGAAATGGTATGTTATTGTATATGTTTATCTCTGATGGTGTCTGATTATGAGAAGTGATTTACTTAAGATTTCTACCGGAAAAGCATTTTATATAGATTGACGTCCTGCATATTGGCTATACTGGGTAGGTACCTGATACTAAACACTTCCTAGGTAGCGACGGTCAATCCCGCGGAGTTTACTAACCAGGGGATTGAAATAACAAGGTTGAAAAGATCCTAGCGGGTTTACTGATACCACTTCCTTTACCCTCTTTTCGCTTCATTATTTTGATCATCTTTTCACTGATTTGGCTAGAATAGAGTTAGGGTGGTGGAGTGACAGGTTTAGAATACGATTCAACGCATTTCGGGTTTCTCTAGTAAGATAAAGGGGCATTCGAATCCCGCGGCATTACGTAAGATCGTCGGACTGTTCTGAACCCGCAGTCCGTAAAAGCCGCGGGGTACGGAGTCTAATGTCGTCGGTCTCAACCATCAACTTTCAACCTCACCACCAATCCCGGTCGCTAACTAATCATCAATTCACCACCGCGGTTGTTCTACCCGCGTCTTGTCGGAATTCGGTATAGCTGTCGAGATACAGATATTGTCGGGAATACTAATCCGAATATATTTCCATCCTATTGGACCAGCCGATTATGAGATGAAATGCCTTCTGGCTCGATGACAGGTGATTCCGCATCGTGTAGTCCGGCACCTTACGGACAGGCATGTGCCGGCTGCTCCCGCGCTAAATGCAAGTGCTTTTATCGCTCTGATGGCTCTTCATGCGAACGATGTCACCGCCTAGGAAAGACCTGCCAGCCTGCGCTGGCTCTCCGCAAACGTAAGGCTCGTACTCCACCGCCGCCACCTACGCAACATCCTCCGCCTGTTAATTCGCGGCTTGAGGAGAAACTAGATGACCTAGTATCTCTCCTGCGTTCTCAGGCTGGTGAAAGGCAAGGCCAACATCAGACCCTGTCCCAGCGACATACGCCGCAGTCAACATCAGAAGGAACACCTGGTGGTTACGGCGAGTCTATATCCTCGATGTCGGTACATGAGAATCCGGATGTCGTACTAGATACTGCTGCCTGCGTTGTCCATCTTCTACGCCCAGTTACACCCCCTATGTCACCATCACCCTTATATGACGATATATCTATCCACCGTTTACCAGAGAGGATTGCAGAGGAGCAGTTAGAATCATTCCGTCGCTCCTTTCTTTCGACATTTCCGTTTATCCATATCCCTGCTACTACGAGCGCAGCAGAGCTTCGCCATGAGAAGCCCTTTTTATGGCTTATCATCATGGCTTTGACTGAAAAGACTGTTGCGCAGCAATTCGCAATGGAGGCTACTATATGGCATATCGTATCACGCAGGATAGTAGCCCAACATTTTGCCAATTTGGATTTACTCCTTGGCGTCATTTGCTTTGCTTCTTGGTCTGTTACGCCCGACCACCTCCTATCTTAGTTCTAGTTGGGTGCTGTGTAATAGCTTGAGCTGACCATCTTTAATCGTAGGTCTCACTTTTTCAAAAAGGATAAGCCTTTCATGACTATGCTTTCTCAAATCGCTATATCTCTTGCTCTTGAGTTAGGTATTCATCGCAACCCATCTACCACTCCGCTACGACGTAGTCGTCTTCCGACTCAACTACCCGAGAGACAGCGTCCCAGGACGATGGAAGAACGCCGCACCATGCTTGCTGTGTTCCATCTTTCATCCTCGTAAGTAGTTTACCTTTCATCTTGCTCCGTGAATTTTATTAATCCCGTATTTTCAGCTCGTGGACAACATATCGAATGACAGATCCCCTTCGCTGGACGTCGTATTTGGAAGAATGTCTCCGCCTCTGCAGTGAAGGGAGGGAGACTCATCTCGACATTCTCTTAACGGCACAAATCAAGTGTCAAATAATAACGAACCATCTGTCTTGCGCTCCCTATGACGAGATAGTTGGATTAGAAGGCCCAAAAGCGTCGTCAGCAGCTCTAACCACAGCTCTGCTAAGGCAGCTCAATGATATCCGTCAGAGCTTGCCAGCTGATATCGCATCATATAGTAGGAACCACAAACCCCTTAACGTTCAGAAAAAACCTAATATTTCTAAGGGACTGTACAATTCTACCTCCTCCACACAGAACTCAGAATTCGGGAGTCTGCACTCGGCCGACCGAGATCTCAAGACCAAACCGGTTTGTCGCAGTTTCAACGTTCGCAAGATCTTGAATCGGTCTTGAGTACGATCGAACGGTGGTTTATGGTCTACTCAGAAATGCCGCTATCCGACTGGATCGGTTTCACAGCCGATATATTCACACAGTTCATGCAATTCCTAGTCGTCAATTTCAAGCTCTCTATCCTCGACGAACCCGGATGGGACGTCCAAGAAGTACGCCGACGGGCTGATGTCTTTGAAAAGTTGGACCGCGCATGCGAGAACGTTGAACGCGTCCCGACAATAGTAGGTATGGTGGACGCGGATGGACCGCGCCGCGGGTTCTTCTTTAAGATTACGGCGCTCCTCCGCAGCGTCAAAGCCCTGTTCCTGGCTGAAATGCCATCACCCGCCGCTTTCCCAACCCCAGAAAACAGTACCGACGCGAATGATATTAATATCGGCGCGAGCGAGGCTGAACTCATGGATTTCTCATTTTCAGATGAGATTCTCCTAGGAATGTTGCAAGATGACATTCTAAGCCCGGCTTGGGATTTTAGGGTGGATAGTTCGTATATGCCCTTCCCTTCGTAAATTTATGGCCGCTCTACAGCGTACAGAGTTGTCTGAGGGGTTGAATATAGGGGATTTGACTGGTTAAAATCACATATGCTTGAGGCTGTTGTCTCATATTTTCAGCCCTCATTAGCGCTGACGCCCCTATTCTTATAGAGGAAACTCGCTGATAAAATACAGTATAAAAACAGTGTGAGCCACCAAATTCACTGTATCTTGACAGCTTATCGTCGATGCAGGCTATGGTGGCAGTGCCTGTGACCTGTCCATTTATGGACAAGCACGCTTACCCTTGGTCCTTCTACCTATTGGAGGCCTATATTATACTCATTAAAAGAAGGAGAGCTGAATCAATCTTCGCTAAACTTCCAAAGTGAAAATTTACCTCAGATTACACTACATTGTATCCTGTAAAAATGCGGTTAATAAATACCAGAGACTATAGAATGGAGGAATTCTTCGGCGACCAAATACCGATATACGCCATTCTCTCTCACACGTGGGAAAAGGGAGAGGTGACATTCCAAGATTGGCAAAATATTGATTCTTCGTCAATCCGCAAAAAGCCTGGGTTCAAAAAGATCAAGGCGGCATGCCGACAGGCAGTAACGGACGAGTTGGATTGGCTGTGGGTTGACACAAACTGTATTGATAAGAGCAGTTCCGCAGAATTGACTGAGGCGATCAACTCTATGTTCGTTTGGTATCGAGATGCGGAAGTCTGTTACGCATACCTACAAGATGTCCCATCTACAGGTCTTCGCAATGGGAAAATCATGTCTTCGTTCGAGAAGAGCAGATGGTTTAGTCGAGGTTGGACGCTCCAAGAGCTTCTCGCGCCTAAGCAAGTTATATTCTACACGGAGGATTGGATGAGAATAGGGTCAAAGGCAGGGTCTCTAATATCCAAAATAGCCGCAATAACTGGCATTGATGAGATGTACTTGGATGGCTCCATGAACCTGAGCGCATCTAGCGTTGCAAAAAGGCTATCATGGGTGGCGGACCGAAAGACGACTCGAGTCGAAGACATCGCATACTGCCTATTAGGTATCTTTGATATAAACATGCCTCTTCTATATGGGGAAGGGATAAAAGCCTTTACACGACTTCAACATGAGATTATCAAATCCTCAAGCGACCATACCATTTTCTGCTGGACATGGAACGACGATGTACCGTCCGACTGGGTGAGCATGCTAGCTCCGTCTCCAAAGCACTTCTCCGACTCGGGAGAATTTGTTAGGAAATCTGGAGTCACCAGGCTAAAACCATACTCAACGACGAATGTCGGACTATCAATACAATTACCAGTTGTTTATAGCTGTCGCATTATATATGCTATTCTCGATGTAGGCAAGGAATCCGGAGAGCATTACGAATACGTCGCGATCCCTTTAAGGGCGGTTCGTTCGCGTAACCAATTCGATCGATGCTATTTTCCCGAAGCCCCTATTTTAATAGATCGACCACTACTTTCAGGGCGACATAAACATTCCGGGGGGTCCAGTGGTGAACATCTCATAGTGCGATCCATCCATGACGGGCCGGGACAGAGTCCAACTTCGCTTCAACTCAGCCGTTACAATATGCTTATTCTAGTGGACTTTGAATCCCTTTTCTTACACAACAAAGGAAAATCTTTGTCTTCAACAAGCAGAACCGAATATTTTGAACTCGGAATTCGCGACTTCGGCTTTGGTCCCGCTCGGGATGCGGTCGAAGCAACCGCTATGATCGGCCTGACCAAAATAGCGGACGAACCTTCTATATATGCAACAGTTGCTCGGATCAGGAATACGAAAACACAATACTCCGCCGATATTTTATTTGTAGTCAAAGAGGGGTCGAGAGGTGCCAGTTTCTCCAACTGGATCTGCCAGATCTCTCCTAACCGCCACCGCGGTAGTAACGAAGAAAGCTCTTCAGAAACTTTAAAGAAATCCGTGTTGAAGACAATCGAGATTTTTAAGGAACGGGCCATGTTCACGCAGACAAGAGATATAGCGGAAGACGCGACCTGGTGTGTCAAACTAGGGGGGACCGTGCTGGCAAATGATAATTCCGAGATCCGTATCGTTCGTATATGTAATGGCCAGGACTTTTACGACGAAGAAAACTTTGGCAACGAAACGATGTCGGATGCAGATGCGGTCGAGAGTTCAATTGCTATTTCGAAAGCTAAGGTTAAAGGGATGATGAAATTACACAACTTCTCTTAAGTAATTGATCAGTTAATTCTAATGAGCATTACTTCATTACTCATCAATACTTGCATCTGGGTAATTACCTAATCATTTAATAATCCACTGCTACCCAAATCATGCAGCGTAGAAGTTCTCAAACGCCACCGGCTGCGCAACACCTGTTTCTACTTCCTGATTTGAATGACTAAGGAATGATTAAGGGACGATCAGGGAATTACTAAGGAATTACAAAGGAAATATTACCTAAGCCCTGAGGTTACACAGTGTTACTAAGATATTACGAAGATATTACTAAGGCAATATTAAGGCAATATTAAGCCATAATACATATACGCCCTTTTCCTAAAGCGCTTCTTACTGCGAGTGTATTCTTGGATCATGTTAATTTGGACCATTGGTTATGCTAAATTAAGTTACGGTTGGTTCGTGTGAAAGGATAACATCTCCCCAAAATCATTTATCGAAGGCGTGGGTATTTCGTAACTTTAGGATTCTCATATACAGCTCATTCTACGACGATGTCTCTGGTATGTAGGCTACCCCTATCTTATGATACACAAGCAAAACCCAGCAGCAAATGCGAACTATTTCTTCTGAAGTAGCTTAGCTAGAATCTTTTCGGCGCTGTCCACATCAACGTGATTTGCGTCGCGGCGTTCGCACTTCATATCGTAATACCAGTCCAGAGTTGACTTATACTGGTACCCCATCGTCTGGTATGAACCGTTTTGCTTTCGAGATTCCATGGCACATTCATATAGATGGTTTCTACATTTGGTCTTTTCCACCTTAACCTTGGCGCGTGGCGCGTGCCAGACTAACCTCTGCATTTTGCCTTCGTCGCTATGATGTCTCGGGGGTGGCTCGTGTTGTTGCGCTGATAGTTGATAGTCTGAAAATCTCATAGTCGCGCCCATACTCCATTCGGATTCCGTAAGCGATATCCAATCCCTATCACGGAGAAGATTATCGAAGGGAGGCATCCAGGTTTTACCATCGTTCATCACCTCTTGAAGCCTTCGGTAAGTCACATCCAGAATGTTGTCTGACGGCTTGAATTCGAGGTACGTGTTGCTGCTCACGTGAACCTTCTCGAGATAGAATCGACTATCTTTTAGCGGCAATTCTTGCTTGACAATATCTATTAGTTTTCGTTGCATGTCCAGAAGGAGAGATCCAGTATTTTTTTCTCTATCGCGAGCATGTATATCCCAGACGAACAACTCCATTCGACTATAAGCGTTGGGCGATAAGTGGGGGTTGACAGGTCTAACCGCTGCGATCCATGCGTGACGCCCGTATGTCTGGGGAGGTGCCTTTGAATCCCACTCCCTATCTATCGTGTAGAACAAGCCGTACCAGGTATTTGAACTCCTATTAAATGCTGGGGTCCTGCCTATCCAGTTCTTGAAGGTGTCGTATTCGCATCTGGGATCACCGAAGTGATCGGCCATATTCACATTCAACCACGATACAGGATTGACATGCAGCTTGGCCCAGTTTCCTTTCCTGCTTTGATTGAAAATGGCTGTGATGTGATAGCGTATTTCACTAGCGCTATCATTTTTGAATATATCACTCTTGAATTCATTGAATGTGCGAGAGGCGGGCGTGGCTGGAGTAAATCCGGTATTTGTGTGGCCGGGACTCATAGGAGTATCTTGATCAATTGCTCCAACGTGCTCTGTGGTTGAGGCAGCCTCTTCTGCCCGACGACGTTTACCTTCAGAAATCAAAGCGATGTCAGGGTCGCCTACCGTTTCTGCAGTGTATACAGGTATTTCTATGTTCCTGTACGCCGCTCTGTTTTTATGGTTACTCGAACCGAGTACAGTAAACTTGCGATATTGATCGCACTTTAGAGTCGACCACCAGCAAAACCAGTTGACTAGGCTCTGTTCATCATTGGGGTCGATGAGGTCCGTGATCCAATGCACCTTCCGTATATCTTCACTGGCTTCTTCGTCTCCGAAGTTGTCCATGATATCCTTCAAGACCTCCCATGATCGGAACCTCGCCTCAAGATCGGCTCTACTCAGGCCAAGTTCTGTCATCATTTCCTCGCGCCTAGGATCATTTCGGCGTGTCGAGTAGATCGTTTCGTGTTCCTTCGCCTTCTCTAACGTGATGGCTTTCAAGTAGTTGGGGAAATCCGCACATGCCATTATCAGGTAGTGAGGATTGACGCAATAATTCCTGAACCATTCGAGGAATTGGCAGAGTCTTACTGGATCAGAAAGTGCGAAACTCGGTGTGATTAAGAACGCCCGACCGGAGGGGAACAGCCGTGTCATTTGAAGTGTCCCGGGCCCGATCGCTGCGTCTCCATATGATGGGAATCTCGGTACGCTATATTGGCCGGTAGCGAGGTCCCAAAATGTGTAGCAACGTCTGTTTTGGAATAGTAGAGACAAACGCGGCAGCTGTCGAATGGCGACACTTACATCCTCGTGAAGGATAATAGTGCCCGCCGCCCCAGCTCTCACAGTTTCATGGAATTTAGCCCAACTATCCTTAATTTCATTGGAGAAGATCCGACAGTCTGGCTGGCAAGAACCTGTAACCGTCAATTAGCAGTGTTATACACATATCATGAAATCTGGGTTGAACTTACGGAGCCAAAGCTTGACGAAATTGCACACCTGAGCCTCCCTTTTCGGAAACAATAACATGAACACTTGCTTATCTTTTTGTTTTGGTTCCTGTGGAATAAATTGGGACATTTCTAGCCCAAACAAACGTTCGCTGAGTACCCTACAATGCGACTCTGCCTTTATATCGCTTAGGCGGGCTGGAGCACGAGGAATTGATACTGGAGGATAAAGCCTTGCGTCGACCGGTGATCTGTAAATCATATGCCGCAATGGTGATTCGGAATTGTTTTTGTCAATATCGAGTCCATCCCATGCACTGCAGTTCGAAGGATAGACAATAATTGAGAAGTGTTCAGTCACCAGGTGGCTCCCATATGAGCTTCGGCGGAGATGTTCGGCTATATTGGCTAAGGCGGATTTAATCTCGCCTGAATTGGTCTCGATAGCGCCGGTGGATAGCGTCTCTTGCACCAGATCAGATTTGTAAGGGATAAAATTATAGGAAGTACAAATTGAGTTGAAGTTCAGGGTTTCCAGAGCAACAAAAGCCGACAGCCATTGCTGAGGCTGACGAGGAATACCACTGAATACAACCCGGATTGATTCAGATCCAGGCTTTCCGAACACGGCTGTCTTAGCAACAACTTGTACCTGACTCCTCTCCTGGTAAGTAGCTAATGAGAGTTTTCTAGGTGACGCAAGAGCTTTAGCTGATACTGGGCTTTCCGGAGGACGCTTCATATCATCTTGCCCACCGACAGCGTAGTCAACTATGTTGGTCGTAGCGTCAGTCATCGGTGTATCTTCCGGCACGAAGTCTTGCGCTTCAGTAAAACGCACAGACTTCCTCGCCTTCGGAATCGGTAAAGCATTAGTCGCGCTAGTTGGTGATATCGTCGTCGGGCTTTGGACAAGGGGAGGCGGTTCTGGCGGCGCAGAAGGCACATTTGCCTTCGCCTGGTCTGCAGTAGGTATGGAGTTCCGATTATTGGTTACAATAAAGCTTGGCGGAATTGAAGAGAGGCTAGGAGGAGCTCCATCATTTCTCTCAAGTCCTCGTTTCTTAGCGATGTTCATAACATGCATTGAACTGAAGGCTTTTGGGGCCTTGGACGGATCATCCATAACATCATTCAGGCTCGCCCTCTTCCTACGTTCTTTGCCTCCAACAAAAACATTTTTTGTTCTTTTTGGCGGTGCGGTTGGTTGGGGTCTTGTACGTGTTGCTGTATGCTTCTTCACACCAAATTTGTTTGCTAGACTAGACATAATTCTAGGAGGCATCCCTGGCGAGGGTTTAGGTACTGAAGCTGGTGGATTTTGAGAGGAAGTCTTGTTTTTAGCGGCTTTAGACGATTCTGTACTCGCGCTCCCGCTGGACTTTCTCGCAGTTCCTTGGTATCCGGTTTTGGTGGTGTTGGTTGTTGCGTCGCTCGAGGCTCTTCGCTTTGCCTGGTTTGGGATGGGTGGTGATTTAGACGATGATACAGGTGTGGGCTGTCGTGGTTGCTTCTTTTTATTTGCCTTGGGAGTTCCATTTACATCCACTCTAGACTTTTCGGAGGGTACAGTTTTAGGAACCTTCTGTTTTGGTACATCTGGCGGTCTCGTCTCGGGGATTATAAGACTTGGTTTGATGCCATCCGCATCCTGGGCTCCTTCGTTAAGAGCTGGTTCATCTTTAGATACCATAGTGGGGGAGTCCTCTAGGCTGCGTAGGGTAGGCGTTTCGGGAGGTTCTGGGGTGGGCGGTAGTAAAGGCGGTAGCAAACCGAGACGCTTCCGCTTAGCATTCCGTCTCCTCTTCCTCTCCTCCTTTTCTCTGTAAGCCTGATTATATCTTTCGACGTCAAATGGCAGTCGGATACCGGCCTTGATTTTCTCCTTTGTCTCTTCCCAGTCGGTAAGAAGACCTGGCCCTAAGTGTTCTATAGGTTCCCAAGTACATTCATCTAATGGGAAGCCCTCCCACTTAATCAAATATTGTAACTCGCCAGGTTTGTCAAGGTGTGGTCTCTCAGCATACACATCTTCAACAACCCACTCCTTATCATCCTCATAACTGTCGCCCTCATGGTCAGTAGAATTTAAGGAGATGTCGTCCATATCATCGATCCCATGAGTCTCAGAAGACGTTGACGGGTGAGATGGAGGGGACGCCATCTTTCAAGAAGTGTATTATGGTCATCGGCCTAGTAAAGATTAGCACGTGAATAAAACCTAGATATTGTGAAGAATGATTATTCATACAATGTTTTATATCACAGATCGCTTTCCGATGATAAACTTCATTTAAGCAGGTAAAGCATGATACCTCAAACGTGGCGAAGAGGTGAATGAGTGTGGTAAACGAAAGGTGAGAGGCAAGTGGGTCCAAATGTCGAATCTTTTAAGAGGATGTTGAAGGGGTATTGTAAGTGGTATAAACTTATCTTACGGCTAAAGTGGCGGCTATCTCACAATTTATCATACGGATGAGTATTAGATTGATATGTGTTAGAATCTGGACTTAAATATGATGGTTTAATTGATTTGATATGGTAGAGAGGCAAGTACTACGCTTGTTGGTAGGTAGGTGCCCAGTCAGTTCACTCTGCGGATGGAATAGGGTCACTAACGCACTGACCAATTAGGTAATACTATGGTAACATGAACCTGTTTAATCGCAAGAAATACTGCCACCCAGGCACGAAGTAGCGACCGATAACGTACCTGCCAGCTCAAATTTGCTTTTAAGTAGTAAATGGGTGTGCATTTCAAAATTACCTAGGTAGCTTTCTGTTTATCCGATAAGTCGACTGGTCGAGAAGGTTCGCAATTTTCTTTTCCTTCAAGTCTGCATGTTGTGCTGGGTACCGCTAAATCAATCCAAAGTTACAGTACGCTTAGTGGCAGTTTGACTGCACTAGCACTGTATTTTTTCGCCAAATCCTCTGTAAGAATCAAGGACTTAGTGATATTCAGCACGTTACCAAAAGATTGGAAGTTTCGCGGTTTAGTATCAAATCGCCCGTCGTCCTGAAGCCTTATTTACTACCTATTAATGTGGACAGGTGGATAGGTATGTTGTGCTGTCTGATTCTAACTAAAAGATAAATCTAGTATCGGTATTTGTCCTCATCATCTATTTGATATGTATACCGAATGTAATCATGTAACCAAAAGTACGGAATCAGAAATATCGTCGCCTGCTAAGAAAAAAGAGAATCACAGACACCCAAAAAAATACGTCGACCCAGGCAAGCCACTATCAGAACGACGACATGTCGCGTTACGCAAACCAACAGGGTAGTGGCGAAAAAGTACGCCACAAACACGGAGGCGTCAGCACAGCCTCCTAATATCGATATTCGTCTTCCGTGTCCCTGTGCGCACTTGATATCGGCTTGTTGTCGTTCCGTTCGTCATCAAGCCAATCTTCAACATTCCTCCAACTACGTGCCCCAAGATCGACTTCCCGCTCGACGCCACGGTTTCTAGCGCGGTCACGGTCACGTTCCCGTTCCCGATCGCGTTCTTCCCATGGGTCCCAGTCTCTCTTCCAACCGCCGCCGTTAGTGCTGTGTGGGCGCGTGGCAAACTCGCGCCTTTCGACGACGTCGGAATTCGGTCTGAACTTGCGTTCCCATTTCTCCTGTTTGATCTTCTCCTTCTCACGGTGTACCTCCAATCGTTTCTCAACCGCATTTGCTCCCAACGCGCCGACAGCCGCTCCGACCACAGTACCGATGAGCTGGTTGCGCTTGTGGTCGGTATCGTCATGGTGACTGTTGCGTTTGGTCGTGGCATCAACTGCTTCCCTAGCAGCTAGGCCACCTACCAGTGCGCCCAGCACGCCAATGCTCAGCCCAGCGGTAGTGTCGCTAAACGTATTATCGACAAACCCCCGCGCCTTCTCGATCGGACTCCGGGCCCGGCCGTCATCCGAGTCGTCGGTCTCGCCATCTTTATTATATCCTCGTTCCTTTCTCCTTCCGCGACTCCGTCGACGATACTCAACCGGGGGTGGTAGGGATCTTGGTCGGGAGCGCGGGTCAGAGACCTGTAAGTTCGATGGTGATTGAGTTCGGTGGGTTGTTGTTTGAGGTTCATAAGTCAATTGCTTCAGCGGCTGAGCAACTTCATATACTGGGCTCTCTGCGGCTGCGACTCGCCGGCTCTCCTCATAACTTGTAGGATAATCTTCGGCCGCATACGCGTATTCGGGCGAGCGTTCTTTATGCCGGGTTGATCGCCCGTGGGAGTAGCCGTCGTCGTAACGCGACATGGTTATTTTCTTGGTAAGCAAGTTCTGTAAACGTATACTAATTATCGTAAGGTTGTCGAGGATTGATTAGATGGACACGGCTGAATGCTTGAAATCGTAGTATATCGGATATTTGTGAGACTGAACACAGTTGCAAAAACAAATATTCTGGCAAAGCAAGGTGTACCAAGCCTGGTGACAATCTTATTATACCAAGGCAGAGGCAGGTGACAGTAAAACGCTCATGCTGAACGGAAGAACAAGGCCAATGGAAGTGGCCCGTATTATTATCTCACCGGGATATATTCTGCCTAGGCTCAGGGCGCAGTACATAGATAGGCGATATGCAAGACGAAGTAACGAGTTATAACCAACATCAGAATCATTAATATTAGTTATTGGTAAAGACTCTCGTGAAAAGTTGCCTCTGATCCCACGCCATTTTATTATTGCACGGTTCGATGCAACAGTTGATACGCCGAGAGAGTAGCAACGAGTTGATTCTCTTGGCCTCCCTTGGACAACTACTTGATCTATCTTGGGGTTGCTTGGGTTGGATCATGTTCAGATGCCTTGTCACTGGCGACCCGCGGGTGACCTGTAGTGGGGTTATTAGCATATGATGTCACGGGCTCCAATAGAACACTTGATTACATGCATGTAGTGGAAGAAGTAGGAGCTCCACTAGTCGTTTAAGGAAGATATAAGTACCTAAGTATCTATTTACGTAAATGCCAAGAACGAAGGAAGCTCCCGAGGTCCGTAAAATAAACGTCGACCTTTCTATGCTGACCCCTAGGAGTGGCAGTTTGGTCTTTCCGCCTAGTCAAACAACCGCGAATGCCTTCCTGACATATGTAGGCCCCCAGATTATTACACTTTCAAAATATTTGGGCAGATTTTCTCCATAAATTAAGAGTATTAAGTAACATTTGTATTTGGTCGAAAGTGAAAGAACATGCAGGTACCCGAAAAAGAGCAAAGCCCCGACCAACAGGCCTCCTCAAGCCTATCAAATTGAGACCTACGATCGTACATATATATAAATTTGCTTTTTCACAGCCTCGCCACTCCATCTTCCGGAGTTCCGGATGTGTGTATATGCCTCACAGCTGGCGCTTAGTCCGGGGCGTTCTGGGTAAACGTATGTGGGCATGATATTATAGCAGCCTTTCTAAACCGATCGTCTTATATTTACATACTGTAGACCGGATTATCTAATCAGATCATTGAAATGTTAGTTGAGGCATCGAACTCGGGAGAAGACATAGGCCTAACGCGGTTTTATCAGGGCGGTCAATTCATTACTACCTAATCTTAACTAACGAAACTCGTTGCAATCGTGGCACAGTGAGAAGATGTCAAAACCCCAGCAACCGTCTGCGACACAACTCCCGTTCCGCAACCCATGACCCAGGACCATTCCAGAAGTCAGCGGGAAATAAGTGAGGGTAATTTGGCCAGTATGGGAAGGCCAGTCCACTCAATTGAAGAGCGACCTATAAGACCAAGCGGGTTGCAAGAGCTATGCCGTGATCATCCAAACGACAGCCATCCAACTTAATTCCATTCCATCAATGTTTGTCGGAAGACATTCTCGTCGAGAACGGAGCTAGACCATGCCATATCAAAACGCAAACCGAAAAAAGAAGGCCCTGCCGTTCCTCCAAACGAAAGGGGTATAGTACGCATAGGCCTCTCCACCTCCCACCTCCGAAAGATCGAACGGTAAAGGTCATATGAAATCATCCATAGTCATCAACTCGTAACCTCCCAACGCAAACTCGAACGACCCTGGCACCAATCTCACCCACTAGTGCTGTCCACCCATCGGCGGATTCGATCGCAAGGGGTCATAAACCTTCGGCTCGAGAACCGGACCGCTGAAGCTACGCTCGCCCTCGGGGACATGAATCTGATTCTTCACGCGATACTCACCAGGATGTCTTCCCTTCGGCGGGCTCAAGTCCTCCGGGTCTCGATCCGGCGGCAGAGGTCCCTTATTCGGGGCAAAGCCACTGACGTCTCTAGTCGCCGTCTTTTCCGCAAAGCGTTTCTTGCGCGCTTCCTTCTCGCGCTCGAGCACGACCTTGAAGAACTGCGACACTTCGGCTAGCGGCAGCTGCACGCTCTCGGGGCTGTCGAGCAGCACCATGAGGCCCTGCGCGTCGAGCACGTGTTTCGCGATCACCGGGTCCGGCTGGCAGTACGTGTGGATGCGCATCGCGCGCGCGTTGACCTTCATCCCGTATAGGCAGCCCTTGATCACGTCGTGGTTCGCCTGGTGCGGTCCGTAGAACCGGAAGCTGCCAATGTGTGCCGCGATCATCTCGATCTGCGTCTCTAGATCGTACCGGAACCCGATCACCTTAGGTCGCCCCTTCTGCTCCCACGCGTCGGAGATTCGCGCGTGGATGTGCGGGTTCAGTCGTCCGCTGTGTAGCTGCAGGTTGATGTATGCGCTGAGCGCGTTGCTCAGGATGAACTCCAGCTCGCAGTACAGCAGGCTCTGCTCGCGTGGGTCGAGCGAGATATTCAGCTCTCGCGCCGTACGGGAGCGCGGCTTTTCGCCTCGGAATTCGGTCATTTCGGCCGCCTAAACAAGAAACAGAAACGTTAGTTTTAAGTCATTTAGTGAATAGGGGTAATGGATACGTACGATTTTTCGAGCCGTCTTCTTGAACGTGCCGATGAAGCCCGCATCCTTCTTCTTCGGCGCAGGTTTCTTCGGCTTCTCGGCAGTGTCTTCGAGCCATCCCTTATCGCCGATCATGGTCTTGGATCCCATTCGCGTATGCATCAGGTATGGCGTCAGGGGGGTGAAAAGAGGTGTTTCAATCTCTCTGAAACTCTCTTTAACGGGGGTTCCGGCCAAAGTAATTCCATCTTGCGAATGACCGAGAGACACTCGATCACCTGCCTTCATCATCTCCGAAGGATGGCCATACTCCATCGCGGGTGTGGAACGGGTGCGTTCAATTCCGCTCATAGATGCCCCGTTACTACCCTGGTTTTCTTTCCAGTCATGGTAGCCTTGCAGAATGCTGTCCGCTCGTCCTTGCATCTCGCTCTTGGTGGGGACGTAAAGGGGGCTAGGTGAGGGCTCCTCATAGAATGGTAAGGGGGTATCATCCATGTATATCGAAGAGCTGCGATACTGGACAATCTGTCCTTGCTGTCCTTGCTGGAGCTCAGGTGAGTAAACGGGGTTGTGGACAGGTTGAACATTGTTATGAACCACCACACCGTACCGTTGAGTTCCGTCAAGGTCAAGAGGGGCAGGGCGACGTCTCGCCTGGGCACCGACTGACATAGCCGGCTTAGGGGACTTGTGTCGCGACATAGATCGAGATCGGTCACGTGACTCGTGGTCACGTCTGCCGATAATATCGTTCATTGTCATGGCATGGGGAAGACCGTTGTCCCTTGTCGTCTCAGCAACGGGACTGAGGCCTTTGTCGATGTCATCATCCGACTGGATATCATACGTCTTCTGTTGCTTACGACCTCGCTCCGGGGTCTGCTGTCTGCTATGCTGCTGAGGATACGCCTGAACGGCCGGTCCACTGTTGTTGCGAACATGGCTCTGTGTGCGCGAATGCTTCTTGCCATGGTGAGTCTGAGGCTGGTCAAATTCCTCTGGATGAGGTATATGAGGCTGTGTTGCGGCTCGTGCATGGAAAGGCTCGAGGCGAGGCTCTCTGGTGGCCGTTCGGCCTCGAACTGACTCCATCTCGGGAGGGCTAGCAGTCTTCGTGCCAATAGGATACCTATCATCGTAAGTATTTCGGTCGGGCGATTTTCAATATGGAAGGATGAGGATTACTTACATGCCAGTTAAATCAGCGAAGCGAACACGCTTGAGCTTGGCGTGAGTGATAGGTAAGAGGGAAGGTTTTTCTTGCAGAATAAGCGAAGCACTGCGTGATCTACGCGCGATGAAGGAAAATAGTTTTTTCTCGGGCACGTCCACTGTGTAAGTAAGTCCACCTCTCTGAGGCAAGTCTCTAGGCACGGATGATGAATAAGGTCCACAGCCTATCCAGTCCGGAAAAGGACCTAGCAGGTTAGGATCTTGTTTGTTGTTCTTGCTAGTAGCACGGTCGAGCCAACTCCAGATTTTGCGTTGGTGTTCAACTATGCAGTAGGTAGGAAACTGTTCAGTACAAGACAGTATGTCCAAGTCATTGTATGGTGTGGATCTCGTGGCCTACCTTTACTGACAGACAAGTTTGAGTACCTAAGTAGCGACTTTTTTAAGATTGCAGGTGATGACTCGTGGTTTTTACCTAGAAGTCCGTAGCCTAAGCAACCACTGTTAGTTTTGAAGAGCCCCTAACTAGTGAATATACAGTACAAATTATTATCACTGTTTTGAGTACTTCCGCATTATTCCGTGTGTACCATCTATAGACATTGCTAATGACTTTTTTTCTGAGGAACATACCTATTTTTCGATCAGTGATTTAGTCGTTTCATCCGATTATCTATAAATTGCCTATGCGCACGATGAACATTACGTACCTGACACTGACTTCCCTCCGCGGGGGAGTTGAGATACTGCCATCTCTTATTAATATATCTTCAGATCTCCCTACAGAAATTTCCAATATCAAATGACGATAGGGCCATTCTTTAAGTCTTATATGCCTACCACAGTTCTATATGTTTACGATGAAATAAGATGAGCAAAGAGTTCAGTACAAGTTAAATTGAATCAGTTCGGGGAGGTTCTTGGAGGCGAGCCTATCGGAAGGTCTATTTAAATCTAAGAACATGCTAGGCTCATCATCCTATAAATGTGCCTCAGACATGTAGTGTATAAGCGTTACTGCGAAAGCAGATCGTTTCCTTGTTGACGATATTGTAGACCCCGGCCTTTCCAGCCATCTCTTTCATTGAACTTCCGCGGGCAAAGCTTCTCGGCCGTCATCTCCTGAGACACCCCGCAGAAACAGGGTTCATCTGACCTCGCATGAGCAGCTGGCTCATTAAGCCCTGAAGCGCTCCCTTTCTCTTCCTTGATATCATAGAAACATTCAGCATCCGCAGCTTCAATCACTCTATCATGGTCATGATTGGAAATGGGCGGGTTATGGCTCGGCTCTAACTCAATCATGGTAATCTTCCGGTGCGGTGTTGGGTTTTCCAATTCGGGGCCTTTTATCGGTATTGTGAACTCAATGTTCTGGAAAAGCGATGAATCTCGGCGGCGAAATGCACAGTTTTGCCTGGAATATCCATTAACAGTTAGCAGCTATCGATGTACTCAATCTTTATGCGTTTAATATGAACCTTCCTGTACTTGATGACTCGCCCCCTTTAGAAGTCTGGAGCATCAAGTCTCCTTGGGTGGTTGGAGTCAAAGGTTTATCTGCCTGTAGCGATACGCACACTGTTCCATTAATTCCGCGTGGTATGGCTATGCTTGGATCGCCGTATGTAAGCCTGCTCGAGATGGTGTAGTTTGGAGATCTTTGAATAGAGCCATCATCGTTACCATTGACTCCCGCAGCTAAGCCGAAAACGATCCCTTGTCGTTTTGTCGAAGTCCGCTTCAGGGCCACATAATTTTCTTTTCTTTTTAGCTTTCCTCCTTCTGAGTCACTACCGAGGTTTAGGTCGGTCATATCTTGGGCTAGGGTATCCACGTGGAAACTTCTGAAAGTAATAGTTGGCTCCTGAGGAGTCCACTGATAGTCCAGCCCTCCATCAAAACCTAGTTGTGGTGTGAAGGGGCCACGAAACAACCAGGGCTGTTCCTTGTCGAGCAGCCCATGAGTTACAGCTTCTAATATTGTATCGGTCGCCTTTGATTCAGCAGTAGGCATATGTCTCAAAGCAAGGGATTCGGGTAGCGAATCGCTGGCCTGGACCAATGAGTACTTTCTGGCGAAGATCGCATTTGGTACTTGGCAGCCGATTGGAAGGGGTACTGTGGTGACACCAGTACTGGCTTCTTTATCCTCAGGAGGTGGAGGTGCCTGCTGGAATATAAGAGCACCTGGCCTCCAAGTACGTCGTTTCCGTATAGTCCCAAGATTAAGTCTATGCTGAGAGATACTATTCATTAGCCTTTGAAGGAGACTAAATCCGGAGGAGTAACGCCGCAATCCCTTTCGGTGGCTCGAGGAATTGAGAAGATTGTCTGCGGTACCTGGGGGTGACGTTTCGCTGGGTCGGCCCAAGGAGGTAATGGGTACATCTCGCTCTTCGATAAGTCTGCCTTGAGATCCATACTCGTTGTCCCACTGCCTCTCATGGAATTCTTTCGGGTTTGGACTATTGAGTGGGCGAGTACCATCATTTCGTGATGATATGTATAGTGTATGGTCAATCATCCATGCCTTTCGGTGCCGTATACAGCTAGGGTCAACTGATGCCCTATCAGTTGAAGGAGATGAATCGGACAATACGAAAGGATATCTGTTTGGATGTGTCAATCTCCACTGTGATAGCCGCTTGGTAGGAATGATGGATGAAGTTATCGTGGTCATATGAGGAACATGAGGGAGCTCGAGGTCGGCCTAGAGACTGTGGTTAGCTTTTATTCCCAGATAGTCAAGATTGTGTAGGCCTAACATATCTACGCAAATGGTCATGCTTCCATCGTTGAAAGGCCGCGCCCGGGTCGTCTGAGTGTTCACAGTCGACCTCAATCAGTTCATAAAGCACACCACCAGCAAGATCGAGATTCTCGTCGCCAAGATGTTCACGTAAAATGAGAAAGATCTGTTATAATTTATCAGGAGGTGAATGTCTTCCTTTGGCAATGGAAAGCGAACCTGTTGAATACCGTCTTTGTACTGGTAGTTTCTCGGGATATGTGCACAGTATCTTACAAGCACATTGCGACATTCTAAATAATTGTAAGCCATAGGCCTCTACATATAAATAGGTGGAAATCATAACTCACTATCCTCTTGGTAGCCAGTTCGGTTCAGATTATGAATACCAGACCGTTTACAAGTATTACCTAGATCGAGTATACTATCCTCTTCGTCATGAGGGATATCAAATGGTTCTCTGGTGATATAGTTCTCCTTTGCCTTGGAAATGGCGAGGTCCCTCAGGTGATGCGTAGTCCCGGATGTCATGATGTAAGTATTTAGAACTGGTGTAGATCGACATGAATAGGGGTTAGTATGCCTTATAGATAGGGGGTCGAAGAATAGAAACCGTTCAGGTAGAACTGACTGCCAATGCGAAATCAGAGCATTGCCAAATATCACAAAGTTGACTATTGCGGCTTGAGAAGATAATTATTGTTGGGACCTTGACATGTTTTCACACATGTCCTCTTAGAGCCAACATGCTCTTGCCTCATATACCTAAATAAATTAAACAAAATTGGAAGCGTCAGTTGGAATTGAACTCTACACATCTTTTGGGTTAGTAGTAACTATATGAATACATACATGTAGGTAAGTACTTACTTGGGGAGCAGTTTCCGACCTTGAAACACACTGTTTAGATCAATTGATGGGTTAGATGTAACTTGGTAGGTAGATACGATCGCATGCCTACTAGGTACATAAACGTATATATACATGCGATGTTTCTTTAAACAGTAGGTATAATTAGTAGCTTTATTGATATTTAAAATAAATACCTTATCAAACATGAAATATTCATTCTTGATCATAAGGGTATTGTGATATCTCGATCTATGTAGGTTCCACATAGGTGAAAAACAAGGGGTATACTCATCATGAATTGATGCTGAAGCGCTGCATTAATTTTATAGCTGGGCTACCGCTTCACCCAACTTTTTCGTAGTAAAGGCACCAAAATACTCGTTCAAGGCATCCACGGTCCCGCTACCCTCGACTAGACTTGTCACGATGCCTACGTAACCATCGGGTCGAACGACAACAATACCACCCCTCTCTTGGTCAAGACCCATCTTAGCATGGGCTGCGGCCTCTGCATCAGGCACGCGGCGATCCCATCTATCATCGGCATAAACGTGGTCGCGATAACGAGCAAGCGGGTTCGGCACGTCGCGTAAGATCTCAACCTGGTCCCGTCGAGCAGCAAACACAGTACAGAGAGTAAAGAAGAAGCTATGCGGATTATGTTTCTCGTGGTGCGAGACAGAGTCGATATCCGGCCGGAGATAAGATCCGTAAAAGGACTTTTTATTTCCGAGATGAAAAGCGAAGTCCTTCAGGGCCTTAGAGGTGACAGAAGGTCTCCCAGCAAAGATATATATGCGAAATGAGCCATTGAGGGGAACCTCTTGTTCTAGGTGCACAAGGTTAGCATCGACAACCCGCGTAACGTCCGCATTGATCATAATTCGTCCAGTCCGTAGTTTTGTTTCTTTAGGATGAATCAATGGCGATTTGGCTGAGTGAGTTGGTGACCAGTTCAGTGCGTTGGGTTTATACGCTACACCATAGCCACTGGTAAACTCGCAAGCCTCCTTGAAAGTTCTGACGAACTCATTATCTTCGATCTGGGCACTCGTCTCTTCTGACGCCGCTTGGACTTCCTTTGCAGCTGGGGGTCGTTGCGAAAATAATTTAGCGTATTTGTTGTCAAAGGACAACAGAGTCTCTGCGACATCCTTGCGTTCAGGTTCGTAGGTAGTTAAAATAGCCCGGTCTGCGAATCCAGCTTCGACAGCATGAAGCTTCCAGGCGAGGTTTAGAGCATCCAAGAACGCCGTGTTCATCCCTTGACCGGCTTTTGGCTATAATATGAGTTAATATGCTGTCTGTTTAAGAGTTGCCGAGACCTTACACTGTGAGTATGGCACGCATCGCCACCTAGGAACACACGATGATCAATTGTGTATTTGTCTGAAATGCCTTGGCCTATAGGGTATACCGAATACCATTCCACACGTTCCCATTCAATTAAGTACGGGTCAAAAATTCTTTTTGCGGAAGCTTGGACTTCTTCCGCCGTAGCAGTTTTGCGCGGGCTCCAATCTGCATCCGTTGACGATGCAATTTGGATATATAGCCGAACCATGTTGTCTTCGCGAGGTATAACCATTACTGACCCATGCTGAGAGTGTATGGTGCATTTCATCTACAATCCATTAGTTTAAGACGCACCCAAGGTAAACATTGAGACCAACTTTGATGTCCGGGAAATCAGTCTTTACGACTCCATCTATAACGCCCCAAACATGCGAAATGGGGTCTTTATGCGTGATTTTGATACCTAGCTGGTCCCTTACGGAAGATCTAGCGCCCTCACCACTAAACAAGTATTTGGCTCGGACGGTTTCCTGGCGAGTTCCGTCGATGTGCTCGAGATAAACTTCGACAGGATATTCCGGGTTAGAAATATCGTTCGACTCGAATCCCTTGATAGTCCACGGCCGTTGAATTTGTACACCATTCTTTGCAAGATCTGAGATGAACACACGCTCGATTCGTCCCTGGTGCAGGAGTGTGGTAAAGGGGTATCTTGCGTCGATGAAGCTCGGACAACTTGCCCAAGTGCCGGTTCTGACGATACCCTTGCCGTCATGAGGTGGGTCCCAGAAGGCTACTTCGAATACTCTCGCGGGCTTATGAGCCATGATGGTTGACTTTAGGCCCATATTTCGAAGGAGGTCTAACGACCGAGGCTGGATACCATCTGCGCGTCCTGTGGGTGTGGGTTCGGCTCGGTTATCAATATGTTTGATCTTATATCCCCATCTTGCGAGACACGTCGAGAGCATGAGCCCGACAGGGCCAGCTCCAACGATGACTATACCTATTAGCGGAAAACGGTTGTCGATGGCAAACTACCTACCGATGTCATAATGCAACGAATTAGACTTTTTCGAAGACGGACTATCCATTATTATAACTATAATATAAATAGCAGCCTAGGTGCGGTAGGATTAAGGGGCTAATCGACGTCGGTGTATCTCAATATGTATGACAGCTCAATGTTAAACGAGAGGCAAACAGAAAAGTGACCAGATCATCTGTGTGCGTATATCTACCTAAATACGTAACGATGAACGCTCCCAGTTAGGGGCTACTGATAAAAATGGAAGAAATGAAAGACGCAGTGCTCGTAGCACTGGAATGAATGGTATGACCTGAGAACAGGGCCGGGCAGAAGGTATAATTTATCTTGTGCAGATTACATATGAGAACGACCGAGGATGTATACCGAAACGATAAGCACTTGAGCCATGAGGTCCGCACTAGTCGTATTTAACGGCAGGGACATCGGGAAGTGTGCCACGTCTCCCAAAGCTGTTACTCTCAAGGTGCGTATGAAGGCATCCATACACGAAGCGCCTAGTATGTATAAGCGAGGTAGGTACTTCTTAGGAGTCAGGACTACCTATAGAAACACCTAGAGTTGAGAAAGATGACTGTGAAGAGTAACGTATGAGTTATGGGAATCATCCAGGAATAAGGAAGGCAAACAATCGTCAGACAGTTGAGATCCCTCATCTTGTCAATAGGCGACTACTCAGTTGGTTGTGATCACCAAAATAGGCTTGCTGCTCGCGTTGGATCATAGCCCCGGGATGTTGACGCGGCAATAATTGGTGGGGCCGTAGCGGGGGGTTACTCACGGCTGAAAAGAACGGGAACGAGAATTCAATGGGGAAGCCAAGATTACCGGGTGGAAAGGTGGAAACGAGTGGAACGGCGACAACCTAATCATGCTTATGAGATGAGTTTGATAGGTTTTCGACTGCCTTTTCCTTTTTTTTCTTCTTCTTTTTTTTGGTTTCGGCGTTAATGGAATCCTAGATTGCCCCGCAACTCTTATTCTCCGCATCGTGGATACCTATTAGCAGACACCTGGGTCTGGTAGGTACTGGTATGATGATGATATAATTCATTATGTGATACTTCGTTTTCGCACGTAATCATATCCATTTGGTTCGTTTAATTAAGGCATTTTCCATCCAAAGACTGGTTAGCGATTTGTCGATAGGACAGTCGTAGAGATAGGTTCTATGTCTCATGATTACTAAGATATTAGATATGAATAGTAACGGATGAGAAATTACTTACATTATTTAAGACTTGGTGGTCAAAGCGATATAGCCTCAGCCAGGCATTTCTGTGGAGGAGAGAAAATAGCGACTCTTCGCATACCATATAAACGAAGTAACAAAGTTGGAGATTTACTTTCTCTTAGGACATTACACAAACTTAATAATCGCATATCATGCTTGGAATAGGTACCAAGATAAATCGATCTCAGGCCACGACGTCTGTTATCTCTGGCGTTTGTACGTACTTCGCGATGTCTCGGGATCTTGCATATGAGGCTGAACCGAGAACCGAACCAGGGATTCCTATGCTGATTGCTTAACTTAAAACGTTCATACCATTTTCAATTAAAAGGCGGTATTCAATAGTAAATCCGTAAATGAATTGCTAGGAAATATTTGACGGCGTGGCGATCGAGCCGCTATAGTCCAGACGTCGAGATATCTTTAATGTCGACTATGACAAGAATAAATGCATTTAAAATCTAGATACCCACTACCTCCAAATCTATTAGTCCACATGCAGAAAGCGCCTGCTTGATGTACCTGGTGTACCTACCTCTGACAGATGCCACTTTCGACGGAATAAAGTTCAGAGATGTAGCTTATTCCTACTGACATCACCACTTGTAGGCATGTTTAAGGTACTTGAGTACCTAAGTACATAGGTACTTATGTACATATGTAAGTACCCGATATGACCGAAAGTTGCTTAGCTTTGTTTTGCGATCATGTACCTAGGTAGGTACTTACTACATAGGTACCTAGGTACTTATATAAACATCTCACAAGGCTGGATGCGGCGAAAATTATGGTAGCAATGTGGCTCGTGCATACTTCCAAGGTTATTGCATCTTGGTTCCTGCCGTAAAGAACTGCGCGACCTCAACTTTTTGTCATCTCGTAGATTACCTCCTTCCGCAGCGTCAAATCTGATCGCGCGACGTCGCCGTCCAATCCTGTCGAAAAAATTGATGCGCATTGTACGTACCCCTAGAAACAATATAATATTTCTTTTAAACGCGTCAAGTGCGTATACTTCAGTGTACATTCCCAATTCGGTGTCTGCCAGAGGCGGTAACCAACTTTGGAATCAACTTTAGAACATCACCCTTCCAAAATCAAATCACCCAGGCAGCCACCCAAAACTATAAAAATCTGCAACTCTAAACATAAATCGTTCTTTCCTTTTCAGACATCTTGTAATGGTCTTGCCTACTTTTCATTCACAGATTCTAGAACCTTCGAAAACCTTAATCCAAATCACCCATCTACCTTCTACCTTTTCTCACACATCACACCCTTTCTTTCCTTTCCTTCTTTTCTCACCAAGTAAACACTCATACAAACAATTCACAAAAACAATCCAACGTTAACAATGGCTTCCATATTAGAGAACCGCCAACGCGCGGATCGACCAAAACGATCTGTTACCTTCCAATTACCTGACCTACCTTATCCCGTCACTCCTCTCGACCCCGTAATCGGTCGAACGAGAAAGCGCCGCTACTCCCCAACCGAAGATCGCGACTATAGCGAGTCTTATAACGATTCTGGCAGCTACTCTCGTAGCGAATCTCGCAACATATTCGGCAATGACCTCAATGAATCACTTGCGGGACACTCGATTATAGCAGAGCAGTCTATCACGTCTGCGCTTTCCCCATCTCGTGTAGCATCGTCCTCGCCATTTCAGCCGTCTCCTTTATATCGACCGGCCTGGCCTCGCCCATCTCCATTCGGTCAACCGCTTCGTGCTAATCGACTAACATTTAGGCGACAATTTCCATCCAATCGACCCCCAGTGTTTAACCCTCAAAGACGATTTATTAGTCTGCCCACGGATCGTCCGGGCTATGATCGTTCGGTACGTCTACACATTTGTATATTTTACTAGCTATCTTTTGATTCAATGCTAAATGTTTTATCTAGACGCAACCCACTGCACTAGTAGCTCAGGAGCGTTAGGTACCTCCCCGACGTACTAGGCCAGTCGCAAGTAACCAGCGTGGTCGACGATACCCCGAACTTCCCTTCCATACTCCCCAACGTATCAATCCACTTAGCCCGAACACCAGAAGACGTCTACAACGACCGGTCGCACCATTGCCTGCGGCCCCAGAGCGCCCAGAGCGCGTGGTTCGTTCAATGCCTGGAGCTTGGCCTTCGGAATTAGATGGAGATGGCCGCGCAGAAGCGCAATCGAATAACAACATGGCTTTTCCCACTCGATTCGGCGCCAATATTTGCAACGCTGTCAATTATTTGCGAGACTCATCCTATAGTCTCTGCGTAACATTGGGCAACAAGATATTCCATTCACCTCGCCAGGCCTCTGTCAACGCGACATTATCGCCTCCTGAAGATGGCGGACGCGCTCTTAAGCGTCGTCGAGTCGACGTTGAAGATCTCCGAGGAACACCGGAGACCGAAGAACAAGCCGCACCTAGTCTAATTGATGATCCTATGGACATTGACACTCCTAGCCCTATTAATATCAACATGAGAAATACTCAAGTAGTGGCATTATCTGAGGATACGATGGATATTGAGAAGCAACAAGCAGACTTAGAATCCTCACCGTCTGTATCTCCTATCATTTCACCAAACTCCTCCGCCGCTAGCGCTGCTGCTAGAAGGGCAACTAAGCTATTTCCTAATGGAAAGAAGCTCTCGCCAAAGCGAGTTCAGAAACAAAAACCGACACCTCCACCCGAAGGCCTATCAAGAACTCTCAAAGTGGAACATCTGCCTGATCCAGAGTGGAAGCCTTTACCTCCACCGAAGTACGCAAATATCCAAGAGTTTTTTGAGCACGATGACGAGATTTGCCTCCCCGGTTTAGAGCGCTTGAGGTTAACGCCAAAGACGACTAAGATTTATGAACTGGATACTCAGCGTGAAGAACGATTGCGCATAGAGGAAGAGAAGGCCGAGAAGGAACGTCAAGAGCGCATTCGTCAAGAAGAGGAGCGATTGAATGAATCGCTTCGCCCTCTGGGTCTGCGAAGAGCAAGGTCGTCCCTTATAACTCCACTTAGCCCCGACTGGGAGCAGAGAGCTAGGGCATCGCCAGCGAATGGTCGCACAGAGCAGCATAAATGGCAAGGAGCACGCCACCGAGATGGCGTAGAACTGACGCCACATGATTTTGGAAGATTAGTACCTTCGAATGAGTGGTTGAATGATAACAACATTCAAGCAGCCTTGGTTCACCTTGCAACCTATATCAACGATAAAGCCGGCGTTCGTCCAAAGGTTGATCCGCCAAAGTGCGTTGCGCTCTCATCTCAATATTGGTCAAACTTCCGAGCCGAGCCTAGAAAGAACGTCTACCCCCGAGGATTGGACCGAAACTGGGGCATGAAGCCAGCCAACTTCCTTGACATAGACACGGTGCTCATCCCAGTTAATCAGGGAAACCATTGGACCGTTCTCATTATTCGACCTACACGACGCACAGTCGCTTACGTTGACTCGTTTCATTCACCCGGGCCACGACACCTCACAGATGCCAAGACCTGGCTGGAGACATTTTTGGGCAATAAATACGTTGCCGATGAATGGCGCACAGAACAGTATGAAGTACCAAACCAGACAAATGGCTACGACTGTGGGATGTTCGTCATCACGAACTCTATCTATCTATCGCTTGGAATAGATCCCAGCGGCTACTCACAGGAGGACATGCCTCTTCAGAGGCTTCGAATTGCTGCTGTTCTATTAAACGGCGGCTTTACCGGTCCATTTGACCTATCACACTTGTGATCACTCTCGATCAGTATCCAACACACATGGTATCGATGTATCCCATCGTACACAACTTCACTTGTCGACACGCCTTTAAACCGAAGAGCAAGCGTCGCCAAATCCTTACTGTTTATTATAATAATCCCTTGTACTTGGTCCGGAATTGCATCAAACTGGCGTTTTTTCTCGAAATGTTTGGTCATTGGTGACCGTTACACGCGGTTCGAGCCGCTTAGTATCATCAACTTATTGATATTGGGGGAGGAGTACCCGTGCAAATGACACGTGGTTTTGTTTTCTATCGTTTCGAAACTGGGTTGGCATCTTAAAGATACCCCTTGAGGCATGAAAGGACGGAGTCTGGAAAATTCGGCTGGTTGGGAGGGAATTGCATTGGAAGGAGGAATGCGCTCGCCCCAAAAATAGGGAGCTGGAGCTGTTTTTGCGTGTTTTTGTTTTATGGGATTATGGAACTGTCGCCGGAGTCAGGGAGTCTTCCGGCTTCCGTGCAAGCATTATTATCTTGTTTCTAGGCTATGGGATGGATGCCTACGCTCTGAATTGTTTGGAAGAGCTGTGAAAACCCCTGCTATGGGCTGCTGGATGTTCGACATAGTTGATAAAAATCAACGAATGATTTGAACACAACCAATCATAATATCTTGATGCCGTTTCTGTGACATGCGTGAAGTAGAGATCTCTTAGATCGTCTTCTATAGAAGATAGTTACGAAGGTCAGATAAAGTGAGTTAAACCTTAGCATTTGTAGAATTTAACTGGTGCTATCCGCTTTGTAAAAGGGGTATCCTTCGCGAGATTTCACGTACTACGGGAGAACTAGCTGCGGAGATTTTTATCCCCTTGTAGGTATCTATCTACACGCGAGCTGTCTACAACCAGAAAGCATGAAAAGAGCCCGTCCGCTACCAAACCCTTGGGAATCACGGCCTTCCTCCCCTGCCTAAGCCTTGCTCGCCCCGTCTCCAACATAGGGAACCTGTCGAATTGTCGTCGAAACGCGACATTTTCGAAGAGAGAAAAAAAAACACAAAAAGATTTCACACACCATCCCCACCTCCCACCCCGCCTTTATAGAACGCCTGCTGATGCAAGTTTGGGATATATCGCGACCACTCCTCTCTCGGAGTTCTATCCATCTAAAAAAGAAAATCTTCTCCCCTTTTATTTTTAACTCGATGCCTTCCTCATCCGAGGGAATGGATGGGTCGAAATGTTTTTTGAGACATCTTTGGAAATCGTTAACATATTGTACGTTGTGCCCTTCGTAGTTCTTACTCCTTTCTTAGCTCAGGTGTAACATTCGCTTCGCGTTTTCGTACACCATCCAGGTGATGCTAAGCGCTGGGGCCACCTTCAGAAGATTAGGCATCAAGCCCTTGTAAAGGCCCCTTACTCCCTCGTTTTTAATCGTCTTCTGCGCCACGTCCCAGATTCCCGTGTAACGCGCCGGGTGCATACTGGTGCCCTGTGTCTGTAGTCTCGTACGGAGCACATTCAAAGGGTATACAACAGAGGCACCGAAGGCCCCCGAAGTTGCTCCCATGATTCCCGTAGCAAAGGTGCTAGGCATAGCGTCTTCCTCGTGGAGGTTATGGGCTCGAGCCGTATATGTAACGTAGGTAGTCTTAAGGAATTCGAACGTGCCCATGTCAATCGCGGAATATGGGAACATGCCAACTAGCCCCATCGTTACACCTCGGTAGGCAGCTCTCATGCCACCTTCTGCCCACATCTTGCGGGCGGTCTGGAAGAGGAGAGTATTGCCTCTAGGGCCGCCTTCGACATAATCCGATTGTAGTCTAGATGTATAAGCTACGGGTTCAGACACTGATAAAATGAAATACTCACCGAAATTTAAGAGTGTCAAGAGGGTAGACACAAAACCTGTGCACTCATTAGTATTTTATTGCTGTTGAAAAGGAGTAGGTGCTAGACATACTGTGCCGTCATGCCGGCTACACCTCCCGCAACAAATTTTGAATATGGGTTGATATGGTGAGGGTCATTATGCCCTTCGAAGCTTGCGAGCGTCTTCTTCGCGGCCTCATACGCTCCAAACTATTTCATTATCAGCAATAAATTCTCATAACGATATACCATTTGAAATAAGCGTACCCTAATTGCTGTTTCGGGCATAATTTTTATCACGTTAAGTCCATTACCTAAGAAAAAAATAAGCTTCGAAGTTAACGTAGGCTCAGGGAGAAGTAAATACCAGCAAAAAATCCCCGGACACCTCCGGCTTTGTATAGATCGGCGATTGCTGTGACGAGAGGTCTGCCAGCATGCTTCAGGGCCTGTATTGGCTGGCCTTTCTTGGCTGCTTCGACGGCAACATTCGTGTTCGAAGTGGTGTTTACGAGAAGGTAGACCTTCAGTCGGTCGAGAGGAGCAGTAGCAGTGCGAGAAATGCCTCCCGCCACAGCGCCGGCGACAAAGTAGCCTGAATCGGGGATGTATTTCATCAGCACGGATCTTTTGCTCTTCTCAGTCAAGCTAGTTTCAATTTCAACGGCATCCGAGGGAATCACCGGTTGCGTAGCTTCCAGTAAGACACTAGCAGAGGCGGCGTCATTGCTGGGAGTGTGGTGATCATATGAATGCGCCATAGCGGCACTCATGTTGGGCGTACGGTGAGATACGCGAGCGGTATGTGTTGCCGATTCGGGGTCGTGTAGATCGGTACTATCGGTTGAAGATGAAGACGGAGGTATATAATCTTCTCCGCCGGGCGGTAATCCAGGAGATGCGAGTCTCACGATTGAACCAAGGAGGGTGTAGAGAATATTCGTACCTAGCCCTTGAAGGGTTTCCTCACTAACCACTGAGTCACCTTCAGAGTTAAGAGTGAGGATGTCTGAATAAAATGTGAAAACTGCCCGCAGTGTAGTAGTAGGATCAGTATTGGGCATAAAAAGTAAGAAATTCCTAAGATTGTAAAATATTAGTATTTGTTCACATGATTGAAGCGTCGGATATATTTAGTGAGGTCACTTGGTACCCCCGATGACCATCGATATCACACTTGAGGAATGACTACAGGGAAAAATCCCGTACTCCAACTAAAAAAAGGAAAAAAGTCGAATTCAGACCCAGGAAATTATTTAATCCCTCAGAGTCACGGGAAGCGGGGGGAAAGTTTAGAAACGAGCTGCAGGGGAACTAACCGCCATTCTTCGTATGTGATGAATCCATCACGATTATGGTCTATATTCTCGAATAATTCGTTTAATCGTCGCATTGGCACCGCAAGACCAGCATGTTGCACAGCATGATGAAGCTCCTCTTTATCTATTTTTCCATTTTGGTCTCGATCGATAGATTTGAAAAGAACGAAGAGTTGACGCTCAGCAGCTTCGACGAATACTCGAAATTCTATTTAGATCCAAAGGTAGTTAGTTAGGAATGTTCTTCTTTCTTTTACGGTCTAGGTGTTTGAATTTAGGGTCTCTTGACCTTCGTATTGAATCTTGCCGTCGTCGTTTGAATCTACAACCTTGATGATGGTCTTGAGCATATCATCAGCATTTTTCAGAGCTACCATACGAGGTCAGTTACGAGACATGTCGAGACCAAAACAACCAGGGCGGGATTTTATAGCTGACGATGATCGATCCTCCTAAGCCCCTTCTGCAACCCTTTCCAATCCAATTCCCCTTTATGTTGATAGTCCAGCTTCCTCCAAAGCTCTTCGACACGTGCGTCGCGCTGGTTCTGCGACTCCTCCATCTCCATCTCTAGCTTAGTTATCACCTTGGGAAGATCCATGCTCAAGGATCATGACAGGCGCAACGATGACGAGGGAGGATAGACGATCGCAAAACTGGTCATCGGATACTATGGGTATGGCATTATTAAACACCTAGTCGGAGGTCGTGGTCGTGTCGTGTCCAAGGTCATTCCCTTAAACAGCTGTGGAAGTCGAGTTATTGACGTAGGTTGTTTTTTCTACAACCATTCAAAGGCTAAGACGGGGTTGTCGGCACGCGCGAAAATGACGGCCGTCCCGCAAAAACGGCTCCGGGGAACAGGGAAACCATGTCAAAGCCCTAGAGCCAATTAGAAATGCCGATAAGCACGATAAGCGGATAGTAGAGAAAGCTTACTGGATGACGATTTCCCGCGCGGCACTGTATATCATCAGCTAATAAAGGGGGAAGGTACAGTGTCGGTTGGGTAATGTCGGCACATGTCAAATCATCTCTAATCTTTCGTCCGATATCTCCAGATCTGTCTAATCCAACCTGCATTTTCTATTTTCCACCAGCCTTGGCTCCGTGTAAGGTGTAAGCCTCCATCAGCCTCACAGGGCTGGGGTTTGCAGAAACCTAATTATGTTTCTGAATGTCAGATTTCCTCATACTCAATTGCCCTAAGCTCATGGGCTAGAGTATATCATCCCTTCAGATTGCCGCGATGGCAGCTAACTATTGGGAATCGACCCAGAGACGCTTCTGGCAGTTCTCGAAAGATGAACTTGCTCAGATGCGCGACGAGCTAGAGAAGAGCGACCAGAACCTGGTGCAGATGTTTCCTCTACCGCGGAGGACTCACCTCAACATCTACTTTAACCAACGTAAGAGATATTATGTTGCTATCCTAGACTCGACGTTAACCTAAATACTAAAATGTGTTCTATAGAGATCGGTCGCCTAAGCAAGAGGCTCAATGTCAAACAGCAGGCTGTTGCCACTGCGCAATTATACATCAAACGATTCTATTCCAAAGTCGAAATACGTCGCACAAACCCATATCTCGTTCTTACCACTGCGTTATATTTGGCTTGCAAGATGGAGGAATGTCCGCAACATATTAGGATGTTTGTTACGGAAGCGCGTTCTCTTTGGCCGGGTATGGCAAGTCTATACTCCGTTGGATAACAGACAGTGGCTAATTGAGCGATACTCCAACGCAGACCTACTTCATCTCGAAGTTTCCCGCATCGGCGAATGCGAATTCTTCCTCATTTCCGAAATGAACTCCCAGTTGATAGTTCACCAACCCTACCGAACCCTAACAAGTCTCCAGTCCGATTTCAACCTCAACCAAGACGAGTTCAACCTAGCTCTATCAGTCATCAATGATCACTACATGACAGATCTACCGCTTCTATACCCTCCCCACGTTATTGCGCTTACAGCGATTCTTCTTTGCTTAGTCCTTCGCCCGAATACAATGACAGGCGGGAATGCAGCGGCGAATATAGCTACATTAACATCAACACTGACACAGGCTCAACAGACTCGACCCGGTGCCGGTGGCAGCGGCCAGAACACTCCAGGCGTCAGCGAGAGAGACAAACAACAAGAAGCGCGGGTAACCAAGGTACAGCGCTTCGCGGCCTTCCTTGCTGAAAGCAATGTCGATATCGAGGGCATGATAGATTGTACACAAGAGCTGATTTCGTTCTACGAATGCCATGAGCAATACAACGACAAGATTTCGCGCGAACAAGTCAATAGGTTTATCAAGGCAAGAGGATTGGACAAACACTAAAGACGTTACTATATCCTATATTTCTCTCATGAGGAACATAGCAACTAGAGTAATCAAGATAATATTGCACACAAGTCTCAATAGTCGATACCATATTCTCACAACTATGGGCTTTTGAGAGCTACGAATTAGCATGGCGTAAAGACGCTTCATACTATATCATCAAACCCCTTGAAACATCTGAATACCTACCTAGGTACTTAAGTCCTCAATTATACATACATTCCACACATGAGTGATGCTTTGACGATACTAACTCAATGAGCTATGTTTTATGATGAACACCTAAGGATTTTTATGCCATCAAGGCACGTCAAGGGGACATCAGTTAGCGGAGATCAGAAATGAAATCCAAAGTGGTGCGTCCATTGGAATGGAAACTAATTGCGCGAGAGATGATGCCATTTCAAGAGACTACCGTTCCTACACAGGTAATGCCATGGAATATTTCCATTGTCTTGGGAGCTCTAATTATATGCACGTGGCTGGACCCTCAACTCATCGGAGGCTGGGACATCAAAAGTCGATAAGTGCATTAGCTGTGTCTACCGTACATATAGTTGTGTTCCTTGCATCTGATAAGAAAGGCACTTGATATCCATGGATACTTGACATGGAATTTGCACACTCCATCTACATATCTCACTTAGCATTGCCTGGGCATCGTCTAAGACCCGCAATACTGACATGCAGAAATGTGGCTGAATAAGAAATATCCCATGTCTAGTTCCCCGCAAAGACGGGACTAAAAACCACTTTCAATGCTACGTACAGAGCATAAATTGTATGATGACGATGGTAACTGAGGGTTGGTACATGCAGTACCGCCCTAAGCGATGCAATTCAGCCCGCTCCCAGCCTCGTGAAGGTGACTGCTTCACATATGCATTATTTTAATAGATACGCTTTTATAATTCATGACGTTATTTAGACTCGAGAGTCTACAAGGACGAGATATAAAACAACAATGAACAAGTAATTGCCAAAGTGGCAGTAGTTCAGCCGGTAATAGAAACGGCTGTGTCACTCAGCCGCCGATCTAGGAAGTTGCGTACATACCTGGTCCATGCTCAGTACCTGCTTACATTATGTACATACCTCAGACTACTTAGGTACCTACCTTGTAGGTACATCGAATACATCGAATGCCGGGCTTCAATGTTCACTCTCATATGGCCATACACGGCAGGAGCAGCAGAGTTTGGTAACACAGCGTGAAAAGACTTGTCTAGCCCTTCAGTCTTTAGATAATTAGGTATTCTAGCCATTTCAAACTGTTCATTATATATGGTGCCATGGATAAACATTCGTCGACTTCTAACATACTACATAATTATGTAGCAGCTGCATGGGAAACCCTATCCCACCACCTTTCGTCACAAGAGTCAAGATCGTCAAGATCGTCCCTTAAGACCTCATGGCAGGGAAGGCCGACAGCACCTGACAGAACATGGTCCGGGTTCTCCTGCGTCGGTAGATCTGCCAAATTCGGAATCAGTCGGCCAGCCCAGCAGCCTTCTTATTCGATTGTTCTCAGAAGAATCTACGTACATATGCTACTAAAATAGTAGCAATTGCTACCTCGTGACCTCGGTCTAGGAACAAATCGGCATCGTTGTTTACCTGCGGTTGGCGACTTCCGACAACTAAAAGATCATCGCTGGCGCCGGAACGAATCGCGCAAAAGAGAGATTCGTCAAGTTGTATTACCTCAACTTACAGCTAATGGGATTAATCACTCATCACATACAGACCAGATCCAATATGTAGCGATAGCAAGATCGGAACGGAAAATAAGACGACTAAACAACCATAAAATAATAAAGCCAATGAGCATCTCTACACACGTATTACCTCTTCGTATCCTATGGGGCTCGATTTGCCGCTTTCGTCATACGCAACTATACTATGTATGTATCGCATAGTATGGTGTCGCAGTTAAACAAGACGGGTGCTAGAACGCTAAACCGTCGATGTCTCTCATTGTAAACAATCCGGATCTTCAATCTTCAATACATACGAGACTCGACTAGAACCCTGAGGGGATACATGCGTGTTGGTGCACGCTATTGCCCATTGAGGGTCTTCCCTATTTTCAGGGTCTACACGTGTGTACAAGTTCTAGGCTCTAGATTTTTCAGGGACCATAGAACGATACTCATTACACCCATTACACATGGCGGTAACTTGCGTCTCGTTAGGCAATCATTAGCCGTTCAATCAGACATTTTGCCCCCGACGATCTATCCCATTATCTTACATTGATGCAGAACGAGCAATCCGCGGATAGGTTTGCTAATTTGTTAATTTGCTAATTTGTCGCCAGGTCTCACTACCGCACGCATTCGAATATAATAAAGATCGACAGCCCATATTACGTTTGGATTCAGGTGAACAAGCGCCTGAATTATAACTTTCTCACACATATGTAGGTTATTCAAGCAAGCAAGCATATCAACTGGCCAACGTCGAGAAATGAAACCGCTGGATAATGGTAGGAATGTTGTCAGCTTTTAGGAGCGCGGGAAAATTCAAGCATTCCCCTACCTCTGTCTTGGCGAGGCGGAAAAGTGAGCGGTCAGAACTCTCTTGCCGCCTTCGACACAAATCAACCCTCCAGGAGGTCAGCCAGTCGTCTGCTTAGCTGCCTAATGGGAAAGAGGACGCTAGCATTATCCCCGTCTTGTCCAAACCCCAAGCGGTCTCACGCTGCACGAGACCATCCAAGTTCCACTTGCACCGGTACGGTGGCTTGCAGGACTTGCAGTACTGGTATGTGCAACCCTAGCGAATCTCCGGACAAAGCAAGGTTCCAGTCCGAGAAATCCACTCTCCGCTCCACAACCCAACAGGGACCTCGAACGCTTAGACCCAGGATACCAAATCACAGTGTCAGTGGTCACAGTGCCCTAGACAAGGCTACAATCCCACGCAAGTTCAAAGGACCGAAGTCACCCACAACTGGTCGAGATGGTTACCTGCCAGCCTACCTACGTAAATAATTACATAGGCGATACCCCCGCTGCATACCTGCGTGTTCTGCTACGCTGTTGCCAAAGAGACATTGGGCACTCTTTCAGCAATGCATACATCTAAGTGGTCTCCATATTTGGCTACTTTATTGATAAGGTTAGGATAACGGCGGCGAACTCAGATTAGCAAGGTCCATTGTCCTTTTCTAGATTTTAATCAAAGCTTCTAATGAGCCCTACGTACGCGAGTGGAAAGGAAATCGAGATGTTGAATTACATAACCCAATCTCAACGTTTCAATATTCCCTCTTAGAGGTTTTGAGGTAACCCCTCCTTGCCCTAATTGGAAAATTGCCCCCTGAATTTAGGGGGTAACTTATTCGGGTCAACAATTCACCAGGTCGACATTGACCACCTGAATAGGGCTGGATCAAAGGACCCAATTGCAGAAAAGGGAAAGCATCCTACTCGTTAAGAGACCAAAAAATGGGGAGATGATTCAATCTACGGGGTGAGCGCGAACTAACGAACAGACAGACTCAGACCGAGTCATTGAAGATCTCGAAAGTGTATAGAAGATCTAGTTGATCTTATGACTGTGGGATGATAGACTTACATATTTCACATACTAGTAGGTAGAGCGATTAAAAAAAAGTCTAAGGGTGCATATTGCAGTGATGAGTTAGAGTGTCGGATGAAGCCATTCGCATCAAGATTCAATCGAACGATTGACCGATCTAGTCGATTGAGGCAGTTCTCGATCCTGTATCAATCGACCCACTAGACAATATCGCTGCCCTTCGAGTCTCCTGATGCATACACATATCTGACTTACTAACTTGGCATAATTGCTAGTGCATGGTAGCACGTCTACTGTGTGTTGTATCTATGTGGGTGTACATACGTATGTGGTAAATGAGAATATTCTATTGGATCTCATTTACAAAGAGGAATAAATTGCCTGCCCCCTTCTCCCGACTGGGACACCAGGGGGACTCTTTCGCACCAGCCTACCAGCCTCGTCCACTAACTGTTCTGGTAGCGGGCGCAGTTTTGGAGATTCAATGCATAATTTGTTCCTTAATGCTAAACTTCTGCGGCTACGTTCGCTACGGTAAATTAGCCCGGCAGCTACCTGCTGACGATCGCATTGCAGCGGACATCTGGTGATGGTTGAGTGGTCAAGGCATTTGTATAGATTTTTAGATTTGTTTAGTTTGTGTGGTAAGTGGTGTAGCAGAGTATGTACTAGTTTGTGTTAAAGGAACAGGAGGGCGTTCTGCAGAACAAGCCGATTGACACTGTGGCATTTCCTGCAAGCAACGACAGCGCCATCGGTCAGGCTTGTGAATCTAGTCTACTTTTGCACTAGTCTATTGACAGGGTATCCAATGATCTCAGGTGGCGACTCCAGTTTCATTCGACAACTCATCCACCCGGATTTCAATGAGGAAACCCTGCAAGCCCTGGAAAGACCAACGTAGGTAGCGTAAGTAGCGTAGGTTACGCAGGACTTACAGGTCTTGCAAGACCCACTGTTTTCCACTCTTACATGTCTTTGCAGCTTCCGTCGGCCAATGCTTGTCAATGTTTTTCTGTGCTATTCCCTCTTTGGATTGGTCCCAGGTCTTGAACCAGCAAGCGACCCAAGCGTTACCCCCTGCCCTTGGCTCCACCCTCCTTTGCCGCCTCTCGCTGGTTCAAGGTTCTCTCTGTTCTCTGCTTTCTTTCCATCCAACAAAATCCTTCGCCTTCTCCGAATCACAGCTTGCTCTTCTCCTCTCTCCCGCCTTTCTCTCTCTCAATCATTATTCACTCTTATCGATCCTACCGCTCACCCCGTACCCTTAAACCCCAAACCTTACCCAGAATCACACATAGCTATCACATATCCAATTCTCAAACCCTTTCTGACAAGACTTTGAAAGCTCATACTATTATCTATCTATCTATCTGAACCTGAATTATTAACCCACAAGCTTCTCATTGTTATTGTCGGTTTTTAATAACGCAAAGCTCGGCAACTTTACTGAAGACCCCCAACCCGGTCCAACAACGCACACACCGCCACCTAACATCTCTTCTGTCCAACCATCCAACCACTCTCCGCAATCTGCGACGACTACGTGAGAATCATATTTGATAACTGAAAATACATACCCGGTTAAGGGAACACTCATAATGTCTTATTACAACAACTACCACCATCAACCAACAGCGCCTACAGCTTCACTTCCGCACAACCACCATGGCGGTCGGAATCGGAGAGCACCTAGATTATCTGTATCGCAGAACTCTCAAAAACAGTTTCGCGGTGTAAGGAGCATGAAAGAGTTGAGCGAATCCGCCTCCGTATCTGCCTTCCGATCACAATTCGAAGCTAGCCGCTCGTTCGACCTGGAAGATGATATGGAGTTCTGCCCCAAGTTGTTGACAGAGACTGATGTGAGTTTGCCCGATACATGTTGCCATTCGCAATATGACACATGTGATACACTGCCGTCGCATCCGACGATATATACAGAGATGTAAGAATAAGAGCATGACACTGACAATCTCATTTGTATAGCTTGTATCAATAAGCAGCGCCTCTTCCGACCGTTCATCATTGTCCAGCAACTCACCTAACTCATCTCCCACACAACACCCGCAACAAATCGCATCTAACTTTTCTCTCAACTCCACCTCTCCGGCTTTCATTCCTCCTAGTTACCACAGTCAGCAGTCGAGCCTAAAGTTGCACGCACCCGCCGCTACCCGGGCGCGTAACGCAATTCCTATCATCAACCCCGCTAATGGCTTAACTATGTCGAGCCCGCCCCCATCCGTCTCACCTGCCAGGATGCAACATATCAGCAGACGATGGTAGACGGCTGATCGTATCGCTTCCAGATTGGATGTTGATATGACTCAACCATCTACGCACTCGTTTGCAGTTGTTCTGAACATCTTCTAATTTCCGTTTAGAAGTCATTCGCTACTCACGGTAGTTGTTCATCTTGGCAGACACCGGACTGGGTATCAGGCATCGACAAAATCTTTTAATCTTCACGTCACTTTAGGGCTCGACTGCGGACTCACCACATTCACTCCACTTTCTCCCTGTATAAACATACTTATTCGACATATAACAAGTGTTCATCGTCAAACGTTTTATTTCGGAGCTTTTAACGATGGGCGCGGTTCTTATTGAAGATAATCGATACCTCCTGATTTCTGTTCGGTTTGAAAAAAAGGGAAAATACCACGACACCCCGGTGTTCCGACCTCGAAAGATGAGGCTATCTGGGTTTTTGCGAATGGGCGTTTTAAATTACGGCGGTTTTTGCATTTCGTAATTGCATCGGTGTTCACGACACAACGGAGTCTTCGGGTTCAATCTGGGAGCGGTACGATAAAGAGTCATCATGGGTTCATGACATTTGAGCAAAAAAAAAGAATACCACTACTACTACTATTACTACTACTACATATAGAACAAGTGTTTGGCGACGAGGGGGTCGGTCTCTATTTTGTTAAAGCAAGGCAGGTGGTTTTCCATCGGGGCGGAGTTGTTCTACTCGGCAGGGTCTTTTTACACGGGAAATATCCGGATTTTTTAAGAGAATCTCAACACAAAGCAACGGAATTGGGTGGGCACTCGGGTGTCTTGTTTGTTTCTGAGCTCATGGCACCAGACGGGAGTTGGTTCGCGCGGTGCTTTCGGGGCTGCAAATACAGGGCTCATATTCATGTCATTTGTTTTCGCTACCATTTTTTCTATCCTTGTATTACGGTCTGAGGGACGAGGATACCAGTCCATTTTCTTCACATTATTCCCCCGGCAACGGTTCATTTCCAATGGGTCAAACGCATTCGCACTGGGTTCTAGGGGTGATTTGGAGGAGGATGGAATCCTCGTGTGTATAGGAAAGCATATTGGGTGTATGGACAGCGCGGGCGATGCGCGGAAATGGGGAATACGCCACAGGTTCTTTTCGACGGCGATGGCGTAACCTATTTTGGTGTGTGTGAAGATAAAAGAGCGCCTCTTGCGAGGTCTTCTACCGTACATTCGATGCGTTCAATTGAACTGGGCGAAATAACTGCCTCTCACTTCAAATTCTTTCTCCCTTTCTCGCAACTGCAATTATGTGATATGTTGATATTCGGTAACTAACATTGCTCGTAATCTCGTCTGTCTGAGAATTCAATATCAGTAAGATTGTCAATTCTCGCGGTATCCATTCTGCTAGTTGGAATCTATCGCTATTGAGATTTGACAAGGCGAGACCGTCTTCATCTCGTCGACCCACGGTTGACTCGACAGCCACCCCAGCATTCCTCGTTCGCGCATCCACTTCTCGGCCGTTGATCCGACGCCCATTCTTTTTGGCTTTTTTTCCTAAGCCACTGCAGGGACATCGATATGCACATACCTACTTACTTATTCGGCTACTTGGATGCCGCACGATGTACCAACCTAGGTATGTATGTATTGTGCATATCCCTGATCTTTTCTTGGTATTAAGTAGCATGTAAGAGATAGGTAGGTATGTAGGTATGTATGTATTATCCCTTAGACTTGCATCAGGCTGACGGGCCTTCCTCTTCAGGACGCTTGCAGCTGAGGTGGTGAGGGAGGGCTTGTTTAGGGCTAGCGCGCGTGAGTGCTGCATATGCGGGATGACTGCCGCCTCTGTGCTCGGGCGAGATGGGCTGGGATGGAGTGGATGGGTTCGCACGACAGGAGGCTATTAATATGTGTCTGGTGAATTCATGTGGTGGGTAGAAGTGTATTGGTGTCAGGTGATGGAGAGGGTATGCGCGGTAAGCTGTCGTGTGTCGGGGGTTGTGCGTTGATAGGAGGTGAGGCTGGCTTTGGGGGGTTCGTGATGGGTTGTAGGAGTATGGTTGTATTACATGAGGTTTATGGACTGGTTGCTTGAGGCTGTGGCGGGCTATATGTGTAGTTGAGCACTTGTTTGTTACACTATGGGAACTGCCTTTCTTTCCGGCACTTTTTATATTGAACTCATTGTTATATATAGCTTGGTCTTGTTGCTTGATTTATTGATACTGGCTTTAAGGCTGGTGATATTAAGACACCCATATCAAGACAGTCAGAAGGGAAGATAATTGCATATTTAAGTAGGTTTACTTGATTATAAATAAACTAGGACAACATTATCGTTTTGAGAGCTCTACTAGCAGAAACTGCGTCGAATCACGATACGTTGTTTAGTTATAGTTCAGTATCTTAATTATTAACTTAGCATCATCGCCAACCATCTCTTCAAGAAAACCTAAAAGCTCAATAAGCATCATTCTCATCGTATTACACGGTACGATTCAAAAAGGATCAAAGTATTAATAGACCATCGCAACTTGTCCAGAGTATTCCATACACAACTCATAACTCATAGTTTCTCTTTACCTATATCAAGATTAGCATGGCTTCAAAGTCTTGAAAATTATTATGATATAGCCGTACTTTAGTACCTAGACAGTATTTTACTGGAATACGACTACCTTTAGGATGAGTTAAGGTTGATACATATATATGCTGTGAATATGAATTATTGAGATTTTAAGATACCCGAACTAGGTCTATTTCACCTGAAGAAGTATAAATCTCATCTTGTTCTTACTGGGAGAAGTTTATAAGTCGGATAATACATTAAAGGTTTTTATAACTCTCTGTTTTTCCATGTAAGAATCAAACCACAACATACTACATCCCATAAAGCTAAGGTTGTCCTGACAAACGACGTCTAGTTAGATCCATCTAACTAACAAGATCTTAAAGGCGGGTAATCATCGTAGGAATTTGAGACGTATGTAATGATAGCAACTTTACATAGTTCAAAAAACCCAACAATCACCATAAAAACATCACGTGTACTTATATGACATGAATTTGTTTGATTTATAGAACCCACAGATGATATTCATGCACGTTTGTACAACGGGTTGGCAGGTTTCCTATTGAAACAATGGTGATGACCAAATATAAGATTCTGATAGTAAGAATATTCCATAAGGTCGTATGAACTAAACGAATACCGACCGTTGACTAATGTTTGCCTAACATGATAACTTAAGAGAATATCCATATCTAACTTCTGGTAAATTCAGTATCGTGCTTATTGTGAGGACACAAGTATGAGGAACACTGTGATCTTCTCTCTCAAACACCGGAGTCGGAAACCTTGGAACGGATATTAATGCTCCGGGCGGAAAAACTGGATTCTAGACTTTGTACGACGAACGAAGATCTTGAAGCAATGAAGATAGAGTTTATTAATAAAGTGCAACCATTGGGTGGAGAAATGATGTCGTTGCTGATGCTATTGCCGTCAGTTGAAGAAAGAATATGATCAACCAATAGGGTAACAGTACATCTTCCGCTTCCAGCCAATCAAATGCCATTAGATTAGCTTAACCCACCTAAGATAGCTCCTTACAACTTGGTGACGTCATAACTTCAGCATATGTATGAATGAAGGAGGCAGTTGCTTCCTCAAGCCTTAACCAGTGAAAACAATTCTATCTCCTATGACTACGAGATAATTACCTCAAACCGCCTTGTAACTTATCAATTGAACCAACAAAATTGTCTGAATTCGAGGTACTGTGTTATCACAGTCATACATCTCTTCCAAGCTCCTTGTTCACTCAACCTTGCGCTACAAACAACCTCTACTTATCACGACCTCTCTTAAAAAGCAAAACTCTTCTAAGAATACGCAAGAAACCTATCTGACACTCACAATGGCCTCCCGAATGCTCTTCCGATCAGCCGCCGGCATCGCCACAGGCCGACAAGCCATCGCCCAACGAACATTCACCAGCACCTCCGCCAACCTCGTCTACAAAGAGAGCAATCGTAAGTTACCCGCTTCCCATATTCTGTCGTTCAACAGAATAGCCCAATGCATTTAAAAGCGACATTAGGAATACGCTAACAAGGGTTGAGTCGGCACAGACGGATCGGACGCGGCGGACCCGGAGAAGCACAAGCAAGACGCCCTCGCGAAGCAGAAGGCCGGCAAGGGCCACTGGAAGCCGGAGCTGGCGTCCGACAGCGAGGAGGCCGTCAAAGCGGACCGCGCCCGCGGCGAGGGTAATGAGGACATGTCGGCCCTGCAGAACCGGACTAAAGGTGCTGCGGAGGAGACTAGCAAGTCTGGCACTAGCATGCGGGACGGGTTGTAAGGTCTAAGAGGTACGAACGCGTGACGACGTCGGACGTGTTTCTGATGGAACAGGGTGAAATGAAGTGGCATAATTATCTAAGATTGAGAAGGTCGTAGTTAGCATTGCTTGGTCGTTATGGTATGGCTTTATTCGAGGCTGGGCTCTACTGCGGTTTCATTCATGTTGTACAAATAAGAAACGGAGGGAAATGGACGACGGGATTATTGGACCAATATAAGCATATCGCTTTGCACACTATCGACGACCGTACAATCCTCTGTGGTCGTCACGCCCGTGTAATCAAGTAAGCGGCTTTCCCAAGATATGTTTGTTGGTTGGTTGGTAAAAGATGGAGGACCGTATATTATATGGGTCCGCAAACCGATTTATATATCAAGTACATAAGCCAAAGAGAAGTTGATAGTTGGTAGTCCGTGGTGCGCCATCCACTGTTGTATATGAACATAGAAAAACAGCAGACGGTAATGATATAGGCAAAAAGTCTTCCGGTAAACGCCATGCCACGCGCCCTGCCATGCCTCAAATGCAACGCGATGCCGGAGTGATCGAGTCCAGCTGAATCAGCACATCTTCCATCTCCTGTGCCCTTCCTTTCCTTTCCCCCTTTTAGGTAATTACGGTTCGTTTGGTTTAGTGTACGTGGTTTAATACAGTGCGTATCGTGTGTTAGGTGTGGGATTTAATTATTTCAGTATCGCGATGAGAAGGACGAGGACGATGATTAGGATGATGATGGCGATCATCTGCTTGCTCTCGCCGGCGGACCGCGCAATCCGGCCGACTTGTCTGCGGGCCCGGTCCAGCCGGCCTTGGTGGCGATCTACGGCGACGTCAACGTCGTCCAGCATCGCGACGTGCTCATCTAGCTCATCGCCGATGCGCATGCTAAGTTCACGTTGGCGCGCGATGCTCGCTCCTAGCGCGTCAAGCTGGTCATCTTGCTGATCTAAGATCCGCTGGTGATACGCGTGGATTTGAGTGTTCGTCATACCAGACGCCTCGTCCCGGTATCCCATGTTGTCATCCGACGGGTTATCCCGATACCTGTTCTCGCCGAACAGCTGTGCTTCTAAATCCGGGGCAACACCGGGGCTCGTTGGGTTATCGGAGAACCGCACTGTCTTAGAGGTTGTGCGCGCGCCCTTGGGACGGAGATTTGATGTTGAAGCTGTTACGGGTGCGGAGGGAGCGCCGGTTGGGGAACCGGGAGAAGTGGTTGCATGCTCGAAGTCGGAGGATAAAGCCGGGTCGTTCGGATGCGTGAGAGTTGATGCGCTGGAGGGAGAGGAGAAGCCGTGGAATTGGGATGTTAGGTCGTTGTACTGCTTATGCAAGCCGGGCAGAGCGTCGGTGATTGTGAGTGAGCCCCTGTTGAGATATCAGTTAGAAGGGGTCGTTCTTCACGTCGAAGATGGTTTTCGGGCATAGATCATGTATCATAACTCCGATCATCACATACTCTTCATCGCCTGCCTCCTCTAGTCTCTTCTGCTCTGTTTCTAACGTCATCAACCCATCTCGGAATTGATCTAATGATCTAGATATGTGGCCATCTTTCGAATCGCCATCAATATTGAGACTCTGCGCCCGTTGCCGCTCGAGTAGCGATAGTTTGATGTGGTCGGCTAAGAGATATAGTTGGTTCGGATTAGACATGGCGCCTAGTTCTTGGGCTATCGCCTGTGATTTTGTGAGGGAAAAGTAACGAGTGAACCAGCAGGAAGAGACCGAACGATAGAAGTGTTGAATAATAGTCGTCTTTCACGATTGTGTTTGAATAGGTATGTAATGTTGATGTCGCAGCAGGAGAAGTTCTAACTTCTAAGGTACAGATGTAATGTACCTAATAATAGGTACGAAGTACCTAGACACTACCCGTACAATACAGTAATCTGAACCAGCGCAGGCAGCTGCTATTCAGCCAATAATTGTAGGGCGCAGCACTGCGCAATCCAAATGCGATCGAGGCTTAAAGGTTTCCAAGGTTGTACCTGTGTACAGCCGAACCTTAACAATTTATTTCTGGGTACGTACCGATCTAGCTGTGCTGCCCCTGTGAGCTAACCTTGAAGTGGATTTCTTCCTCCCCACATCAAATATCCGTCCATCCCGACATCTTCAACTTCCTGCTCTTGAATACAGGAGTATTGAAGCTATTAACATCCACCGACGATAATCTCCAATATTACAATATTATAAGCAGTTTTATATGACCTCGACCTATTCGGTGATCGACATCGATGTAAACGAACACACCAGTAGGGGTGATAGCCGTTTAAGTAAAGGTAGCGAATCACGATGAGCGCTCCAGGGGCTGTTGGTTTGGTCTGCTGCCCAGTCTGCCGTGCCGAGCTTATTCCCCCCTCTTACTCATCCTTCGTCCTGAGGTATTTGAGCTTTTCACAACTAAAATGACGCTGTACTCAGCTGACTTTGGACTCCAATGGGGTGAGCTCTTCAACTACCGAAAGCCGTATTGCTTATTTGCTTTACCTCCGCAACTGATCCGCGACTGTGGAAACTCCGAGTCGTCGATAGTCGTTGGGTCTAACACGGCCCAAAGTGCCAAAATGCCAAAGTCGCCTAAGACGGGCACGATGGGTATGTACATCTCGATACCAGAGCTAGGGTCTCTGGTGAGCGAAACCTAGGTATAATCAAGTCATTTCTTGGATAATCATGGTACATCATTCTTCTTAGCATGTTACTACAATCCTTCCGTACATTTCTGTTTCCCTAGGCGCGGAGCCCGTCTCCTGAATAAGACAACGTTGTTCCGACCTGCCCACCGCGCTACTCCTGTTGGAGACATAACGGCACGACATAATCATTTCACGGCAAGTAAATTGTGTGGGGTTAACTAATACTACTAGTTACGCCTACTATATCAGTCCAGGGGTCTTTTTATGACACAATGAAATACTGGCCTGCCCCTCACTGAGATGAGCTTGGTCGTGGTGGTGATTTCCTTAGATCTAGCTTCGAAGTTTTTCAGTTTTGTTACTTTAGACTTCTAGTGAGTCTTGTCTTGTTATCTGATCTTCTGTACTACCGTTAGGCGTGGGATCCAAAGTCTGCGAAATTAGATCTCTCTGTTTTACTCTATTGCTTCTAATCAAGCTACTCAAATACCGACCTGTCGTAATCGAACCCCACGTTATACGACATGTCTCTTCCTAATGGTGTGTACCGCGCAGATCAGGTCGGCTCTTTTTTGCGACCAAAAACGGTCCTCGAAGCACGCGAGCAAGCCGCCGAAGGCAAGCTGAGTCCTGAGCAGCTACGGGAGATCGAAGACAAGTATATCGCCGACGTCGTCAAGAAGCAACTTGATGCTGGACTACGGTCCATCACAGATGGTGAATTCAGGCGCCAATGGTTTCACGTTGATTTTCTCCGGCATCTAGCTGGAGTAGAGCTTCGTGGTGCTTTGCAGTCCACCAACGTTAGTGTGGGAGGTACCATGCCTCCGCGATTAGTCGTTGTAGACAAGCTTGGTCACCCGAATTCTATTCAAGTGGACGACTTCAAATTTCTCGAGTCCCAAATTGCGGCCGCGGGTGCTAAGGCCACGACAAAGGTCTGCATCCCTTCGCCGACGATGGTTCACTTCCGCAATACTCGTGACACAATTGATGAGAAAGCCTACCCTACGTTGGAGCCATTCTTCGAAGACCTCGCTCGCGTGTATCAGGAGGAGTTGGACGACCTCTACAAGGCTGGAGCACGTTTTGTTCAGCTCGACGACACTAACTTAGCTTACCTTTGCGATCCCAAGATGCGTTCCGAGGCCGAGCAGCGACACGGCGATGCCAGTGTTCTTGCGCGCCAATACGCCGCGCTGATCAACGCGGCCATCTCAAAGCGCCCGGCTGATATGACCATCGGTATCCACCTATGCCGCGGAAATCACCGTTCGCAATGGTTTGCCCAAGGCGGATACGAACCTGTAGCTGAAGTTTTGTTCAAGGACCTCAACGTGGACGCCTATTTCCTCGAGTACGATGACGCACGATCGGGCGACTTCTCTCCACTCCGTCACCTACCTGAAAACAAAGTCGTCGTCCTTGGTGTGATGACTAGCAAGAAGCCTGATCTAGAGGACAAGGCAGATATCATCAAGCGGTTGAACGAGGCTGCCTCCTTCTGCCCCAAGGGCCTGAAGCAGCTCTGCCTCAGTCACCAGTGCGGATTCAGCTCAACATCCGAGGGCAACGACCTGACTGAGGACGAGCAGTGGGCCAAGGTGAAACTCCAGGCCGAAATCGCGAGAGAAGTCTGGGGCGATGATTTATCGATCTAAATCTCCTGTTTACGCGAACGATTTATGGTACGCATGGATGAGGAGTTGTGATATATTAAAGCGGTCGATATCCGTTATGGCATCTTTGCCTTGTAGATATATGGGTGTACAGCGACGAAGTTTTTAGTTGGCTCTTTCAACAGCGGCAACGTGACGTAATTCAATGTCTGATAAGAAAGGCGGACATGGCGGCGTCCAGAGCGATAGGCGCGTGTGGCTTATACGGAATTCCGGGTTATAGGTACCTCGGAGGCAAAAGGCAGGAAAATCAGATAATTCAACCCATGCTGAATGAGAATAAGACGAAGTACGATGATCAAGAAACGAAATAGAATAAATATTTAAGACTTGCACTTGATGAATGTGTCGTATGTTTTACCAATCTCTCTAATTACGGACTCTAAACATTAAATGGACAATTATTTGCCTTGATAAACATCTGATTCATTCTACGGACATATCACAAAAGAGAATGCGCAATTTTTCAACCATCTTAGAAGGGAAAAGCAGTGGTATTGAGCTGCTGTTCCTATCCATAGCGAAGCGGACTAAGCCGTGAGAAAAAACCCTGACTACTCGTACATACGTTTGGTCCTGTCGCCCCAATACCCCCCTTCCCCCGGTACGCCGAGTACTATCTTTTCCTGTGCCAAAGTGCCAGCCCAGCCTATCCGAGGATCATTTCATTACCACCGTCACCAACCACGTTCGACCATTATCACCGTCACTGCCCGCCGTCCCCCCTTTTATACACCTCCTGTGATCTGTCCGATACGTGGCTATACGTTTCGTATCGGCGAGGGGTACGACAAGGGTGTGAGATAGAGAGAAGAAAAACCGACAACCAGGAGGAGATGCGAAAATCATAAAGAGACCGGTCCGGAAGAAGTTAGGGCCATTAATTATTTGCGTGAATTTTGTCCGTTCCTTGACGCCTGTCATGGGGGGCTCCGAAAACGCCAGAAATCTCGTCGTTGGTCTCTGGACGAAGATGCTTCCAAGAAACTGGAAAGTTGGGGGGGGAAAGGCAACATCATCTCTGGTCCGGAACACCAAGTGGACTTTTATCATTACGAGAGATATCCGCCAACGAAGGGAAAATAATCAGAAAATATGGAGCAAGTGTATGAAACTCGTCATGGAAGACGATGTAATGGACATTTAGCTCTCGAGTTTCGTATCAATTCGTAGATATCAGTCATACGATCGTAAAGTATCGTCTAGTCAAAGGAGGAACGTTCATGACTAGAAAACGAATAGAGAGATGCCCAAGCTTTCTAAGACTGGGGCTGTTCGCCCTGAGGCTGAGCTCCTTGTTGCTGGGCAAGACTCTGATACCAAAGGGCTAAGTAACGCTGATATCCGCCATCTATATTCAGTGTTAGTCTAGCTTCTCGACTGTAGAATAGTTTATTCATGAAGCTTTGTGTGAACTTACAAGGTGCATAGGGATCAGCAGCACCATTGGCGGCGGCGCTAGCTGCTGGATCAGCTGCCTGAGTGCTTTGTTGAGGGAAGCTGGGGCTATCCCAATCACGACGATGTTGGTTGCGACCTCCGCGACCTTGGTTGGTCCCGTTGTTCTTCTGTCGCTGCGAACATATTAGTAACTTATTACGTTGATATCTAGAATAGTGAAACTCACAACTGCGTCAACCTTGTCCTCAATAGCTCTCTTAGCACGGTTGATAGCGTCGCGAGATCCCACGAGACCAATCTCGCGCTGTACTTCATTGGGTCCTGATGAGGCAGTCACGTTGATCTTGCAGCCAGTAGTGTTCTGCATCTCTCGGATCGTCTCGCCACCTTTGCCTATGATCATTCCGACGGCCTCAGATGGTACAAAGATAGAATCGTTCACTTTGTCAGGGCCGCCTTGACCGTTATCGCGGGGAGGATGGTCGGGCCTCTGCTGGCGAGGTTTGTTGATGGCACTGATGTTGCTAGCAGCGGCGTTGTCGTTACTATGATTGTCACTATCAACAATCTCCATGATCATAGTCTTAGCCAAGGCTGTTGCTTTGGATGGTCCTATCAGGTTTACTGGGCGCAGACCGTTGTTACTTTGATCTTCTCCTACAATGTTAATGTGGCAACCGCTGCGTTCTTGTAGGTCTCTAATAGTCTCTCCTCCGCGGCCAATAATCAAACCGACAGTACGGTCAGGGACGACAATCTGCTCATAGTCCTCTCCGTCGCGTAACGCATTAGGGTTGGGAGTACGAGCATCACGGCGGGTATGAGGCTGTCTGTCGAGACCGGCACGAGCAATGGCGCCCATGCCACTATCATCGATTGTCTTGTTGATGGCAGCTTTGGCCTCAGCACGTCTAGGTCGAGGACCAGTGATCTTGCACTGGCGGTAGGCTTCTTGTTCACCAGTAGACGAGAGGAACTGCACTCTGCATGAGGTCTCGGATTCAATACGTCTCAGATTCTCACCCTGGCGACCGATAACCAGGCCAACTAAAGTGGATTCAACATCAATAACCTCACTGTTATCGGGCGATTCTGAACGATCACGATCGCGACCATAGTCACGGACATGTGTACCACGATCATTGCGTCTCTCATCCCGGTAGGGATTGACGTTGTCACGTACATCACGACGCGGCGGGGAGCGCGAGCGCGATCTAAAATGCCTGGGAGGAGCAGTACGAGCATCAGGTCGGTCGAGGTCTCCAAGATTCATAGTACCCGAGGTGACGGGTCTGATGGCATTCAAATCCACGGGATAACCAGGATACGTCGGGGCTTGGGTAGGGACTGAGGGTGGCATTGCCCCGTAGGCATTGGGCGCCGGGCCTTGTTGGTAGCCGGTGGGGATGGCATAGGGCGCGGGTGCTTGTGCCTGAGACGGGGCAGCAGAGGCTCCTGACTGGGCTGTTAGGATACATTAGCACTTGATATTAAAGTAGCGATGTCGTATCGTGTAATGTCGTCGGGTGTACGGATAGGAAGAGAGAAGGGAAAAGGAAAGTAACACATACCCGCAAGAGCGGCGAGAATCGCCTGGATGTTGGGTTGCGCCTCGGCCATTGCGCTGACAATGGTAGAAATAAAAGTAGGATAATGCCTCGATTTCGTTCACTTCTAGGCAATAAAAGTATTGCTGATAACCTTGAAACGTTGGAATGATCAAGACCTTGCCCTATTGCCCTATTCCTTATTTGCCTATTACCCTATTGCTTCAAGACCCAAGGCTTAACGCACAGCACAAGAGGATACGGCAGGTTGGCGCATGCAAAATGATGCAAAGTGAGATTTGCAACGCTTTGATGACACGCAACGTTCAGTGTTAAGCGATCAAATGTATACGTCAAACGTCAATCGTCAATCAATGCAGGTGCAGGCAGATTCAATCAATCAATGCTCAATGCGCGACGTAAAAAAGTTGGATTGACTAGTATGTCAATTAAAATGGTTGTCGTGAAGAGAGAGAAATTGATCACCAATTTTGCCGCGTCAATGTGTTAAATGTGTAAAATGCGTGTCCCTTTTACTTTGTCAATTCGTGAAGTCCTTGATGTTGAAAGAAAAGGAAAAGGAATCTGAGGATCTGAGGGAAGGGAAAAGTAAAAAGAGTTAGCAAGCGAAGGTTGAGCGGGAAATCAAAAGTTTAAGTCACACTGCGATGATATCGACAAGAATACCTAAGGGACCTAACCTAATGCAAACTCTTTTGCTCTCGCCTCTAGCCTATTTCGGCCCACATGAGACAGCTATTTGTTCTCGGCTAATGTTTCACACTGTACGCTCGAGCCACTTTTCAAGCTGACAGCTGCGGGCAGCTGCAGTCCAGCTGTCAGATCAGCTGCACCACGTGCAGATTGTGATTGCCGCGGTCCTATGATATTTTATTCTTGCTTTTTAATATTCTCCCTCTTAACTCCGGTGAAATTCCTTCTGCTTCGTCTCTCGTCTAACATCCGTACATATTATAGTACCTTCTTATATGAGAGGAACCACTTAAGTACTTTTATATTGGTTTGATCTATTCCGAAGCTTCGGGTTTCGAGATCTCCGATGTTTCGAGTAGTCTTAGATGCTACCCCTCCGGATTCTCATACAAAAATTTAGCTTGAGATGTTAAAGCCTCAATTAAAGCTTCGAGAATACCAAACTAGGTATGTACCTACTTAGGTACCTTCTACTAATCATTAATTAGGTGCCTACCAAGGCAGGTAGACTTTGTGGCGGCGCCATATTCATCGGACATCGGCCCCTGAAGATAGTGGATATCACGGGAGCTAGATAACAAATTGGATCAAATTTGTTCTCACGGCGAGATGCTACCAACATTATATTAGGTTATCTTCAACTAAAGATTGACGTAAAATAACAGTCCGTACACGTTAGCAAACGAATCGTAAAGAACAACCCGACGATTCAATCTTCTTCTGCAGCTACAAGCTCGTATATTTATGACTCTTTCCTTCTGATCAAGACCCTCGATGGCCTAGGCAAAGATGAGGGATCCTATTATTTGTTCATTACTTGGGTAACCTTGATACGTATTTGCGCAGGCCTTAGATTGGATTCCTCGAGATGAAGTCAACACACGAGGCTGAGCATGAGTAGGTACATGAGGAGGGACAGAGTATCGCGGTAGCTACCTAGGTAGGTACACATCTTGTGAATGAGGCTGGCTAAGTTACTAGGTCATGGTTGTTAGATATCAGCCAGTAGTATCGCGTTTGCCCATCCATACCTACCTACCTATAAACGATCAGGGACCCGGGAGTGCACGCAGTGAGAAGTAATCTTAGCTGCTTCCTCCCGTCCCAAATCTTTGGCGTTTGCTCATTTACCTGGCAGCCTGGATAGTCCCTCTGCTTCTGACCACCGAGGTGGACGGTCTTGGGAAGGCTATCCGCATCTCAAGGTTACCTAAGTACATGTTGCATATTGCCCCAGACAGCCAGGTCTGATGAAGAATGATATGCTAAGGGAACATGCCGTGGGAATAGTTCAAGGCAAGCATCATGTAGGTATTTGCCTACTCTTAGTACTAGTACCTAATCGGTAAGTATACAAAAATTTGACTTGGTATTTCTTTTCCATCTATTCCTTGTTGTAGCGCCCCTTCATCCTTGCTACCACACTCATCGTTCCAGTACAATCAACCGGGAAAGGGGGAGACCGCCACCACGAAATCTGATCTACTCGTTCAGCTTTTATATGGAATATGTCCCATCATTACTGTGATTTTCTTCTTCTTTTTTAGTAGAACTACTGCGCGTGATCATCGTGTGGTTCTAACCATCATGGACGCCGAAAACACACAACAAGCCGACGAGGCCCGCAAGCGAGGCAACGAGCTATATAAAAGTCACCAGATTAGCCAAGGTATGTATAATTTTAACCGTCATAAATTCCTCAAGTATGAGTACGCACTCACAAACCGAATATAGCGATAAACGCGTACAAGGAGGCAGCGGCACTAGCCCCTCTTGACCCCTTTCCATTGTCCAATCTATCCATCGCCAACTTTGAAGCTGGAAAATATGCACAATGCATCCACTTCTCGAATAAAGCATTGGAGCTTCTCAATGCTGATGACCAAGACACCAGTATTGCCCGACATAAATTGCTTGTCAGGAAAGTTAAAGCTTGTCTACATCTATCTCTCTTGGACGAAGCCGAAAAGCTCTTACGCGAGCTTGGTTCTAGCAAAGAATCCGAGAACCTCCGCAACTCAGTCCGGGCGATGAATGAGTTTAAGACGCATTCTACGTCGTCAAAATTATTGCGCGAGGTTATATTGCAGTTACCGCGCTTGAGGCCATGCATGTAAGTTGTGTCTATTTGTAAGTGTATCGGGGCCATGGAGCTAACAGTAAAAAGCCAAGATAATCCTGATTTTTTCGGTTCTGGAAACGAAGAAGCACGCTCTCTGTATACAGCTGACCTTGAGAAGTCGGCAGAACAAGACCCTGTCTTGTCTATCATGCTCTGCGGCGTCGGGGACGCCCGTAACGTTTTCCAGACTCTAATCCAATACTCATCAATGAACCATGGGACTCAGAAGCTTCACATAACGATGCTCGACCACAAGCCATCCATCATAGCCCGGGATTTGATACTATTTAGCCTGCTACATGAAGCGAACACCAACCCAGACTCCAAAGACACAGTGTTACTAAGTCTCAGCTATCTGTACTCTACCCCAATCATACCTCTTTTCGCATGGGAAAAGTTGCAGAACACTATCAGCAAGCTGGTGGACAAGCTAGAGTGCGGACAGCAACCACTCGACTTGATCTACCTCACTTTGCCGCAGACAGACGTCATGCGGATTCTTAAGAGTTGGCAGACGACGGGCGCCGCCACGAAATACAGCACTTCTCAAATGCGACGTGCTGCATCTCAGAGAGAGGATCCCTTATGGTCTTATCTAGCTTGTGACGCAGACTACCAAGATTTCTACGATTTTTCGGTTGTATTTCCTCCAGAAGCAATCTTGTCGAGATTCGAACCGACGCTGTCTGCTCTTGTTACAGGCCGCAGCAAGGATGATGAAAATGCTCGGCGGCGAATTGGCAAATATTTAGACAAGCATTGGAAGGTCAACGTCACGTTCATTGATGTAGACTGGCAAGCTAGACAGATGCCGGGAGAACTACCAAGTACGGACCATGAGCCTTTCAACATTATCGACAATTTGACAACACAGTCATCGAAGTTAGTTGTGCCCGACAAGTCGACACGCTGCATTTTGCAACATGCAGCCGACTTCTTCGGGAAGGTCGCTCTGAGCATGTTACAGTTGCGCGAGAGATTAACAGTGGAAGTGATTCTCGGCGAAATGGCCGATGTGCTAGAGCGGATTCGCTACGGCTTTCTGGATCGCCCAATAAAGGGAGGCGATGAAGATCAAGTGTCGTCAACCGCCATGGAATGGCCTAAGAAGTATCATGTAATCCACATGAGTAATGTCCCGTACGTTGAACCACTCCCATAGTAATATTCGTCACTAACTTGATTACCAGAGATTATGTCGGCGGGTCCTTGACGAGCTTCCTCTACGGGGCCCCTCTCCTAAAACGAGGAACTGGTACGGGGTTGATGTCATGCGTATTGCTCACCACAGGGCAGTGGACGAATCTTCGACATTTCAACGCGGAATATTTGCTAATGCACGACCCTAACATGATCCGGAAACACTTTTCGGTTGAGCTAGCCGAGGTGATACGCGACACTGTACCAGTCCCATCTATACATATGTCTACGTCTATACCTATGATCCATTATCATCGTTGGGAGGGACGCAAGAGTGGCGCTATCCCCTTGGAGCAAATGATGTCGAAGATGAGCCTTTGCAAGTGGTTACATGCTCACTTCCTCAAGATATGCCTACCATCCTATCGCCATGAGATTTGCAGGGTCTTCGCGCCTTTAAACATGACGATGTTTATGAGACTAGTAGTTCACATGGGCCACCTCGGCTACCCCGGGCATTGGCTATCGGAAATCATCAAGTCTCTTAGTAGTGGGGATATTCATACAGCAGCTAGAGCCCTTCCTAGACCTGCACTTGGCCCTAACGCCGTGGACAAGAATAACGCACTTCGCGCAATGTGTGTCAAGCCCTGGAGAGCAGAATTCACCACTCTTGTCACCCAGTGGAAAGAGCTCTTTCCTTTTGCTACTGTGATTCCAAGTGGGATACTTCCTTCGCCAGAGATTATTACGGAGTACTCAATAAAGATTCCCCTTGTCCCTTCCAACAACCTCAGCCAGCCTCACTTCATGTTGGTTTTTTGGAATCAGCGAAAGTATGGTGAGCCTCCGGATGGCATATACCGACTTCTCCTCGACGATGAGAATGGAGACATGACAACTTCGGCGCAGAAGATCAGATCCGACGGGATTAATATCTTGAGCACCTTCAAATGGGTCTCGGACGAGATGACGGCTACTTTCTGGCTAAGAAGCGACGTGGTTGATTTGATGTTGAAGGAGGACTGGACTGTTTGCATATGGAGAATTGATAGTTGGGTTAGATACACACCGGGTCAACCTCTGGGGAAGTATCTCTCTAAGAAGAGGACTTGGAAGGAATGCGTAACCCCAGCGTGATAGACTGGTCTGTCCGCTTGGCTGGGTTACGTAACGTCGGTGTGGTGACGTCGCAACAATCATGTTAGGTAGTAGTCAGTTAGTCGGTCAGGTTTCATGATTTTGAGTCCGATAGTAATATGAACAAGTTACGGGAGACACTTGGCAAACATGCTCATCTTATGCGTAACTGACTTCTCGTTTGATGCTGGTAGGAGGCCGTTCGGCAAAAGCCCTGTCGAATTTGAGGTGGACGAGGTCCATTTAAAGTTGAATCTAATTCAACTGATATCCAAAGTTGTCTGGGGGATATTGGCGCCAACCGTTCCATTGGTTGGGAGTGACCAGCGCTTATACGTCGTCTATTGAACAGCCCTTACATAGGTCAGTCTTTGGGAATTAATTAGGTCAGCAATCCAGCTGCGCAAGAAAGATCCCACTTTCAATCTTTGACCTGAGCAACGTATGGCTCTCATCTAATAAGCAGGGATTTAGCGGGCATAGCCGCTCGTGGCTTTTTAGCCAATCATCTTACATCAGAGGCGCTTTTCTGAGATCGCTATTTAGCGGATGGCGGCAGAATAGCGTCAGAATAAGTGAGCCATGTGCGAGCCATGTATTAATACTACTGTAATACACTGTAAGTTTACTATCCCCTAGACTCTTTGATGCTGTGGCAAAGCTGACAATTTCCTAGTTAGATAATATAGGGGATAGATCAAAACACAGTGTAATACAGTACCATTTCGGGTGGTTCACACATGGCCCATTTATTCTGACGCTATTCTGGGCGGGTAATGGTAAATACACGTTTCAAAATTTCGAGATGGTATGTACATACTTATAAAGCAAACATTCATAAATGTTAAATCGATGATAAATATTTGTAGTAAAGAATTGAATTCCCAAGTTTCTCAAGGTATCAATCCAAAAACCAAGAGGAATGAATGACTGACCGAAGTTCTACCGATCAACTTACATAATACACCAATAGCGTAGTATGACTAATGACGGTGTTAAGGAATAACATGTTCTGATTGGCTCAAATTACTGTAAAGGTCCTTGTCCCTGCACAGATACCCGGTTGCCTCCAGGGTTGTTTTAACTTTTCTATTCTAAGATAATTCTTCAGCAAATTTCCTCGTGCATACAACGAACATTGTACAATCACTATTCAAGAAGACAAAAGAATTCTTTCAGTATGACTCAACTTATTCGCTTGATAACTACGTCAGTACCTAATATGTGTCTTTTTTCGGTCTTCTCTATTCACGATTGAGTACTTCGGGCGCAACAATCGTCAGTTGTTCCGAGTTGTCGTGTACGAGCCTCATGACGTAAACTACCGACGGCAATCCTTCCCATGCCTGCGTCTATGCAACCCTGAGGCAAATAATAAGGTGCCTAATAATCTGCAGCCCCGATCTCGATTACTCACCTAGGTATCTAGTATCTTCAATAAACATTGCAGTTCTTCCTAGCAAATTCCTACGATGAATGGATTACCACATTATTATTCAAGCCGTGGTGACAATGCGTCTCTAAAGATGCATACTAATTAAACAAGCTACAAATATAGGGTGTTTCCTAGTAGATCGACTAAATCGAGGACTATAAAGTAGCTTCGTACGTGTTGAAAGATGGGGAAGAGTCCCATTTTTCGACACCGAAGATAATCAGCGTAAACTCCCTTGACAAGAAATGGATCCTATAATTAATGACATCTATAGTTCCAAGTCAATCATGAGGTCAATATCCTAGCCAGGTAAGGCCAAGAGAGCGTGTTTGGCGAAAGCGCGCGGACAAAAGAATCGACTGGCTGAGGATCACCGCCAGCGCTTAGCTAGGTCTGCACACCGCGCGTAACCTTCACGAACGACAAAGAAGCCTCTAATTATGTGTGGAATACGAAACAAAGACACCACTAGATTCTGAAACTTGGCCTGTCCTAGTAATTTGTCCCTTGACTGGCTATCGGGTCACCGTTGTCTTCACAAGGCGTGTTGAGGTTGAACAATGTTCGGCCTCTCTTTATCATCCACCACTCCCCCATTATTGTATTATTGTATTCTACTACTTCTTTTCATACTCACACACAACCAATAATTTATTTTCTCGATTTCCTTATCACTCATCCCGTCATTAATGGAGTCAGAGGAACAATACACCATTGAATGAATCACGAGACTTTTTTGTTTCCTTTTTTCTAATTATTATCTTGCCGCTTCTCTTTATACATATTCTTCTTTGAGGTTCATTTTTTCTACTCTTGAATTTCGTACAGACCGACATACAACACCACACAAAATCCTCACCCATACGCCTGGCGCGGTCAATTCGAGAGAAACTTGATTTCCTATTGAATTTTATACATGATTTTCTAATACACTTTCTTTAACGTACAAAATAATTATCGAAAACGTCTACCCTCATTTGATACATACGACGATACACACAGATGCCTATCTTTCAGGAGAAGGAGGGTTTCCCTCAGGTGCCCTCCTCGCTACGCCACGATGCATACGATACGAAAGATGTCCGCAAGATGAATGTTCGCGAGTTGCTATCTCAAAGCTCGGCCAAGGGTGCTACTCCATACCTTGGACTCGGTTCACGACTCTCGCAAATATGGTTCAACCGATGGACTGTTCTACTCCTTCTGGTCTTAGTCCACTTCCTCCTCACTATCACTCAATTGAACTCCAACCTTGATGATGCTAAGGCGAAGGCTCTATCGGCATGTACGAAAGTCGAGGACATTGGTAGTGCCATGGCCTCGATGCCTCATTACTTGTCTGTTGGAGTCAACCGTCTCACCGCAAGCGGCATTACCGAGGCTGTTCAAGGCTTGATGACAATCCTCGATATGATCCTCACTGGCGTCGAGCAGCTTATCCTTTTCGTAATTGGTATGATGACTGACACGTACGCTTGCTTGATCAGCATGGTGGTTCATGGAGGACTAAACGCCTCGGCACTGGCTATTACCAAGACCACCGACGCCATGAACAATGCTATTGATGGGATTGCCCAGGCAATCAACAGCACTGCCGATGATCTCCAAAAGCCTATCGATACTATGTACTCCATCGTTAACGGCGCTCTTAACGCAGGCGACCAAGCTACAAGTGTTGTTGGAGGAGCTGTCGCGACCGCTACAGCCGCGGCCGGAGGGGCCGTCGAGAGCGCTATCAGTGGAATCGGAAGTCTCTTCAGCAAACGAGTTGATCTACCACCTAAGCCACAAGTCGCTGGCGATATCACAGCGGTGGCTGCTAAGCTCTCAAACGTCAATATCAACACTACCGGCTTCGTTTCAGACTTGAACACACTCAACAAGGAACTCCCAGACTTCGACGACGTCAAGAACCTCACTGCTACCGCTGTCTCGTTTCCATTCAAGCTTATTAAAGAGCAATTGAACAAAGCTTATGGAAATTGGGCTTTCAACGATAGCGTATTCCCTGTCGCTCAGAAGGAGGGCCTATCGTTCTGCTCTGACAATTCGGTTATCAATGACTTTTTCACGACGTTGTACGAGATTGCCCACACCGCCAAGATTGTGGCAATCGTGATTCTTATCCTCGCCGCAATTGCAGTCTGCGTTCCGATGGCCTACATGGAGATACGCCGATGGCGCCGCGCCCAGGTCTGCTCTACGAACGCACATGATGACATGGATCTTGTCTACATGACATCGCGCCCTACAACAGCTCGATTCGGATATTGGATTGCCTCGAAATTTCGCCCAAAGCGAATGATTCTTGTGCGCTGGTGTATCGCATATGCCACCTCTCTTCCGGCTCTTTTCGTCCTTTCCCTTGCACTCGCCGGTTTCCTATCTTGTTTCTTGCAGTGGATCCTCCTGCAAGTGATTGCGAAGGAGGTTCCAGCACTCGCAAGCCAAGTTGGAAACTTTGCCGATGAAGTCGTCGGTACCTTGGGCAACATTTCGCAAAAATGGGCAAACGATGCGAACGGTGTCATCAACTCGTTTAGCACTGAGATCAACGACGACATTCTTGGAAAGGTCGTCAATGGTACTACTGCAGTCAACAACACGCTTAACACATTCATGAACGAGATTAACAAGGGTATTACCACCGTCTTCGGCGACACGATTTTCAAGGACCTTGCCCAGAACACTGTCCGCTGCCTTATTGGATTGAAGGTCGAATCCGTCGAGAAGGGCCTGACTTGGGTTCACGACCACGCCCATGTTAACTTCCCTACGTTCCCCAACGACGTCTTCTCCGTCGGCGCCGCTAAATCCATCGATGGCGACTCAGATATGACTACTTTCCTCGCCTCACCTAGCAGCGTTACGACCGACGAGGTCACCGGCGCCGTCACGCACGTTACCGACTGGCTACACAACCAGATCGTCCAGAACGCGCTGATCTCATTAGGTCTGCTCCTCGTGTACATTATCGTCGTACTAATCGGCATGATCCGCACCCTGATCGGCCATAGCGACGTCGCCGGGGACGCACGTAAGATGCGTATTGAGAACTTCGACATGGCTACTCGTGCCCCTGCTCAAACAGCGGCTGCGACCGGATCCACACAACGAGACGTGAACCTACCTGAGTTCGGAGGCCCCGGAGATGCGAGTGCGCACCCGGACCGATACCACGGTTCTCCATTCGGAAGGGACGACACGTTTAGCCGTGGTGCCGTACACACCGAACCTGTCACACTGACTGAGGAGGCGCCCCCATATACCCGCAACAGCAGCTACGTTCAGTACGGCGATGCCAAACGATAGGAGCGTGAGGCTGAGCCGGACAAGCAAGATAACTCGGGCATGCCTAGTTACGTAAGCCCTTGGAATGCTAAACGCGTCGGCACCGACAACCCTTTCAGAGACCCGAAGTAATCGGGACACGAAGACAGATAGACATATTGCCTTGTCTATTACCTGGTCGACTTTATTTCTATTTGTTATTTGCATCGACCATCATTAGCGATTTGATTTTTTCTCTTTTTATTACGGCATACATGCATACATACGGACCAATACCCATACATATACCATACAATCCTTTCCATTCTCTTAATCAGGTACGATACATCGAAATCTCACTCCTTCGATGGTCAACCCCATTCCTTAGGATAGATACTCGGGTACGGCATGGATATCAATAGATCCCTAGAAGAAAGGGTACGTATGCGTCACCAAGCGGCGTTAGCATGGAGTTAGCACGGTATAGCATTGCAATTGCATTTTTTCGGGTATTCATCGTTACTATTATGCATAAGAAAAGGGGGAAATAAGAGACAAGAGAGATCAGGTATCTCGGCTTACGCCAAATCCGCATTAATTTTCTTTGGTCTTCTGGAAGTTTTTCGTCCCTTGGAGTTTTCTTCGGGGAAGGGAAGGTTATCTGGGTAGGGAAAGGAAACGGGGTGTATGATACGAGATACCAATTAGCATGAGGTATTGAATCATCGATAGTGATAAACATCAATACATGTCATAGTTATTATGATTGCCCAGTCTTCTTTCTGATGTGAATGCTTCGAATAATGACACTAGTAGAATATCTCTAGTGACATAATCTATACCAGGACGGTAAACCCATCTGGAAATCACGTAGCAAGACAAGACACAAGTAATCCAAGTATCCAAGAGCATAATACATAATCATTTCCATTACCACAGTAGAAAAAAAACCGCTGTATACCATTCATACACGCCTATATACATACTAAACAAGCAAAGAACGTCACATCACATCACAATGTAATAGTCATCACAACCATGACAAAACCGCTAAGCCCCCCAAATACTTATAAAACCCCCCTAATTGAAACCCCACGCGCGTATGTAAAAAGGAAATCTCATCATAGCCTCCACCGCCTCTTCTTCGACAGCGACTCGCCCCGCTCCGTCACGCTTCCGAAGGGGCTCGGGTCTTTGGCGACGTTGCCGAACTAGACATGCCGCTTGCGCTTGCCGATGCGTTGGTAGTGTTTCCGCGGGTCGACGCGTTGCATGTACGATTTGAGGAGGTGGGGGACACGGCGGTACCTGTCGAGGGCGGTACGCGGAGGGCTGATGTCGAATATGGAGCGGTTGTCGAAGGAGCTGGCCTGGGTGTTGATGTCTTGTGGTCGTCCTCTAATGCTTACGGGTCGTCGGTATGACCTTGGTTTCGTGCTGACGGGTAGGAGGCATTCTGGGATGGGTCTGGGGATACGGATGGTGGGCCCCCTTTTTAAGTTTTCTTTACTCTGGATAGATATGGTGGAACTGATGTCACTGACGACGTCGTTGGGAGCCTTGGAATCGTCGAGTTTCATATACTGCATATTCTTTGACAGGTACTCGAAACGCATGGTGCGTGGCTTAGAAGACGTGACTCGGGGTGGGTTCTCGGTCGGCTTGTCTTGCCCGTATGATATAGCAACTTTTTTCTCCTATCTCGCTGTAGTAGTCGGGAAGCTTCGTGAACTCAAGAACATTCCCTTGACGCTGCGGATAGCGTCCCTAGTCTTCTTCACCTCGTCATCGGGCTCGGAGCTACGTCCATATCCCATGCCCCCGTGGATGGTGGCAAAGTCGGTTATGGGAGGAGCACCCACTTTATCAATTTCATCGCGGACCTCTCGGAGAAGAGAGTTAAGGTCGGCTGCACCTTCGGCATGGCGTATGTGCATGTCGTTCATTTCACGGAGGGATGCCTTAAGAGCGGCAAGACGGCGGGCTTGTGCATCGATGGGCTTATCTACCTGGTTGGCCGTGCCAGCTGAATCCAGGGCCAGCATTTTCGGTGAGGTCTGCGTCCCTATGTCCCGGTGGAAGAGTTCGGTGGGATCACTGCAGATGCTGTCGTCATCCGCATATGCACCTTCATCTTGTTTTGACTTTAATACTAGTTTTCCATTCTTGTATGGTACTTCGCTGACGACATCTTCGAGTTGTTCAACTAGCTGCTCTAGTTTCTCGTTTATATGCCCGTAATAGTCGGCTCGCGCATCGTTGAGGCTATCCACCATTGGACTAACGACGAATCGTGCAGTTCCGTATAGAAGTGTCCATACACTGCCAGAGACAGCCAGGATATTGGCGAGACTAGAGGGTGTGATCAATGGTGGTGGCTTAGTCGAGGTAGTTAAGAATTCGGGGTAGGTTATGATTGGAACCGGATCGTTTGTGGACGAAGCTATAGGGGTAAATGTTTCGATGTCTTTGGTCTCTTCAGAAGTTCGCAATGCGTTTTCAACTCCACCTGTAGACTTGGTGGTCGTCGGCAATGGGTTTGGAGATTGTGTGGTTTGTTCTACCTCCTCTAGCAGCTCTTGGATTTGGGTATCGTTAAACCCTTTGTTTTTGAGAAATTCTGCTTTCTTTTCTGTACTCGAACTTCGAACCGTTTCATCTCTTAGAAATATCCGCGCTTGTTCAAGGGTCACGTCTGGCGTGTCGACGTCCTGTGGATGGCTGGTTTCGGGTGCAGCGTCATTCTCGGATTGCGGTTCTTGCCACGATGGTATATTGGGCCTTTTTGAGTCTGCCATATTGATAATGAATGGGAGGCTGGCAGAACCAGCGGATTTGATGAACAATAAAAAAGAATAAGATTAAATTAATTAGTATATGAGTTGAGTAATATGAAAAGTTGAAGCTTAAAACGTCAATTAGAATTGGAAGCTTTCAGGTAAGGAAACAAACCAACGCGACGTAGTTATCTTATCTTAACACTGTATGTACAGAGGTGGGTAGCTGCCTCGGTACATCCTCTGAATATTCCAACCTCCCAACTCCCGAGAACCGAACGTTACTAGGGAACTGGAACTAAAAGTAGTTCGGGTATGCCTTGATGCGGTTAGAAATATCTACTGTAAGTTTAGCTCAATTCATCAACCCCTACAAATTGGATTACCTAATCGTACTCTCACGTTAAAGTTAAATGCCAGTACCTAGTACTTCGTACCTACACAGTACCTTGACCGAATTCACCTTCCGCACGTGACACAGGCCTCAATCGCAACATTGAAGTCTCGACTTGATCATTTCATCGTCAATACCTTCCTCGCGACTGTGGAAATAATAAGGAAAGTTCGTTGGCGAATATTGTCTCCGTCTTAGCTTATAGTTTACTACCACTCATTTTTAGGCTACTCCGAGATCTTTTCAATATCATTCGTCACTTTCTAACATTGAACGGTTTACAGTGGTTTCTTAGGTCGTATACATAAACATTCCGAGACGTTCCTCCAACAATTCTGTATCACAGGTTGAAAACGTTGACCGGTATCCACCTGCATCACCACCGACGATCAGAGGCTCCGGTCGAGTACAGTTGAAGTCAGTACCTTTTTATCCTCAGAAGTCGTTCCCTAATAGCCAAGCTTGAAATGTCGGCTGCATGATAGACTAAAATGGAATACGCCCCGAATCATAGGTCAACCGCACAACTCGCTAGGCGCAGTCCTGGCATTAGCTTATTAGCCTGTCAGCCACAGCTGAGCGCACGAGAACTTGGAACTGCCAATCCATCATGTAAGTCCCAGCTGCAAAATTCTGATAATGGGCCGTCTCTCGTCAGCACCTGTCAACTTCCCTGTCTCAAGTTCATCATTGCCTGGAAGAAGGGCATCAAAAGGGGGGAGTGGAGAGGAATGGTACAATTCATAGCGTCGCTGTCTGCAGTCTGATGAGACGACGGAGAATTTTCAAGTCCGGATTTAATGGGAGGTGCGGAGAGATGTTCAAGTGAACGGGGAACGGGGGCGGGAGAAGATGACAAAAGGGGCAGAACGGGGATAAAGATGATGCGATGCGAATGCGGTGCGATGCATGTACGGGCAAGGCCAGTGCTTCTTCTTACTTGCTTGGACATGTCTGAAGTAAAAAAACGAAACAAAATTCAATCTCTGGGTTTTTGTTTGTTTGTTGAGTCGGTTGCAGCAAAAACCAAAACCCCGTCTTGGTGTGTTGCCTCAAATATCTCGAACAAATTCAACTGGCTGAGATGTTTTTTGTCCAATCGCCAATCGCCAATCGCAATCACATATCCCAAAAACCAAATCAAAGCTACAAAAAAAGCTACATTGGCTGTTACCAAGTTACCGAATCCTACAGCCCTACCCGTATCCCCGTATCCCCGTATCCAAGCGGCAAGCGGGAAGCGGCACCATACCTGCCTCTTCCTTCCCTCTTGTTTGCGCACCACGGGGCATCAACGTGTCACGGCGTCTGACGCCGCAGCAAGCCTATTTCAACTTCCCAACTTCGCGAGAAACAAGCTCTAAAGATTGCCCTTGCCCTTGCCGCCTCGCGCGCGCCACCTCCAACACAAAAAAAAAACGTGCTTTCTTTCTTTCCTAGCACCTTACTTAGATCTGTTATCTGTGCTTTGATTTCTAACAGCGATTTCGTCATTCGTCAAATTATCCAATCTGCTTTTCTCACATTTACCACCAAAAGTCCTACATCCTACCTGTTTCACACTTATCTCACGTATCAATATCAACACAAACCCTCAACCCTTGGGCTTTGACAAATCTCTTCAAAAATGGCTTCCCGTCCGCGTCGCGCAGCTGCCCAGAGGGCAAACACGGCAATCACTGACATGGTTGATAGTGACAACCACATAAATAGCCGTACAGGGAGAACCATGTCCTCTAGGACTTCTCGCAGATCCGAGGGTAAGAGTGCCGTGACATCAGTCTCGCGCGGCCCTCCCTCTTCGCCCCCAGAATCTAACCAGCATATCCATTTTACAGTTAAGCTTCCGGCAAGCAAGCTTCGTCAAGCAACTTCTAGCCGCGCCAGCCAGTCTAGTCGTCAGCAAGCTTCCAACTCCAGCATAGTTGAAGGAAAGCGGAACCGCTCTCAGAAGAAAAGCTATGTCGTAGACTCTAGTGACGAAGAAGACGAAGACGCCGAGGACGAGGTTCAAGTAGAAGAGGAGGAGGATGACGATGACGATGACGACGATGATGCCGAGGGAGAAGATGACGATATGGCCGACATGGGAGAGGAAGATGCAGAAGGCGAAATTGTAGTCGACGACACCATGGACATTGACGCCGAAGGAGACGATGATGATCTCGGCGAGGAAGATGCTGAAGGCGAAGACGACGACATGGATGTGGACGCGATCCCTCCTCCAGCGCCCGTAATTAAAGTCTCAAAGCCTACGACTAAGAGTACTACTAGCAAGTCAAAAGCCCCTGCTAAATCCAGCGGGAAGGCTGCGGTCCCCCAGGCACGCGACAGTGATGATGATGAGGAATTGAGTGAACTAGAAAGCGAGGCCGACGAGATCCAGGATACCGTCAAAGTTGGAGGTGGCGACGAAGAAGATGCCGAGGGCGAGGATGAGGAGATTGAAGCAGCAAACCCCGCCGAAGAAGAAGACGACGATGTTGGTAGTGATGTCGGCGATGAAAGTCGTGCTGAAACTCCCGATCTTACTCGTATGACCAAACGACAACGTGCTCGTTTCGAGGAGAATGGAGATGCCTTGATGAAGCTGTCTGATGGTAAGTACCCCTTAAGTAATGTTTTTGAATCTAGATTGACATGATTACATAGAGGTGCAAGCGAAGAAGCATTTCACTGCTGAAGAGCTCTCTATGCGCCGTGCTGAGATGGCCCGTCGACGGCGCAACCTAAGCGAGAAGCGCAATGAAGAAGTTAAGGTACGTTGCCCATTCTCTCTCAAGATGGATGTCAAGTTTCAGGGGGCACAAAATTAATACAGTGGATAATAGATGGAGACTATAAATAAGCTTCTCAAGAAGCAAGCTCCCAAAACTAACCGCAAGTCTATGCTTGCCGGTGACCAGACTCCCGATGTGGACGCTAATAAGCCAAATCCCGCGTTTGTTAGATGGATCAGCAACAAGGACGGTAGCCGAGTAGGTGTCCCTGACGAAATGCTTTCCGGACCGTCTGGCCAGGCATTTGTTCGAGGTGGTCTTGGAAGTGGAAAGATGGTGGAAGAAGTGTCGTAGACCGACGAACATCACGACGGTTGCCAAGATGGCCATCAAGACCTGATAGGTGGAGACAAGGATGGGCACCAACATAAGCCATCCAGCACGGATTCCTCGATGAGACGGCATTCCCATCATTTACGCTCATGTGGCCTTTTCTAAGCTGACATGTATCACCTACGGTTTATCTAATAACTTGAGGCTTCTTTTCTGATGGGAGTTTATTATGGTCATTCATTTCCCCTGTAGTTTATGGAGTTTGGGGACCGCACATTATGATATTGTAGTTTAGATCGCATATCTCGGTGGTAGCAATAATTCAGCTTCAGGATTCTATATATGAAGCTTCCTAGTTCTTCATTGCTAGGTACCAAGTTTCTAACTCAAGTATTATGTTTTGCTGTCCTGAACCGTCCAAGATTTTTCGTCAGCGTTAGGTTCTACCCTCGCCAAAAGACGACAAGTTCAAGCTTCCATTTAGGAAAAATTTTACTTCCCATCCTATCGATTCACCCTTGATCTATACTATTCACCTAGTATTTCATATAGTGGAGCCTTTTTCACCTCGCGTTCCACTCGATTCATAGGTATCAATATGGACGCTTCAATTTTCATCCCAACTTCAGTACCTACCTAGTAAGAGAAAATAGTATTCTAATAACTTGCTCACCTGGGCACTTAGCAAATGACATCACAGTAAAGTTTAATTTGAACTAAGCAGTTTGCACTGTAGCTATGACCAATACAACTGTTGGTTGAAACTCCTGTGACCGGATTTTCAAACATATCAAACATCAATTATGCTAATAATGGTTTTTACTAGTCACTAATCTTCTATGTATGCTTATAGTATGCATTTATATTTGTGTTTCTGACTTAGTACTGTTCTTATACCTACTTTGACACTGAGTTAGTTTGTTTGTTAACAAGCAGTGACCACATGGTCTCCCTCCTCTAGCAGTCTTGGGAGGTTATAAATATTTGGCAGAATACACCTCAAATTATCAAATTCCCTACCTACTCAATGTGTATAAGGAAATATATAACCAGGTGCCTATGTGCCTGGGCGTATAAAATAAGACGATAAGTCTAATCTCCGGTATTTACATATAATATGACCACTGGTATAATCAGCGATCATGTATTTGCCGGCTACCCCTAATATATTATGGCCTAATCATAGGCGCCCATAAGGGCCTATATATCGATTAAACAAAAATAATAATAAAAAACTGGGTAAGTAAGGGTGGAGGTTATCCCTAAATCTGTTCGTATAGACACTGACCTTGGGGACTGGCAGGTGGTCTAAACTCATCCATCCATTTCAGATGTCCCGTCACGTTTCTGCGGTGACTACTCACCTTATCTGGGTGGTATAGACAGGCAGAAACCTCTCGTCACTGACCAGAGCAAATACTGCCGCGGGTCACCACATCGTGCAGCTGGACCACTCCCGTTGCCGGTAGACCAGAGTTTTCTGCCACCGCCAAAGCTCTCTCTCTCGTTTACTCTCTTCCTAATCTTTCCTTACGACTATTGCCTACACAAACTTCTATCTCTTACAACCTACCGACAAAAATTACCAACTTTCTTCTTTTACGCTTTGAGGTTTACGAATTCAAGATATTGAATTCATCAACTGTGATAGATTGATCATTACTCATCTTCACATAACGACTATCATCATCATCGGCGCTCATAACTTCTCATTACCGCTCATCGCTGTATCTACTTCGTCGCTTCGATTAAATCAAATCGCCACGATGCCTCGAAAGCGCGTTCTATCCACCAGTAATGAAGAGCGTGAGAATAGGGCCGCGCGCAAGCGCCTGAGAACCGAGTGGCGGACAGACGCCACCGAAGGTGACAAGAAGAAGGCCATTGATATGGCAGTTAGTAAGCTAGGAGGCAAAAAGTACTCCTGGATGAGCCAGGTAAATATTCATATTTATAGCTCCTCCACGAAGAAAACTATCGGACCTAGTCTCAACCAAAACGTCTATGAACTTGCATAACTGGTATTAACTATCTCCTCAGGCAAGTACCGCTTCTTCAAGCGCAAATACGGCGGCGGCGGCTACTAGAGGTGAAACTACATTCACCTCAACTTCTAGTAGTACCGACAAGCCCATCAAAAAGCCTACCAGCAAGCGTGCGACCGGGGGCCTCAAGGCACCGGAGGTGGAGCAAGTTCGTGACACTAGCAAGTCACAACTGCCCACCCCCGAGCTGTCCTCCCCGGCTCAGCCCTCTCCTGGTGATGCCAAAGTCTCTGCCGTCGCCGCCCCCGTTACACCAGCTTCTTCGGAGAGCACACCGCCGACTAGCAATGCCTCCAAGAAGCGCAAGAGGGGTGGCAAAGAGGAGCCTATCACGGTCTCTTCACGGGATGCGAGCCCAATCGTCATCCCGTCCCGTGATGGGTCTCCAGCCCCACCCCCTCAGACGCCTAAGGCCAAAAGGGCCAAGACGGCACACACGCTGGTTGACGATGGCCACGTGGCTGAGCTTAAGGCAGTTCTTGACGGCGGCGCATCAGAACAACCGCACGATTCATTTAAGAAAGAGCTCGAGGACGAGCTGGTAGCGGCTTTTGAGAACGACCTTGCGGACGACCAAGAGGCGTCCTTCCAGAAGGAACTGGAGGACGACCTTGTAGCCGCTTTTGAGGAAGACGATCCAGTGGATACCAATGAGACTTCCTCTGAGAAAAAGCTCACCGATAATCCAGAGGCTACTTCTGAAGAAGAGCCAGCCGACAAGTTAGAAGCTCTTTTCGAGGAAGAGCCAGCGGACGACCTGGAGGCGGCGATCGAGGAAGCCCTAGCGGCAGAGCTAGAGGCTCCTCTCGAGGCCGAGCGAGAGAGGGACGAACTATACCATGTATTAGACTACGCTTGGCAGTTCATGACCATAGCGTAAGGGCGAGATTGGGAATTTGTATATCAGCGTTTCACATCAGCGTTTGGGTTTTTGAGTTTGGGGTTTGGGGGATTATATCCGACAGGAAGGCCTGTCATTAAGGGCTTAAATGTTTACTTGGGCATCTTGGGCCTTTTGGGCTCTTTTGTCATATCATCATCTAGATATTGACAATTGCAGAAGCTCGCTGTTTCTGCGCCCAACAACATATGATGGCATCAGCCAGTGTTTACCCTTCAGTGACTCATGTTAATCTTTCATTGACCGTCTCTCATGATTTGGGAGCTTGTGACTACTAAGTATAATTGATTAGAAGCCATACTTGCTATCACTGACTTCCCTGCTTATGTAAGCGAACCCCTATTTTCTTTCAACCTGATGAGAGCTAAGAAATATTTTCGGATGAAGATTTTTATCAAATATTTAATAGTTCTGCTGCTAAATGGAGTTTCAGCTTCTTGAAAGTATCTGCCTACCACCTAATATACATGAGGGAACTTAAGAGAATATCGGAAAACATATTAATTACCTACCTAGTAGGTAGGTGAGGATTCGAAGGTTGGGTACCTAGGTGTTTGAAAGGTAAAAATTCTCTTTACTCAAGTCTTATATTTACAATATAATTATGTAGGCAATAGCATTCACTCAGCCCCTTCTGCCTGGGTTAACGTCATTTAACTCGAGTGTATCGCTATGTTCTTATCGATGACATATATTGTATATTCCATCTTAAATCAAGAAGGTACATTTCTAACATTGAATATTATGTTAAAGCACCAATTAACGTTAAATATATACCTTAGGCAGCTTGAACTAACCGTCCATCCCATGTTCATAGGAATATTATAGCGTCTTTACTGTTACCCTCACCCAAAGTAGTGTTAAATTGTGTTTTTTCATTGGTAGTCTGCCCCTTTACGTCGAGTGATTGATTGAAAATTTTCTTGTCCCTATGTTAGACGTAGAATTACTCCATCAAATGGGACTCTCCTCCCTAGTCGTTCGTATTGAATATACCACCGTCAAGAGCGATATCTACAACCTTCCTGCCGAGTGCCCAGTAGCAATTTGTAACGCAGAAGAAATGACTACCAAACACCTCGGGTTCGATCAAATTATCACTTCAAGTATGTTTATGTACTGATGGGATTTTGAGCAAAAAAATCTTTACTGCTGAGAATACCATTGGCCACAACTCTCCTGTCGGCAAGCCTGCCACCGAGAACTTCAATAAGCATTGCCGCTCTCGTCAGTAAAGGTAAGTAATTATTTTATCCCTTCAATTCCTTTTCCTGGGGCTATCGCGTGCCGTTCTCTCCCCAATTTCTTCATTGTCCCTTATGGTGTTCATCGTCAAAATACCTGGTATCGTGACGACTTTCATTTGCCACGATATTTCCCAAGTAGACTGACGGTCTAGATAGGGTTCTCTAGAGTGTCACCATGGGGCCCAAGAAGAAATCGCGTAAGGTCTCGGAACCGGCATCAGCTCGTGACCAAACACCAGCTATTATCGATCAAGGACGTGATCCGATTGATCGAGGAGTAGTTGATTCGACACAAACTGATAGGCCGCCACCACTTTCCAGAAAGGCTATGCTTCGTCACTGGAAGGTTGAGAAGACATGGAGTCGCCCTGTGCCACGTCGTGTCTCGGATCTACGTCCCTTGAAGTCGAGACGAGACTCGATGGAAAGTACATCGTCAACTATGGTAATGCGATTCACTTCTCGCCGCCCTACCCTCGATGAAGTGGCAACCGCGCACAGTCGACTCAGAAATGATCGAATCCATCGAGTTGTCGAAGAAGCACGCAAGCGATGCCAAATGCGGCAGGAAAAGAGATTGGAGCAGGCCGCTCGTGCGGATGAACGCTCTGTTATCAAGCCGAAACCTGTTACCAAGCCGCAGCCTATTGTCCAGCCAAAGCCTGCTATCCAGCCAGAGCCTGTTGTCCAGCTGGAACCTGTTGTCCAGCCGAAGCCTATTATCAAACCGAAGCCTATTATCAAGCCGGTTCCTGCTGTCAAGCCGGTTCCTGTCATCCAGCCAGTGCCTGTCATCCAGCCGGTGCCTACTATCTGGAGGCTGCCGCTCTTTACGAGTATACAGCCCGAAGTCTCCAAGCCTCCTGTTAGCAATGCCTTCTGGAACCAGAAGGTTCTTGACGAGACCGACAGTGATTTCCGGAACTTCAAGAACAGCGGTATCCGTCGTTCTGAGCCGCCGCCGATTGAAGATGACATCCCTTTGCACCTGGCGACCTACATGGCTATGGGTGAAGCTTACTCAGGCTCCCTGTATCTCGATCTATTCCACCGCCAGTGAATGATTAGCTCATGTCTCGCGAGAAGAAGAGGATAAGATGGGGACGAAGGGGTTTTACTTGTGATTACGATGACTAAACGACTTGACCAGTGAGATTTCTCGAACATACCTGGTTATCATCATGGATGGTTGCTTATTTGCTCTGGGCACAATTAGTACTGGGTTTTACTATACCAGTCGGATTACTGAGTTCAACAATCAATTCGATATTGCTGTGTACTACTTCTACACATGTTTCTTATTGCCTATGATTGTGACAGAAGGTGCTAAACATGCCTGAAGACTTAGGAGTCAACTAATAAGTGATGACTAAGCTGTCTGTCTGCTTACGTACACACGAACTCAAATTTTTGAAGGAGAAAGTGTAGGAAAGTACCGAGGTACGTAGGTATTGTGGGTTGCCCTTTTCGTTTAGGTAAGCGAACCAATGATGATAGAGATCTGTCTGACTAGTAATGTCATGTGCCGTGGCTGGTGATCGACATATGGTGGTGTTTTTATTTTTAGGTGTGGTACAGTGGAACAGTGGGACGTTGGGAACATTAAAGTGTGAAATGTGGGAGAGAAATCGCAACAGATTTGTGATACGCTTGACAGCAGAACCATCTCATCATGATTTCAATTCCCCAGTTCCTCCAGTTCCCTTTTGAGGCAAAATGCAACGTCAAGCTAACCATCCTATGGAACCATCGTTGTGGAGTACACCGGCGCCTGCCCGCATCGTTCCAATACTTTAATACACATTTATTACAATTCCATTTGTTCTCCTCATTCGATCCATTGAATGACGCATCGCCATGACTTTATTATTACTACTACTATTTCATATCTCACCTGTTAGTCGACACTAATAAAGACATACTTTCGGCACATTCGCTAGGTACCTACCTAATAGTAGCATTCACAACCTCGTTGGTGTTCTCCTAGGCCTTCCCTACCAGCTACCAGCTACTTTGTGCCTATGAGATCCACTGTTCCCTGGTCGAGCCGCTGCAATCCCGGACCTGCAGCTAGCCTTCGGTAGTGCGTGGCCGCCAATGTATTTAATATTACATTGGATTAGGCAGTTCAGAGTGAGCGTTTGAACCTTACTACGTTGGCTACACCCGTTGCTACACCTACTACCGGCATACACGAGAGCGTTATATCGCTACACCCCCGGCACTGTTGCGGGATGCCTAGGTGGACTACCTACCTACCTAGGTACATAGTAGGTGGGCTAGATAGGACTCGACAGATTCGGTGAAACCCTAGAAGAAAAAAAGAGAGAGGCAAAAGGGCAAGGGAAAAAGAAGGGAAAAGAGCAGATTCGGTCACACGACACCGCTGACTCCCACGATCCTCGGCTGACCATCCCCAGCGAACCACAGTCGCACATCGCACAGATCTGCAATCTCTCTTTTATGCTCGTTACACTTAGTCGACCGATGCATAAGCAATTCAATTGAAACAGCCGCTTAGAAGCTACGAATATCTGCACCTATTCAAGCCTCTCATCAGTTGGAGTCGACGAGGCTTTTTTTTCTTCTTCATTCCCTTCTGCCCACCGTTCCTTCAGGATGACTGTCTCAGAATTGGATTCGTCAGCTCCGGCGGTCCCCCCGTTGACGATTGATAGTCAAAATCCAATAAGCCGAACAGAGCATGTCTCTGAACCACTTGACTCTCAGCCTTCGGGAGCTGGAGCTGAAAACAATAATGCGATAGTGCCGAGCCCTGTCACTTCGGACAATCAATGCATGTGTAAGTCAAGTTTGACTTTTTCTGTGTTTCTATTATTTCCGTGCCTACTTAACTTCCCTAATATTTTTAAATCTTCTCCATTCCGCACTGTTGCGAAGATGTGATCCTTGATCGGAAACTTTCGATGATGTAGTAGTTCAGGGGTGGCAATGATTAAAATTTGTTTTATTCAAGTTACCTAGTTATTCACCACAAGGTACCAGAATCGTCAGAGTCTCGTCTTAGTGTCAAGTGACTTGAATCAACATTTCCATCCTCCTATCTACATATTCCCTACCAGCCTACTACCCAGGCGACTAGGTATGTATGGTATTTATACGTTGTACCAACCTAATCGGTTCAATCTCACATTTATGATCGTTTTCTCAAAAGAGTCAGTGCACAACGCCACCCGCAGTCTGGGCACTTAATATCTAGTATAGTAACCATAGTAACCTAAACTGATGCGGTCCCTAGCGAATCTGCCAACCTTGCCAACCTTACATGGCACCACCCGGAACACCACCACGGCCAGTCACGTTGATTCCCCGCACCCCACACAGACCCAGGTAGATGGCCAGGTTGATCAAGCTATAATACCAACCGAGGCTGGCGCAACCAGAAGGCTCTCTGTCTCTTCACCCAAGATGTTGTTCTCCGATCTGTACAAGTCGACAAAGTCGCCGCTGGCCAAACTGCGGCGCCACTCGCAGATTGCGCCTACAGTCCCGGATTATGATCCTGATCTTACGAGCCGGGATAAAACCAAGCAGAAAGATGCCATCAAACGTGTCCTAGCAGCTAAGGTGCGGAATGACTGGAATTTCAAATGGTCACGTTCATGTATAAGGCCGAATTCGAAAGGAGGGGAGATCGGGCCTACAGTCAATGCCCACCAAGATGATCTTATTGCAGAGGAAACGGATTCCGGAGATGATGCCGCCTCGACATACAGCACAGTTTCGGAGGACCTTGCTCATTTTCGCCCCCGATCCGAGTGGTTATCAGATATGCCTGACGATGACGACGATGTACCAGTATCACCTTCAGCTTACCGTTTTGACAATCCGGATGCCGTTGGTGTTTCGGTGCAAACTGAAGCTTTAGCTAAGAGCGCAAAGCGAAGGAGAGCAATACGTTGTGAAATGGTATGGAACGATGGGTTAGCTTGCTTCAATGCCCGGCGAGATGCCTGGACAGGTGCGAAAGCGGCTCGCATTCGCCCAAGAGCACCCTGTCCGACAGTCACTTCTCCTACCTCTAAGCGTCTCTCATGGTGGCATCTTTCAACTTCGCCATTACCTTCGTCACCTACAGACTCAACGGGTGCAGCTACACCCCTAAGTCCTAGTGCAACACGTACGTCTGGCGATACAACCGTTGTGGCGTCATCTGATGTGGAGTCTAAAGAGGCAAAAACGAAAGAGGATAGCTCTACATATCCAGTAGAGACTCTTATTCCCATACCACAGCCTATTCTACCTGCGGCCACTCCTATGCGTGCCTCGATCACCCCGACCGCATATTCTACTATCTACGACAAGATTGTGATACAATCTGCAACCCCATCATGTCCCGTCAATTTAAATGATGTGATCCGTGCCTGTGTCGTCGGCTGGAAACGAGACGGTGAATGGCCGCCTCGAGCAGCTGAAGCTCCTCCCGTTGTAGCAGTACGCAGGAGAAAGAAGGAAAGCAGCACGGACAGCAAACCCAATGCATCCAAAAGGATGAGCTTCAGTTTTTTAGGGCGGCGGCAAAGTGTAGTGGGTGATCCTAGCAATCTCGCGGAAACTACGTCGCATCCGGAGACTCAAGTTACAGGGAAGGCATTTAAAAAGGGCCTGCAGCGCGTTTTAGGACTCGGAAATGACAGAACAATCAGCAATATCAGTAATCAGTAACTACGGGAACTTCGGCGGATAATGGATTCGGGCGGAAAGAAAGACTAAGGCGCTTAGGGAGTAAGGCAAACTTGAAGACAGGCGCGAAAGGTGGATGGGAAAGGAAGATTGGACCGGGATAGTTCACGACAGTACCCTCTGGGGCTCTCAAGGAGGATGCGAATTCTCGGCATTTAGGCATATACCCAGCATCGCTTTCGGCGTTTTCCACTTTACCTAGCTTCAAACTAGCCACCGTCGCGTGGCGTACGCACATACATACTTTGTCAACAGACTCTAGAATGAATTTAATAGGTCGTTGCCTTTTTTTCTCATACAATTCACCTCGTTTGTGACCAGAATTTTCCGCGTATTGCTTAGCTATTTACTGCATGTGGTTAAAATTATGCAAACGATGTAGAATTTTAACGTCTTACCAACCACTTACAAACGGCCAATAGCGGCGGGGACCCCCGGACGTTATGCTCCGCTGTTAGGTGGAGGCGCCAGCATAAACGGGAATAGTCGTTGGTAATGCTTGTTTGAACGCTTACATAAGTCCGGAACTCCGCGACATCCGGACATTTATGCGAAAAGCTGAGGATTTCAACTTTCAATGCCGTAGGAATGTCACTCTGCTAGGTTCACTAGGCAAATAGTTTAAATTAGAAACTAATGGCGTCAGGTGCGGCTCGCTAGTGTTATGGAAGGTATTGACTACAGGAAACACCTTTGCTAGGTTGGTTGGTTGGTTGGTAAACTCTATCAGATATGTACATCAGCAGCAAATATCAAACTCCAAGCAGACACTTACAGTTATACGCAATAACCAAGGAAACATCACCTAGGTAGACAAGTATGCTAGACCAACGATTGATTTCCTTACTCACCAACCACCAAACCACCTTCCAAAATATCCAACAAGGAACAAATAAGCATCAAAAGACAGACAGTTTAGAAGCATAACCATTGTTTCATCTCTCATTAGGTACTAACAGCAACAAAAAAGGAAGTAGCAGTAGTCCGTCCCCCAGCGCGCGTAAAAGCACCCAATACGCGGGACTGAACACCGACAGTAATGCCACGCCATGCATGCCATCCCTTTTACAACGTAAAAAAAAACAGTTCAGAGTAATCCTACACTCCGGGCTCAAACCCTCCAGGAGAAGTTTGATAGAAAACCAAACCCGATCCCAGAACAAAAGGGAAGGGGAAAAGGGTTTAAAACGCCAGACTAAACACCCCGGATTGCTTTTATAAGACATGTAGCCTTAGCCATAGCCATAGCCTATGCCTGCCTTTCCCCCCGGTTCCGTAGTATAGTGTCCGACCGTCCACTTCGTAACTCGCCCGAGTACCTCCACAAACCGCGTATCTAAAACACTCATCAAGAACTGAAAAACGTCACCCCCTTGAACTCCCAATTACCTAGTACCTAGTACCTAGTACCCAAGGTAATCAAGACAACCCCAACCCAACCCAATCCACCGAGCCTCAACCAAAGCTATCCTCGCAGCCCTACTGCCAGTCCTCAGCCTCAGCAAGCACCAACTCACTCCCCCCCTCCTCTTTAACCACAACCCCACTCTCAACAAGCGCATCCCAAACCTTCCCCCTCCTCAACCCAGCCTGACCCAGGGCCGTCGCATCAACAGGAAGACCATCGAGCGTCTTAAGCCTCCGACAGCGATCCAAGACAACAAGCTCGTAGAACCTTCGACGCATGCGCGTGCCCATATCGGATCTGCTAGCGAAGCGTTCGTCGCGCGCCGCGTCCGCGTCCTGGAGGTCGAAGCCGTTACCCTCTCCCTCCTTCGGCGCGAACGCGATGAGCGCGGGGCCGTAGAACCCGAGTGTTGCCGGGTTGTCCCGTAGATCCAGGCGTTGCAGATGCGGGAAGCCCGCTAGCACTTCCGCGACCTGTCCCGCGTCCGCGAGCCGGTTACCCGCTGCAAGGAGTTTCTTTAGTCTGGGGATGTACCGTAGGCCTGTGACGTCATCGATGGCGTTCATGTTGAGGTTGAGGACCCGCAGGTTCGGCATTAGTTGTCCGAGGTCGGGCGGGAGACTTTGGAGTCCGCAGTTGGCTAGTTCTAGGTACTGCAGATTTAAGAAGTCGACTGTTGGGTTGAAGGTCCCGAGTAAGTTACCCGAGAGGAATAGCTTTCGTACCTCGTAAGCGGCGTGTAAGAAGGACGGGTCTAGCGGTTCGTCGCCTCGCTGTTCGCGCAACGAGAGGCTGTCGAGACGACGGCATCGTGAAAATCCAGTTATCGTGACTAGTTGGTTGCGGTCTATGTGAAGGAGACGCAGAGAAGGGAATGAGGCGATATTGAAGGTGGTAAGCTCGTTGTTAGAGAGCATTAGGTACCTTAGGTTTGGAACTGAGACATTCGCGCTTGGAGCGAAATATGACAGGCCGTTATGCTGCAGGTTAAGAGTAGCTAAGCACGTGAGTTGCTCAACTCCTTGGATCGACGTAATCTGATTGTTCTCCAAGTCAAGCTCAGTCAAACGCTGTAACTTCGTGCCATCAAAGTTCACTTCATCAATAAGGTTACCCCTTGCGCGGAGAACCTGCAAGCTGTCATGCATCTTGATACCGTCCAAGCTGGTGATCTGGTTGTTGTCGGCACGCAGATTCCGGAGATGGACCAGATCTTTGAAGGCGTGCAAGCTGCTGATCTGATTGTTAGACACATCTACATATTGTAGATTCATCAAGTGACCCCATGCTGTTAACTCGGAAAGGTGGTTATTTGTGATGCGCAAGTTGCGAACGGCATCAGGCACACCGTCAAGGTGCTCGATTAAGTTGTTGGACGCGTTAAGGGTAGTAATGTTTGTACAGAACTCGTCGAGCATGTGAAGTGTCGTCAAGTGCTTGTCATTGATGTCTAATTCTTGCATGGAATCCCAGTCGGGCTCGAATGGCTCGACCTCGGTGATCTTCTCGACAAGATTCTGGATAGCCTTAGACATGATCTTCTTGGAGCCATCTCCGGTAGCGAGATGACGATCTCCGACGACATAGCTGACTTCTAATCCGAGGGACTGGTCGGCGTGGTGCATTGTAAAATCAGACATAGGACTCAAGGACAAAGTGCCAACATACTGCCCAATTATTGGCGTTGCAGAAATTGGCTGGGTTTTTGCGGGCGCTGGCGTTACCACGACGCTTAAGCTTGTGTTCCGCTGGTCTTCATTGTCCGGAAACACGACGCTCGAATCCGCGCGAATGCTGAGCTGCCGCTCTTCCGACGCGGCGTGTTCCCCACTTGGGTCTTCGTCCTGTTCGTCGATTCGGGACACCGGCCTGGGGACAAAATCCTGGCCTTTTACGGATAGGTTTCTTGCGGAACGGCTTCGAGACCGGGAGTTTCTAATTGAACTACCGGCGGATTTTGGCGATTTAGACGCTCGTCCACGCCCTAGCGAATCGGTGGGGGCCACGTGTTCCACCGTTCCATTTTCTTGACCGCCATTGTTGCCATTGTTGCCGTTGTCGTCATCCGAATGATGAGCAACATCTTGGATGATCGATGCGATCGGAGACGAAAATGAAATCGTGAGGTTCCTTCGTCGCGATGGGCTGGATCTTTGCATCCGATCTTCATGGATTGATATTTCATGCTCGATCTCCTTGTCGTCTTCTACTGCTGTCTCAAATTTTGCGTATGCCTCTTTTATATTACCCAGTATGTTTTGGGAATTGATAGACTCATGCGCCGTAGTAGACGACTTCGCAGAAGAAGGACTTGTTGGTTCCTCTTCTTGAGACTGCTCCCCGGATAATGGGTTAGGTGCCGCGGTCAACTTGAGATTCTGCTTCTCTCGAGCAGTGTCGACCGATAAATCTGGAATACTAGCGAACGGGTCCTCGCTGTCCTCGGATGGGAGGAAGTTTCTGTCTTCCGGAGCAGACCTTGGCTTCTTTATCTTGTGCCATACCTTATTCTCCTTGTCGAATACCATGTTTCCCACTTTATTGCCGATGAAAGGTTTGACTACATCTGGCAGAATGAGTTTCTTTGATTCTGATCCCCTAGAGGAGGTTGTGCGGATGGATTGTCCGGAAGACCTCGATCCATTCGTGGGATATTCGACAGCATTTTCCTCGGACTCGGGAAAGTCAGGGTTACGCGAAATCCTGACATTGGAAAGGTCACTGACCACCTCCGCATCTTCCTGAAACTTGTCCCATGTCTTGTCAGTAAGAATACTCTGTCGGATGGACTCACTAAGGCTGTTAGCCTCGTTGATAGCCTTCCTAATACGCCCCATCGAATGCATCGAATTCGTAATGATTTCGCCCAAATCGCTACCCTCCTGATATTTTTTAAGTCGGTTGACAAGCTCAGGGTCTTCCTGGCGTGTTGGAACTCTAGAAAGAGGAGGTCCTTCCCGGCTGGGTGGTCGCGAGAATGGCTCTTTTGTAGATTGGAACGAGCTGTCGTCTTCGCCATATGCAATCGAGCTGTACTGCGGCTCTTCAGTCTCGGTTTCTTCTACACTGCTAAGGTCATTCCTAGGTCGCGCCTTGTTGCGGATCATAGTCATAATTTCCTCCGCAACATCGTAATAGTCCTGGGTTTTCAACGAGGTCCTTCCCGATCCATTCACAGCGTTATCTTGACCACTCGTTTCCGACATGCTATTTTCATAACCTGAATTGTAACTTCGGTCGCCAAGTAACTGTTGCTCATATGCTCCCGATGATCTTTGACCCGGTGTTGGTGATCGAGGTCGGAGAATCGGTCTTGTTGCCAAAATATTTGGGCTTGCAGTTTGTTGCAAGTCAGATTCGCCAGAAGCTGGTCGCTTCTTCCCGATAACTGATTGCATAGTTCGATGGGAAGATTGCACCGAATCGATCGCCACAAATTGGTCTTCCAATCCATATGCAATATCCGATCGGTGAAGTGTCCTTCTCCTTTTTGGAGTAGGATCTTTAGATGGTGAGGTTCGCGGCCTCTTCCCATCAGAGCCATCCCTCTTTGGTGTTGCCTCAACACCGCCATTAGGTCCAATCGGATGTGAAGAACTCTGGGGCCTCGAACTATTGGGTGGCCTAGATAAAATCAAGCCACGTCGCTGAGGGAAAATGTTGCTCTGCAGTTTATGCCGCCGTCGCGGGACGAGAAGGGATATTGCCTCAGAGGATAAGTCCTCGTGAAGATGAAACCTGACAAACTGACTTGGTGGAAGTGAGTCGTCTGTGGGCGCCATATTCTCCTTGTTCGTTAATTGCGACTGGGAAATTGAGTTCTGGGTAATATCTTCACTGAACTCGTAGCCATCTAGCTCACCAGCCCCGAAAGTGCTAATGTCATCGATGTTGTCAGGATAGTTGGAATTGACATGTCCTGTTTTCCTTGGACTGGACTCGGCCACAAAGCCTCTGTTCACATCAGACTTGGAAGGTGATTCTTGTGCCGGTAAACCAGCAGTATTGTCCAAATTCGAACGTGAAGGGCTCTCTGTCATTTGGTCCTCAAATTGGCTTATGCGCCGGAGAAGAGTTTGATTGGTGAATGTGTCATATGGGCCAAACAGTTTCAGAGGGCTGCCGCTCTGACCCGAAGGAGGCTCGAGTCGCTTCTCGGGGCTAGGAAACGGTGCAAGGGGTATAGAAGGGGATTCCGATACTCCGCGCCAGTCGGTTGACGCAATACGCTCTAACCTGACACTTGGGAATTGCTTCGGGGTGCTGGCTTGGAGTGATGATTCTGGAAGCATTTCCGAAGTATCAAGGTTCAACGGAGGACTGAGAGGACGCTGACGAAAAGATCCCTCGCCTGAATAACCACCTCGCTGAACATTTAAAAATCCGCCATTCTTGACAAATTCATCGGTGGTATCGAGTTTCTGGCTCTCGTTGACAACAAGCGCTGGTGCTGGTTCTGACTCCGAAAGGCTGCTAGGCTCCGAATCCAAGACCATCTGATTTCTTCTGAGCTTCTCAAGGCGCTTCCGTAACTGTTCCACAGGGAGTTCGACCGGAGCATAGCTCACTGCTCCGTCTTTGGTGTGTCGTGATATGAGAATTGGGCTCAGGTCCTCGTTCTTGATCACGCTTTGCCCACTAACTTTACGTGATTCATCGAAGCCGTCGATAGCATTGGTGCGGATGATTGACTCTTCTTCGGGTTCATTCGTGCCTTCATCTTGCCCATCATAGCTCTCATCCAACGTAGATTGGCCATATCTACTTGAATCTTGGTTATCCTCATCCGTCCTTCGGAACACGATCTTCTTAGGAGGCGGAGGAGAATGCCGAATCTGAGAGTCGTTGGTGGATTCCTCGAAGGTTTCATCATCGCATTCCTGTTGTTGCAGTTGTTTGGATCTAGAATAAGGTGGAGGACTCGATGGTAGTGTCATATCGTTAACGCCTTCTTCATTTGCCATGGTCTCATCTCCAGTAGCTTCTGGCGCGACTGGTGGTCGAAAGATGTCTTCTAGACCTGTTCCTGCTGAGCTAAACAAATCTTTGGATTCTCCGTAGTTCAACTGCCCATAAACCAATCGTTTCTTCCATTCGGGTATACTCTCTTTACCTTTAGAAGGGGAGATGCTCTGGGATTTGTTATGTTGAATGGTATTGTGGACGACAGATGCGGAAGTAGAGGCGGATACCGATCGACTAAAATAACGTCGTCCTCTCGGAGAGATTTTAGGCTCTTGCGAGGATTTAGAGGAACCGCGTTGTGATCCTCGGATGTTAATATCGTTTGTGCTTCGTTCGCTTAAGATATTAATAGCGCTACTGCTATGCGCAGGTTGCTGGGACTGCTGGGACTTCTTCGCTGAGGAATTACCAGGATTATATCTTGGTATGCGACTAAGAGGTTCGCGCGGACTTTTGCGATTCGTACTTGCTCGTGTGTTTGGAGTGCTTGGTGTACCAGGCAACTGAACCTGGGAAGTTTCGGATCTAGGTTGAGAGACCCAGTCCTCGGAGAGTGAGTCTAGCCAGGCATGAGCCATGGCGGGCAGGTGTGAAGATTAGATATGACGAGGATCAAGAACGATGACGAGGAGCATTCATCGAGGAAGGTATGTAAGTACGATAGACAATAAATAGTGAATAGTTTGAGGCGATTGAAAATAGCAGCTCCGTCAACGGCAATATTCGAGTGTTGTAGTATGGATTGAAGTAGTATTGTAGAGGGAGGGTCGCGATTTGATGACGTGCTGTGTCCTAAGTGGTGTTTGTGTTGACAAAGATGCGTGGGGCAATTGGTCGCGTCTAAGCTGCTCTACGGTTCGTAGGGTGCGGCACTAACCAATAGAGGAAGTGTCAAAGGTAATTGGAGGATAATTGGAGGATAATTGAGCGTAGTAAAATCATTAAAGGCTGCGTTTAAACTATGGAATATTCCTGGAAAGAATAATTCGTGAAGCTCTGATCATTTCCTAGGGTCCCAGGGAGGTTGGTAAGGGTTGTTCAGGTGAAAAGGGCAAGTATCTTCCAATGTACTGTGGATGTAATATGTGGTGTTGTGCAGGCGGTGTACCGTTACCGTTACTTGGCTCACACCGTCCCGCACCGTTGAATCATTGGTCAAACTCCTCGGAAGAAACGGTACTGGTATCTTCCGGTTTCTGTAGCAACGGATTATCCACTCATTCGCCACACATAATCCATTTAACATATTCCGAGCCACACCTAGCCACATGTAACTCCAAATGGAGACGCTAATTTCAATTAACGCGCTCAGTCGCGTCCAATCGCGATAAGGTTTCCCAAATATCCTTAAGATCGGTACCGGGAGAGTGGGGATTTCATGCCACCTAGCAACCGCCAGAACGCAACATTAGACTAATTAATTTGAATAATTAATTTTCTCTTCACTTTTCTAGTGAATCCGAAACTCTAGACATTGTCTGTTGTCGAAACCCCACCGACGTCAAATCAATCTAGAGCATCTACCAATCCTAGTCGAAATCCGAATGATGACATGGAATTGACGAAACATAATACTACATATGGAAATCATGGATGAAGATAATATGGATATTGATATTGAGGCCGGGGCCTGGAGACGAGACCGCCTCGGTGATGAACCTATTTATTGCGCCGCCCCTCCCCCATCGAACCCGGACGACATCATCTGTCTTGGATCGGATGAAGAGCTTGATGATGACGCAAAGATCGCAAAGAGACTACGATACGAAACTCAGGGGCTCCGATATTTACAGGGCAAGACTAAACGAATATTCTCCGCTTCTCTTCATGGTCCCTTCGAGAAGACTTCAGGATGGAAGAATCCTTGGCTACCGAAACAACCCTCCATCGAAAATACAGTTTCCACATCCCAACCTACGATGAAACCTCTTCCAGCAATCAAACAACGCTTGCGCAAATATCTTGAACAGAACGACACCACATCTGGTACCAGTAACTCAATGCGCTGCCACTTACCTAGCCCTGAAAGCAATCGGGAATTGCCACTTTCTAGTAACCCTCCAGAGACAGACAAACACAGTCGAATACAGGCTTGGGCGAAGGATGTATCTCCTGGAATCGTAGTAGAGCCGAATCCTTTCTGGGTACCCAATCAAATTAACTCCGAAACCGATGGTTCTGGCAAGAAACGACCAGCCACGAAAGATTGGTTGAAGAAGCAATCGAAGCGGAAGAGGCTCGATAACCCCCAGGATATAGCCATGACGTCTACTCCCACGCCACTACTCACAGCACAGACTTCAGCTCGATGTAGCTCGGTGCCCACAGACATCGATCAGACTGGGAAGCCCGGCATTCCTAGAAAGAAGATAAGCCAAAGCTTCGAATTGGCAACCCCATCTTCCACTGCCGACCAGAGTATTTCGGAAAGTCAATATAGAGGACAGCACAAGAATATCGCAAGACACCAGATAACGTCGTCACGAGCCAACTCATCCGAAATATCCGAAGCAGCTGTTAAGAATTCGAAAATACGACCCATGAGCAGGACGGTTAGTAGCATTCATAACCAGCCATCTCCAGTAGATGATCGAAAACGCAAAAGGGTTTCCAATGCCGAGATAGAGAATCACGCAAAACAAGCCTACGGTGACATAAGCAATAAGAAATCTCATCAGAGCCAGAACGCAGACGATATGTATTCCGAAAGTTATCTAGACGAGAGTTTTCATTATCGAACTCGACCCACGAAGCAGGTTATAGGTGTAGAAGAGCCAATAGCAGACGCCTATCCTGAACCCACTCAGACCAGAACTCCTTCATCTCCAGTTCATGAAGATGCAGCAAGCATCGCAGCTCAGAAAACAAAAAAGCCACGGCAACTCCCACAGTCGAGTCCAGCGTTGGCGCTGCAAGTTCCCACGGAGCAAGCAAAAATAAGCGACCGAGCTGAAAGTCTTCCTGATCAGATATATTATCAGGACAGTAGTATTGTCGAGAACAGCACGGAATGCTATTCAATCCCATCTCGTTCGAAAAGGGGGGCAATTAAGGATCAACAGCCGCTTGTTGAGAACCCAAATTCAACGCGTAGCGGTTCAATCAACGTTTTGGCCTCAATAGAAAACACAAATTCTCTTCATATTCAGGGTGGAACTATACGAACTAATAAACAAACCCTAGTTCAGGACGACTTCTGTATACCACAACCGCTACATGAAGAGAAGGTGGCTCAAAACACTACAGTCTCCAGAAATCTTATAGCCGAAACACATTCAACAGAGAACCAGCCAATGGACATCGATGGAAATACGCTATACAAACCTAATGGAATATCCGCAAGTCATCACGTACCCAAAGGTCAAACCCCTGGTGTCATGTCAACAGTCGAGCTAGACGAGCAAATGGAAAACGTGATGAACAAGGAAACACAAGGAAATGAATCGGGCATTGAATCCAACTTACCCATAGTACCATTATCACAGTCGGAGTGGAGTGCCAAATCTACAGATGGAGCAAAGATGGTTAATGAGAGCAAAGTGAGCATTTTAGCTGTCAAGGCGGAAGTTCTTGATAATAGTGACTTAACTGCGACTACTTTATCAGAACCTTCGGAAGTTATTCCGCCAGATAGTCCATGGGTTACCGAATTAGCTCCAGGGGCAGACCTTACGATCGGGCACGTTAAGTCAGAGCCGGTTGATGATATACCTTTACTTTCTCCTTGCCCATCCCATCTCACTTTACTTAGTTCTCAGCCTAGTGGTCATGGAACCCCTATGATCGGACCATCACAACAGAGCCCCTGGGGTGGGAAATTATCGGAACCGTTGAAAATAGATCATGGGCATCATCTGGCAGATGTGGAAGCTAAACCAACCGACACACATCCTAGCACGATAGTTCCTCAAGTGCATCAAAATCCCTGGGCTGAGTCAAGCGCGAGCTTCAAGCCTCGTTCCAAATACTCTCTTTCTTGTTCTCCGACAGCTTTCAACGAAGAACCCCCGCCACCACACCTACAACTGTCCATGGCGGCTGTTGGACAGTATTCAGAGAGTTCAAAAGGGAATCCGATTACACCTCCCCGAATGCCTACATTTCATGTGCGAACACCTGACCTAGAGAGTTCGATCAAGCCATTCGCTACGTTCAACAGTCCATCACCGAAACGCGGAGGCCAACAGTTTGCTGGTCGCCCTTCATCTATCGGTCATCCGTGGAGTATTATTCCTGACGCCCTAGACAGTGGGCGGTCAACTCGACGAGTAACATTCGCTTTATTCCCTGAAGATGATGACGATATCGAGACTCGGCAGCCACTTAATATTAAAAGAGCTGCGTCGCCTCCGCCTCAAACGACAGTCAATGCTGATGACGACGATGTGGGCAAGAACTTCCATAACCATTTCAGTATTATGAAGCGACGTGCTAGTGGGGAAAATATCCGACGTCGGTCTAAGCCATTACTCCCAAGCTCTTCGCAGCAAATGCCTATAAGCCCGTCGGTTGGTGCGATGGCTGAGGCTTTTCAGGTGGCCGATGCGTATATTCCCCGCACACAAGGGACTCCTGTCGGGATTGTTAAGAGGAATGTTGATCAGAAAATGCATGGTGAAGAGCAATCTCCGTGGCAAAAGGAGAGCCAGGGAGTAGACGATGTGGCGGATGTTATGAATAACTTGAACGATTTCATTAATCCTTGGGACACGGATGTATAAATGGAGAGGGCTGAACAAGAGCCTACTGGAGGAAGCCATAGCTGGGGAATGGGCGCATAAAGAGGAATATGGTTGTGTTACGATGACACGGTATAAGGGAGCAAGTGAGCTGTAGGCTCATGTTAGGATGATACCCATGTATAAAGTTGCTTTTTCGCATGGCTAGGAGTTTTATAGGGTTCGTGGGCAAATCGCATAGTTGAGAACTGCTTTAGAGGTTGCTTTTCTTGGCAATGATACTTCCCTCATCATGAGGTTAATATATAAACAGGCTACTGGATCTTGCGTTCGATTTGTTAAGCTATTTTACTAGCCTCGGGAAAGTTGTTATCATACAACTGTCAGTCTCGCAATGAGGCTTTTCCTCAGGCAATACGCCACTTTACTTTCGGCGTTGAGACACCATCATTTTACCATCCGTACCTACACAGCCAGAGGAACAGAGGAAACGCAATGTACTTTTATTCTTTTACTATATACATACTAGGTGCTCATTTATATTAACATGACTACAATCAGACATTACTAGACCCCTTAAATTTCTACACACCTTGTTATGTGTAATCCAAGCCCCTGAAACAATATTGAATATATGGTAGTATAATACCTAGGTAAGTAATATTAAAAACTATAAACGATAAATGTCAATAAGAAATTTACTGTAGCTATTACACAAATTCAACGTCATACTAGCATTCGCAGAATTTCTTGAGAGTTACCTTCTCGTTAGACTGTTCTGAGCGGGATCCTCCAAACACGCCACTGAGATCATAATACGATTAGAACCCACAGAGCCGACGCAGAGATATCATGTCCTCATCAACATTTCACTATCATGAACAGAATGAACCAATAACCTTGATTATTTAATCACGAAGCCTCCTCTTCGTCATGACGAACCATTATCTGATGATTCCCATTCCAAATCGGCCTGGCCTTACCGGTAGTTACCCCTATCATCTGCAGAAACAGGCTGATTATATACGCCATCTACCACCGGTCACAGCCAGAACCTTAAGTAAAATGAGACGAAACCAATGATTCGCAAAAGATTACGGTGACCAACTTATCGTCGACCTCGACAGTCTATAATAGAAGGCACTATACATACATACATCGAAGCTCTCACGGGAAAAAGTAAGTAAGCAGACATCGCCTCCTACGTACATGCTACACATGCAAAGGCCGCCCTTACAGAAAGTGTAATATCGGTGAGCGGATATTAGTAACGGTTATCCGGTATCTGCACACCGTGCCTGTGCCACAGCATTTGCTTTCCCCATTAGCGCCGGCGAGCCACTGGCCTAGATTCGTCCCCCCCTCCTAATGCAAGAAGGCGGCTTACCTGCGTAGCGTGGCTGTCGGAGCCGGGGGGCCACTGGTACAGGGGCCGGGTTGGTGGGTAAAATGGCTTAGGCGATAAAATAAGCGTGGTGATGGGAAAGTTGTCATGGCGTGTCGGAGACTGCGACATGACATGACTCGCCGAACCGCCTTAGTTTTTCTCTGCTATTAGACATTAGACCGTTATGTGCCTGGAACACGAGGATACCCGTTCCCGAGAGTTCTAATAGAGTTGGCCGTCTACACGTGGCGGCGGCTATCGCTAGTCTCGGATCTATAGAAGTACACATCTACCTAGATATGTAGCAGAGACAGGTTGCGCGTCCTGATCGTGTGTAGTACGATGAGCCTTACGGGAGATTGTGTGTCTTGATCAACGCAGTAGCGCATTTTCGTTGGACGCAGGTCTAGCAAATTTACGACGGAGGAAATCCTCCACTAATCAATACTAGGTAGATTAGCAGATTGCCAGGTGGTGACCATCCTGTAGGATTAGATGTACAATGTGTGCGTATGTAGGAGAGAGATGTACTCCGTACAACGGCGGTGAGAAATCGAAATAAGCGGAACGGAGCGATAACGCAATATGGGATACTACATTTCTCCATGTCTAGATCTTGGGATCAGCCGCTAAGGTCGGAATTGGGAAACTGGGATAGTAGCTGGGGAGTGCTGAAACAGGCAGGCAGGTTGTCGGTAGCCTCAACATGATTTGATCCCCTCTTCGTCCCCTCAGGTTCCAGACCCCTCGAATTGCAGCTCTTTTCTGATGCGGGGAGGTTGTGCAAGCTGATCTGCATCCAAGAACACTATACGGTCCTGACATTTGGCTCGGCCAGATATATTTGCACACACCACGGAATCGCATCTCGCGTGTACGATCTCGTCTAGAATGGCTATTGTTGAACGAGGTCATCTGCCAAACCCCAACAACGGCGCGATAGTAGAAATGCTCAACAATCAAGAGCCGTTCGAGCGGGACGAGCTGGCCTCGTGGGAAGTTGGTGGCACAACATATTGCAAAGCACAATGACGTAGAAATGGTGTGATGAGATGAGCTATAAAGGGTGTGAAGGGTCGAAATTCCCATATACTTAAAAATCTTCCCCTTTAGCGTAAGACGCGACTGTTGAAAATTCGATGTCTTGTGTGTGTGTATGTGTGTGTGTGTCTGCCACCACTTGATGACAAGATCAGGAGACTTCTACTTATAGTGTGAGCTGTTAGTCATTATTGCTGTAGGCTGGCGCCCTATGCTAGCAACTCGGCGATCTCATGTCATTCATAGCGTGGATTACCGTAGCTTTCCACGATCGTACAATACAACTTCTTGATTTGTAAACCCTGCGAGAACCGCGGGATATATTCGGAATCGTACATTTAATCGCCCAGATCCGTGTTGTTGAGCGAGTGACGATCTTTTTGAGTTCCTTATTTATGTATGTACCGATCCTATCTAACCTTAGGTACGTAAGGCAGCGTGGGTTAAACTTGGGACGGAGCTTCAGGGGGGCTAGGTCCATCTAGAATTTGTGCGATAGCAGTGATATCGCTTAGATGCAGTTGGAATCATGAAATCCGAAAGAGTGGCTGGTCTCCGGACTAAGTCAATTTCCCTATTTCTCACCCCGTACCTACAGGAATGATGGCCGGTCGAGTTGAAACTTGAGGGCTTCGTAGACGATGTGAAATACTGAAATATCAAGGCAAATAGATATGTATCTGCAAGGATATCTCCATACTTCCAGTCGATGGATATGCCGAATCGCACGTTTAATTATTAGGCGATAGGAACAGCACTACCCACAGAGTCCACTGCCTAGGCTGCCGGGGTAAACCCTTGAGAGACTCGAAACCATCGAGGACGGAGCTATCTCAGCCTCACTCTGTTTGGCGTTTTAAGTGCGGATTTAAATGCGGACGGCAGAGAATTACTACCTTGGGCCGGCTAATGGCAAATGGCTTCACAACCATAATTGCGCCGGTTGACCGGTCCAGAATGTCCAGATGTCCAGAATCCTCGGGCAATTAAAAAGACGAGAATGACCATTGTCAGAAGCGATTTTCGACGTAGCACGAAGCAGAGTCGGATGATCTTTGTTCAATCGTGTCAATCGTGGATGAGGGGAAAGGGTCTAGAATAGTTATTGCGACACACCAAGACGGCCAGGATGGATCGACTGGTTGACCTGGTCAACCTTGTCAACCTTGCTTTTTAGTTGCTTTTAGACCCCTAAAGAAGAAAAAAAGAGAAGATTCCAAAGCAAGTAACCAGCTTCCAAGCCCTGGAGATTGACTTCCGTGAAAAGCCTAGCGCTTAAGAGATCCATAATACTGCATAGTACAATAGTAGGTCATTATTTCCAGAAAAGAAAAGGGGGGGTTATTGTGGCCTGTGCTTACAGCTTCGATGTTGTTTCGCTGCTTCCAACTCCCTGTCTGTCTTTCATAAATCAGCCAAGCCTAGCGTTGTATCTAAGTATACAACTATGACGTGTGTGTGATGCGCCACCTCGGGACCGCGTCAGAGTACATATGCTTGTACCGTCGATGTACTGATCAAGTTTATTATCCACGCCCACTGCTTATTTGATATGGCTAGCTGCCAGGAATAAAGACGAGCTATACTTGTCTATACCTACCACATATGCCTTAAGCGCATTGAGCCAAACAACCTTGCAAACATCAAATGCGAGATGGGAAAAGCCCTGTCTAAATGACATGCTATTACATACTACTTAGGTAGGTACCGCATCCTGTAGCTGTAGATGACATACCCTCCAGTATATCTTAGCTGCTTAGTTGAGATCAATGGATCTTATTAGACGGTGTTGGATAAGATGGGCTCATCAAATATGTAACGGCTTGAACTAGTGAATTGTAAAGTTTAAAGTAGTAGAGTAGGCAGGAACAAAGAAGTTTGTATTCTAACAAGGTAAGAAGACTGACTGCATTATGTCATTTGCCTCATCTTATTTGCTTTATGCTGTAAGGTATTTTAACAAAGGAAAAAGTTTCACCGAGTCATCAGTTTTCAAGGGTCCTCTCCCCTTATCCCCTTATCCCCTTAATTCCCTTATTCTTTCACCCCAACTTTTTTTCTGGCCATTTCGTCATCGAGCTTTGAACCCTTTTTTATTTTCTCGGTTTTCGCTTTTCTCCAATCTGATCCTACGGCGCCAACCGAATTAGTAACCTACATTATCAGACTTAAACAACATTGAACCGAACCAGACTGCCAGATATTAACCTACGCAGCTACGTAACAACATTTAATATTGGAATTAGAACTGGCACTTGACCAGAAAGTAACACGACACTGGACTGACTGGAGGCTCAATGGGGCTTATATTTTGTGATCGTCAAAAGCCACCTCTTAGTGTTTGGGTCCTTGGGTCTTTTGGGGGTCCTTTTTTGAAGAGTGGAAACGACTATACCTGTTAGGCTATACCACTTCAGTACCAGTGAGTACCGGTTCTGCCAGTTCTGCCACTTAGTTTTCCCTCCTGCCCTTGCACTTGATGATGAAGACGCGGCCTATGATTTATATTATCTCCGTCTCCACGCTGTGTCCCAGTTGTTCCAGTTCTAGTTGTCCCAGTTGTCCCCAGCCCACCTAGTCTACCTAGTCCGCTGTCCACCACTTTCGACCCTTGCCGCCGTCGCAAAGTAGCGCCATTGAATCGCTGATCATTGCCTCAGTCGACAATTTCTCTTGCCCTATTAGGGTCCAGAAACTCCCGTAGTCTCGTCCCTCTATGACACTTAATACCCCCCCGAAATCTACCTAGCCAGTCTACCTTACCTTATTACCTACCTTGGTTCTGTCAAGTCCTGTCAAAGTACCTTAACCTGCACGAGACTCGCCTTGCTTGATCAAGTCAGGCAATCCGAACGGTGTTGCCCCCCCATCCTATCATTCTATTTACACCCATACTTACAATACCTTATACCTCTACATACGTTTACTTACACCCTTTAGGGCCAGGGCACTCTTTTGTCCTATTTCCAGTGCGACCAAGTTGCGTCTAAGTAGAGAGATCGCCGGTGGTCCAGGCCTCATCGCCCATTCCACACGCACACACTCATACACACCACTACTACAAACTACTACCGCTACTACCACTACCGTTGACCGGACCACGCACAGAAAAGCAAAAGGGTCCCTCTAGTCTGAGCAGCATAACGACAGGAGCCAAGGTTCCTTCTTCTAACAACCGTCCTTTCCCCCTTACCCACCCACCCTCTTTTTGGCGGTTCCATTGCCATCGTCATTCGAGAGAGCTGTGCTCTGTTTCTGTCCTTCGCCTTCCGCTCGTACTGACTGTACGTTACTGCGCATGCCTGTTGCTGTTGCCGTTGCCGCCTTCGAATATCTTCTGTGTCTTACTTATTCAGCTTCGGTTTTCTACGCCTCAGCCACACACGACGCAGGGAGGGAGAGACTTAGTTAATCGTTCTACCAAAATCGATACTGTTCTTGAAGAATCCTATTTACTTTCCTAAAAAAAAAATACAAGAAGAAAACATATATGACTTTAGTATTGTTCGTCATGTCGGATTTATAAGGGCGGAGATTGAAATGGGAAGAAAAGGTTGGACCAGTCAAAGACACGACGTCATTAGCAGGATGAAATTGGAAATGGCCCCAGATTCGACGAAAAACCACGACCGTTTAGCAACGACCACAGCAACTTCCGCAACAACTACTCAACATTACACAATGAAGACCTCTACGAGACCACCTCTGGTCTCATCACATTCTCATTCTCATCCTTCTCGGCATGCCCATACGAATATGCAGTCTTTTAGGGCTAACAGAACTACAACGCCTATGGCGTCTCCTCGCATGCCTCATTCCGTCGGCCAACCTTATCCCCCTAGTGCCAAACTATCTCCCGTCATGACGGATATTCGGTCACCAAGCCCCAATTATTTCGGCCTAAATGTTGACCATTCCAATGGTGATATTCGTGAATCTGCTGTTGCTCCTCTCGATCACTGGAGTCCTCCAAGTTCATCCGTCAAGTCCTTTGGTGCAGCGATACCAAAGCCAGTGCCCCTCGACGCCAACCCCGAGTTTGAAGCTTTCAGACGTCAAGTCGATGCGAACCGGTCCAAGGGTTTCAACCTCGGTAGTCATCATTTTGCGCCTCTTCAGTCACCTTTATCTACGAGACCTAGACCCCCGCGTTTGTCGACCAATCATAGTGATAATTCCTCGGATCTGTCTAGCTCTAGGTCTTTAAGCGGCAGGATCCACGATGGCAGGATGGACATCGACACAGACAGCCTACACGACTCTGCGTATGTATCGTCAGATTCGAAGAGGAACTCGGAGGTGTCGCTGAATCCGCCCTCCTTTAGCAACATGCCGCGCTTCGAGTCTCCTGCTCGTGCTGACTCTCCCTTTGAGCCTTTGCGAAGGATAACTTTATCTAAGACCGAAGACAGGCATCCTCGACTATCTCTACCTCAAGAGAAACTTGAACACCCAGTGGAACCCATGAAACCTCGTGCCGAGACGCTGCCGATAGCTCTTGAGAGTGGTCCTGGTCTCATTCTACCAAATCAACTCAAAGATATGCTTATGAACATGCCTGAAAATGATTATCTTTTGCTAGACATCCGTGTATCGACTCATTATGCACAGTCGCGAATTCGCAGCGCGTTAAACCTCTGTATACCAACAACTCTTTTGAAGCGAGCTACGTTTAACCTAGAGAAGTTACAGCAAACCCTCCAAACTGAAGAGGATCAACATAAGTTTGCGCAGTGGCCAAACGTCAAGTACCTTATAGTGTACGATGGTTCATCAACAGAGAAACGGGATGCCGTGTCGGCTATGAACATGTTCAAGAAATTTTCAAACGAGGGCTTCTCTGGGAACTCCTTCCTTCTACGAGGTGGCTTTCATGCCTTTGCGACTGAATTCCCTACATTCATCGATCACCAGTCGGCGTCACAACGGCCAGGAACTTCTATTTGCTCTCCGGAAGGTGGACGACCGAGTTTTGCACCCGTGATCGGTGGTGTAATGCTCCCATCTACTGCTAATAATCCTAATCCATTCTTCAGTAATATTCGGCAAAATATGGATCTCGCGGACGGTGTCGGTCAGATGGATATTTCAGTGCCATCTGGTTTAGATTCTGATATTCTGCCCCATTGGCTTCAAGACGTGACCAAGTCATCGGACCATGGCAAGAAAGCATCCGAACGGTTCTTACAGATCGAGCGCAGAGAACAATCTCGCATGAAGGAGGCCTACGCATCCTTTAACACATCCTCAACCCCAGGTCAGCATCCCGGCAAAGTCCGCCTTTCTGGAGTGGAGAAGGGTGGCAAAAACCGTTACAAGGACATTCTTCCCTTCGAACATGCTCGTGTCCACTTAACCGGTCGACCCGAAGGTGTTTGCGATTACATCAATGCAAGCTACGTTCAAGCCTCGCGAAGCTATAAGCGTTATATTGCGTCACAGGGTCCTCTTCCCGCCACATTTGATGTAAGTTTACCTAGCATGTTGCTCCCGTTGCGGCGGTTCTGAGACTAACTATTCTCGTTTTAGGATTTCTGGTCGGTCATTTGGGATCAAGATGTTCGCGTCATAGTGATGTTAACCGCGGAATCGGAAGGCGGTCAGCTTAAATGTCATTCATATTGGCAGAATAGGGAGTTTGGATCCATTAGACTGAAGCCATTATCTGAAAAGAAGGTATCGCTTGATATTGACAAGCATCGGTCAGCACCTGGGGCTGCGTCATCCGCAAGCAACACGTCGGAGTATGGGCGACGCCGTGCTAACACCACAACTACATTCGAGTCTGCCCAGAGCATCCAACCTCCCCAGTCCCAATCCGAAGCTCCTTTCGTTATCGTTAGGAAGTTCGCGCTGTCACACTCGGCTCACCCTTTCTCTCCTATACGTGAGATTACTCAACTTCAATACGCATCATGGCCCGATTTTGGTGCACCGGCTCAACCATCACACCTGCTGGCCCTCGTTGAACTAGCCAATGTGATGCAACGCGCGGCGTTACCCGTTAACGCGAACTCGATCGCTGCATCAGTTGCTACTGAGAACCCGGCCGCTATGGGTTGGTACGAAGAGCCCGAATCCGACGTGAATGCTCGACCGATGCTTGTGCATTGTTCTGCTGGTTGTGGTCGAACGGGTACCTTCTGCACGGTTGACAGTGTAATAGACATGCTAAAACGACAGCGTCTGGCAACGATGAATCGGTCGGATGCAGATGGAGATGTGAGCATGACTGAGAGCTCTCATGTTCGTCGTAGAAGCGGCGCAGCAAATGGCCTGAGGCTTAAGTTAGGGGACTCTGGACATAGGGAAATAGAAACCAGTTGGCTCGAGGACGCGAACCTTGATTTGATTGAGACGACTGTGGAGGATTTCAGACGACAGCGACTAAGCATGGTCCAGAGCTTACGGCAATTCGTGCTTTGCTACGAGACCGTGGTTGAATGGGTCTGGAGAATCCAGGAGAGGAACGATCGTTTGCCCGGAGGCAGGGGACGGCCACGGAGCGAGATTCTAGAGTTCCGAAGGTGATGAATACAGCGGAGCCCTCTCACCTAGACACGATTTCAAGTTCGACGTCAACTTATCGGATTGGGATGAGGGAATCCGGGGAGGGCTCACGGGGAAAAACTGCATAAATTCGCATTTGGCATCAACACAGCATTCTGACTTGGTCGGAAGGTTCATATCATTGGCTAGACGGTCTAGCCAGGTAAGGCGACCACGGTGTTAATAAGGAACTGGAGTTACTATAGGCGTTTTTTGTTGGCATCATGGCATGGCATATTCGATTTTTTTTTGGAGCGAGACGAAAGCATAGCACACAACTGGATTCGTAGAGCAGGGTTTCGGAAAGGGGAGACACAAAGGGTTTACTTATAAGAGTGCCTAAAAGCAGTAGCCACGTCGGCGATAGGGGTTTTGTACATTATCATTAGTAGAGCGGGTTGAGAGTGGATGGACACTGCTACTGGTTGATACCGTAATTCGTAATGGCGAGTACCGGACTACATACACCTACTCGTTAATACGAAGCAGAGACAGATGGATACATAAATCAACACTCTGCATACAAATCTCTTATGCTATCAACAGTGACGAGTTTGGAAATTTCCCTTCGTGTTCTTGAGCCTCTAGGTAGGTACCTAGTAGTTATCCAATAGTGCCATCCAGTTGTAAGGCTCTGATATTGAACCGAGAAGCTTCGGCTTTCTATAATCACTTCGTAAATGTAGTAATGTTGAGACAATATACCTAGGCAGGTAGCCATCATATAAAGTCATCGCGAATCAATAGCAGTCACACATAATCAAACCCTACACATCATCTAGAAATAGCAAGACTTCGATATATTAGCCTCGTCCGTCTCGCGCCACCTCTAGGATTAATGTACACTTTATAAGATAGCCGTATCCCCGGCTCCTCTTCCGCGCAGCTGTCGTCATCATATCGACCCCAGCGCCACGCCGAAGTCCAAGCTCGTAGCAATGCGGCATGTCAGAGGATAGAACCGTGATCCCGTGGTAGGTAATCGTAGCCAAGACATGAGCTTATTTCCAGAATTTCTGTAGAGAGACCTCCTTGTCGTCGTGCTTGTTCAGAATCTTGGCTGTGGCTAGTTCGAAGTCCTCCTGCGTGACGTGGACTCTGCGCTCGCGCAGGGCGTACATGCCGGCTTCGGTGCACACACCCTTGAGCTCGGCGCCGGAGCAGCCGTTCATCTTCTCGGCGATCTTGTTTAGGTTGATGCCACGGGTAAGGTTCATCTTGCGGCTGTGGATGCGCAAAATGTCGGCACGGGCTTCGATCGATGGCGGAGGGAACTCGATCTTACGATCGATACGGCCCGGTCGTAGTAGCGCCGGGTCGAGGATGTCGAGACGGTTCGTCGCCATAATCACCTTGATGTTCTTCGTCGGCTCGAAGCCGTCGAGCTGGTTGAGGAGTTCTAACATCGTTCGTTGGACTTCAGAGTCGCCGCCTGACGACCCTTCTACTCGCGAGGATCCGATGGAGTCGATTTCGTCCATGAAGATAATTGAGGGGGCGTGCTCTCGGGCCATGACGAATAGCTCTCGCACCATACGAGAACCCTCACCAATGTACTTCTGCACGAGTTCGGAACCAGATACTCGGATGAATTTGCAGTCTGTGTGATGTGCAACAGCTCGAGCCAATAATGTCTTTCCGGTTCCAGGAGGGCCGTAGAGAAGAACACCCTTTGGTTGGGCGATACCGAGCGATTCGAAGAGTTCGGGGTGCTTCAGGCCGAGCTCGATGACTTCCTTGATTTCTTTGATTTGCTGATCCAGACCACCGATCATGTCGTATGTGCTGTCGGGCACCTTTTCCACCATCATGAGGGATACGAGGGGGTCGACGGAGGACGGGAGGATCTTCTCGAGCTTGTAGGAGTCGGATAGAAGCGTTACTCGTTTACCTACGGTAAGTTTTGCCATATCCACGGAATCCGAAACATCTACGACTGTAAAATAGTTAGATATGGGGAAGTGGTAAACCGAATTCAAGTTGCCGTACCATATTTTCCCTCTGGATGTACCTTCACTAATACCTTCTTCGTTCCCATCACTTTGACCACCTCACCCACGTACGATCCGGGTTGTTGCAGAAGACCTAACTCTTCTCTCAGCAACCGCACTCTTGAGTTGTAGTCGTTACGCTGGGCTTCGAGACGTCGGAGAACGGCTTGGCCCTTGAGGATTTCGAGCTTCATCGCCTCGATCTTGTTGTGGTAGTAGTTGTCGAGCGCCATGGTTGCTGGGGCTCCGTCGGGAGAATATTATCGTAATTGTCGTGATTCAAGTTTCCGTAGATTGGTTAGATGGAGTTTGCGATGATTCGGGTTGGAGGGGGTGTACAGTATGAGTGGTGAGGATGATGAATTGTAGATTGTAGTTGGTGTTGGGATAAGGCGACGAAAGTGATGGTGAGGCTAAAGATGCGCCAATGATGGCCCGGACAAGGGTAGGTCAGGTAAAGCTTAGATCTGGCGCAGGCAGGTGCTGCACAACGCGTTCCGGAACTACGGCAATACCAAATTTCCGTTTATAGCGACGGTCTGGGGTCGTGCCAACCTTAGAATCCCGACCTTGGTGCTCAATTCAATTAGAAATGCACAATACGTAAATTTTGATATGAACAAAATGCCAAGCATGTGCATTGAGGTAAGCTTGCAGGTTCACATGCATTCATTACGTTTATTGCAGAGCTTTCCAGAAATTTTCAAGGAATATGTGCCAGAAGACCTATTCAGATGACGCCTGTCAAGTCAATACCCGAAACTTGCAGCTGTACATAATATCTATCAAGCTACCAATATTACTCTAAAATTGAAAATATCTTGTAGCTCCCTTTGCAGTTTATTGAAAAGGCGTCAATAGCTTAAAAAGTAGCTAGAGTTTAGCAGGTTTCTTGACAGGCGCGACTGCCGGATTTTGTCTCTCAGGGATGATACATGAAGTACAAAATTCAAATCTCTAAGCAGGGGTTGAGAATGCTGCAACCTGCTGCAACACCGACCCATATTGGGGTCAGTTTGGGGAAAGATAGCACACCTTGTTACGCCATAGGGCTCCGTAGCTGCTTCTGCTGCCTGTAACTTCCTTGTAACTTCCCTGTAATCAACGAGTTTCCAGGCGGGATGGGCAGGATGGGTTTGATCGGGAAACGCTAATCTTTGTCCACTCACACTGTAAATAATCACGAGGATTAATCACGACTCGGGACTGGTACGTTGGACGAGAACCGTAAGATCCGCCATCCCGCTAAATCATTTTACTTTATGCATATAAAAGTAGTATATTATTTTTATATGTATATATATTTATGAATATTTTTCATTAATGAATTAAAAGATTATGTATATTTAAATAAATTTATTTATATTTATAATATAATTTAACTAAATTTAGTAAATTTATATTTTAAAATAATATAAATTATAAATATATTTAATTTTAATTTTTATAATAAAATAGTTTTTTAATTATTTTTATTATTTAAATATTATTAATAATAACATTTTATGTTTTTTATTTTCGTTTTATTTTATCGAATATATTATTTTTTTATTAATAATAATACGTTATAAATAATTTCGAATATTTAACGTATAATAAAAAAATTAATGATTTTTTTTTTTTTAATAATAATTTTATAAATAAAATAAAATAAAACATTTTTACTTATTTATTATTTAAATTATTATAATTAAAATAAAATATTAAAGTTTATAATTATTAATTATAAACGTATTTAATATAATATTATTTATTATTTTTATTATATTATTAAAATATTAATTATAAATAAATTACGTAACGTGTATAATTTATATATAATTTTATTTATAAAGTTATATTTATTTCGTTATATATATATTTTTTAAACGTAAAAATAATAATATTAGTTTTTATTTTTATTTAATTTAATTATTTTAAAATGTAATATTATTATTATAACTTAATTAATTTAATATATATTATAATTAAAAATATTTAACGAGAAAAAAATATTAATAAAATTTATATATTTCGAAATAATTTATTAATTAATATTTCGTTAATTAATAATTTATTAATTAAATAACTTTTAAAAATTATTAACGAATATCCGGGTTTTTATTTAAATTTAATTTACGATAATAACGTTAAATTTATTTAAATATTAAAAAATAATATTTTAATAAATAAAACGTATTATTTTATTATATTAAAATATCGGGATAAAAAAATATATTTATTAATATTAAATTTTAGTTTTTTTATTTAATAAAGTTTAATAATATATATTTTAATAAATCGATATTTTATTTACTTAAATTTTTTCCATTAAAAATTCCCGTCGAAATTATTAAAATTATAAGAAAATTTTAAAAAGTAATTTAAATATAATAACGGTGTTAAAAATAATTTATATTATTATATAAAATCGTATCGTTTCGCCGGTTAAAAACGAAACATGTAATTTCGAAAATTAATAAAAATTAAATAAAATTAAAAAATATAAAAAAGTTTATTATTATAATTAATAACGTTTTTTTTTACGAATTAAACTTTTATAATATTACGTTTATATTAAAATAAACTTATTACGTATTTAATAAAAATGTAATAATTTCATTTTTTAAAATAATAAGTTTTTTTAATTATTTTATTATATTTTAAAATCGAATAAAAAAAACGTTTTAACGATTATTTAAATAATAATATAATATTATAATATATAATATATTTCGATATATATCGTTTTTTACGAGTTTATTTTTATTTTTTTTATTTGGTTTTTTTTTTAATTAAATATTTTCTTATTTAAACGCGTTAAATTTTTTTTATCCTTTCGATATTACGTAAAAATAAATAATAATAATTTATATCGTTTTAATTTTAATAAATGGAAAGTAAAAAATGGAAAATAAAATATTAAATATTAAAAATTATTTTTAATTATAAAAAAACGGTTTTAAAAAAAAATATATTTTCGTTTATAAAAGAAAAAAAAAGGAAATTAAAGTTTTTTAAAAACTTCGTATAAATGAAATTAAATTAAATATGTTTTAAAATAATAAAAATAATCGTATAACTTTTAATAACGATTTTTTTAATAATAATATAAATAATTTTAATAAAAAATTAAATTAAAATATTTTTTTAAATAAATAAATAACGATTAAAAGTTTTTAAGTAATAATAAAAATATTAATTTTTATAATTATAATTAATTAAAAAGCCGATAATAATTTAAGTTACGGTTATTTAATTATAAAATATAAATATAATTTAACGAATTATAATAATAATATTTTAAGTTTTTTTTTATTTTATATTAATTTTAAGTTTTTTTTTAAATAATTTAATTAAAATTATTTAATTAATTATTAAAATAAATATAATAATAACGAAAAATGTTTTTAATTTAATTTAAGTATATAAATAATAATATTTTTTTATATTAAAATATATTTATAAATTAATTAATAAATATAATTAATATATAATTATAAATTTAATTTATTTATTTCGTTATAAAACTTAAAAACTTTTTTAATAAAATTTACTTTATTTTTCGAATGTTATAAAATGTTTTTACTTTTTTTATATATAAATTAATATTATATTTAAGTATATATTTTTTATATATTTTTTATATATTTAATTAATTTTTATACGAATAATTAATTTTTTTAATTTTATTATATTATTATATATAACGAAATAAACGTTTTTTATATTTTTTTTATATAAAACGGTAATTATTTTTAAACTTAATTAAATTTAAACTCGAAATAATTATATTATAAATGTCGTAAATAAATATTTAAGTTAAAACGTTATTAAATAAAAGCAATGCTAGCCGCGCAGTATGGGGTTCGCTTAAGTTCCCGCGCAGTAGCGCTAAAATAGCGCGTTCGAAAGAGTACCTTTTTGCCCATATAAATCTCCATACAACGGCATGTACTCTGAAAATAAGCTTTTCGCGCTATCTCTCGCTAGCGCAATTGAACTTGTACACTTTCCGACAAGTCCACACCTCACTTTTCTCTTGTATCGATCCATATTTACCGATCCCATTTCGGTTCAACTTTCGTTTCTAAGGGTCGAAAAAGACTCCATCGAAAGCCTTTGAATAGGTTTATCTTCTGTTTCAAAGATGAATCATTTCGACTGTTCCTTCGATATGAAACCTAGGATCGAAAAGGACCTGTACTTTGACTTTCTGGCTGTTGATCCTGTTGCTCTCTCTACGATGCGACTTTGATTCAACGATGCAACAACCTTCTCAGTCTCGAATTCAATGCAACCAGGCTCATTCAATTCGTCCTTTCGATGCGATTACGTCAATCGTAATTATTAAAGATTTGAAGGTGAATTGATCGAGAAACAATTGATTCAAAGTTAGGTTGAGGAAAAAAGGTACAAGTGTCAAAATAAGGTTCGAGACTAAAACAGGTACATGTTTTCCCATACAAATCAGTATGGGACAAAATGTACACCGTTTGACGGCGTTTCTTTTATCCGATACTGCGCGGGAAATTAGCCGAACCCCATACTGCGCGGCTAGCATTGCTCTTAAATAATAAACGATAATTACGTTTATATTTATTTTTATTTAATATAATAATATTTAAAATTCGAATTAATTATATTAATTTAATTAAAAGAATATATTAAATAAATTTATTTTTATTTATTAAATTTTTTCGTGAAATAAATTATAATATATATTAAAAACTTTTAATAAACGTTAATTTATTAATATATATTTATTAAATAAATATTAAAAAAAATAAGTTTATTTTTAAATATTTTATTTTATAAAATTATTTTTAAATATATTATTAAATATTTTAAAGTTATGTTTTAATTTAATAAATTATTTCGTAAATATATTATTATTTATTTTATTTTAAATATTTTATTATTAACGTTATTTTAATATTATATTTTTTTAATAAAAATTTATTTTTTAAAAAAACGGTTTTTATATATAATTTAATCGAAAATAAAAAGTTTCGGAATTATATTTAATTATAAACTTAATAAATTTAATATATTTTTATAATAAATAAGTTTAATATTACTTAAATTTTAAAATTAAATAAAAAAATAAAATTAAAAAAAAATAAATAATATTATTTAAATAAATATTTAAAATTTAAAATATATAAATATTATTTTTATTACGTAAATATTTATTTAATAAATATTTTCGTAATTTTAATTTATAAAATTAATAAAATTAATAAAATTAAATAAAATAATAAATATAATTTTTTATTATTATAATACGAATATAACGTTTTATATAATATTATATATATTAAAACGACGAGGAAATTTTAAATATTATATTAATATATATAAATTAATTTTAATTATTTAATTAAAC